TATTTTATCTTTCATCATCATTGTAATCTTTATCACCATCACTACGACCTCCATCATCACCGTCACTCCCACAACCATCATCATCATACCTCATTCCCACCATCATATTGTCATCATCATCATCATCATCATCTTCATCACCATCATTTACACTTCCATCATCATTACCGTCTCTCCACATTGCCACCGCAACCACCATCGTAACTGTCACCATCATGATCATTATCAGCGTAAGCATCATCACCATCATCGTCATCATCACCCGCATCATTATCATCATCAAAATCATCAAAATCATTATTCCACTTAAATTTGTCCAAGATGAGGCGCAAAGACCAAAGTTTTGACTGGGTGATACGAGCGCCATCTGCGGACCGTCGGTGCAACACACGAAAAGACTGCACACCACGGATAGCATACGAAGAGCGGCACTAGAGGTCGGGGCGTGGCCGAGTCAAAGGATACGTCACACTTCATGCATATTCATTATACAGCGCGCGCGTAATACAAACGCGACATAATGCTAGTCATAATGCCAGTGCGGCATGCATGTACTTCTCAGATCCTCATTCGACCAAATACAATGAAAACGATTACCGGTGCTCTCAAATTTAGCCATATTTTGTCGTAAAATAATGTTCCGCTTGTGATTCATTCATTCATTCATTCATTCATTTATTTCGGTTTATTGTGTCAAAATTCAATGTTAAAACAGTCGGCGACTGATACAAAGATTACAAAGTTTAAAGAAATAAAGAGAAATTACAAATAGTCATGTACATCAATATGGAACGATCACATATTAGTTTAAGGAATAAATTAACAATGATGAGAATGGTAACTTCAATATATTGCAAAGATTACAAAGTTCAATAAAGAGAAATTACAAATACATGTACATTAATATGGAAACGATCACATATTAGTTCAAGGAATAAATTAACAATAATGATAATGGAAACTTCATTATATTTCACATCATACATAAAACAAATCGAACTTAAATGGATGAGTGGGTAAAAAAAAAGGAAACAAAGAGAGAATGGACAAAGCATTTCATTTCCTTTTCTCGTAATATTTAGATTTTGAGCCTTTACATTTTATACACAATTAACATAAATTGATAGGTAAAATGTGATAGTGATATTAATTGTGATGTGGGGACATTTTTAACATATTAATCGGATTTACATGTTTTAAAAATAAACAACTCTATACTAGTAAATATGAAGAAAGTTAGAAATTAAGAAATGAAAAGGGCACCTGTAGAAGATCTAAAGAAACACCTCAAGTTCCGCTCCTTTATTAATGTGTTCTTTATATCACAGACCCGACCGCTAGTGCCGCTCATACGACCTCTAGTTCTGCTCCAAATTATTAATGTGTTCTTTATATCACAGACCCGACCGCTAGTGCCGCTCATACGACCTCTAGTTCTGCCCCTTTATTAATATGTTCTTTATATCACAGACCCGACCGCTAGTGCCGCTCATACGACCTCTAGTTCTGACCCTTTATTAATATGTTCTTTATATCACAGACCCGACCGCTATATAGTGCCGCTCATACGACCTCTAGTTCTGCCCCTTTATTAATATGTTCTTTATATCACAGACCCGACCGCTAGTGCCGCTCATACGACCTCTAGTTCTGCTCCTTTATTAATATGTTCTTTATATCACAGACCCGACCGCTATATAGTGCCGCTCATACGACCTCTAGTTCTGACCCTTTATTAATGTGTTCTTTATATCACAGACCCGACCGCTAGTGCCGCTCATACGACCTCTAGTTCTGCTCCTTTATTAATGTGTTCTTTATATGACAGACCTGACCTCTCGTTCTGCTCCTATAACCTGTTGTGTATAATTTACTGCAGTATCTTCTAAAAAACTGCGTTCTAACCATTCATTCCATAAAACTTGATAAGATCATGTTATAAAGTTTTGTTCCCACTTAATTTTAGCTCATTTTAAACATTCAACTACATAAACATTTACATTTAAATCAATTTCAACAACCTAAAAAATAAAGATCACAAACAAATATTCTGCTTGGTTGAGTGTTATTATATTGCCATTAAGTTCACATTATAAAATGGTAATGTATCGCATAGATTATGTATGGAGTTTCTAGACTGAACCGATGAACGTTATTTTCATGTACTTAACAAAGATTTTGTTAACAAACTTCTCCATCAACTCAAATTTACACTGGAAAAAAAAAACTGTGACCTGATAAAAAAATAGAATGTGCTTTACCACAGAACTAGTTTTTAATTAAAAGTTTGTTTTCTTTCAAAGATTGGATCAGAAAAAAAAATATAAATATGCTACAAACCCTGTGATCAGGGGCGGCGATCCCCGGGGGACGGGGGGACACGTCCCCCCCCCCCCCCTCATTTTTTTTAGGGGGGGGATTGTCCCTCCCTGAAAAATTGAAAAAGTGAGAAAAAAAAGTGTATATCAAAATAATACTGACTAAAGACTGCAACAAACTTTTAGGCTCTGGAGGGCCAGCGTTTAGACAAATAAAAATGCAAAAATCTTCTCGCTCCGGAGCTACGCTCCCTCGCATAATATTCTCTAAAGTGTACAGTAAATATTCTAGAAAAGTGAAGTGTGAAAAAGGTATATTGTTTGTTTTTATACTATTCTTTTGCTAATTAATTTGGTAATACAACAAAACTTCAAAAACCTGTGAGGGGATAGTCACTTCCGTAACCTCTACCCCTCTCGTTTACTTTGCCTTCTCGCCTTGGCGTAATGATGAGGAGGGGGGGGGGGGGGCTTGGGGGGGGGGGGGGGGCAGTTGCCCCCTAATAAAATTCAAACTTGATTTATTTCTAACTCGATACCAGTGATTTACAAATGTTGCTGAAATGGTATGGTTTTTCCCTGAGCTTCTGGGGGCTCTGCCCCCTGGACCCCACCAAGGGTCCTATGGCTGGCCCCTGTTTGCTCATCTGACCGTTATTAAATGCCTAAAACCCCTGAGCTTCATGGGCCTACGCCCCTGGACCCCACCAGGGGCTCTAAGACGAGCCCCTGGATGCTCATCTGACCGTTATTAAATGCATAAAACCCCTGAGCTTCATGGGCCTACGCCCCTGCACCACACGCCACTTTACGCTCCACTTGTTATGCTCCATTAATTTTGCTCTACCTAATAAAATACTTTAGCCTCCCCCTCTATGAAAAACGTTCCGCGAGGCCTGCATGTACAATGTTAGAGTGGGGATGCGGATCCCCCCCCTCGTTTTTGTTCAATATATACGCCACTGCTCCCCCGTCTCTTACATTTCGTCCCCTCCCCCCCCCCCCCCCCCCCCCGGTCATGAAAAGAAATCGCCGCCCCTGCCTGTGATACCACATACAGTATTGGATTGTACAAATTTAACTTTTTCAGCAAATGACTTTAGTATCAAACATAATATGCCCAGTCTGACAATATAAAATATCAAGTATCCAATATCAAGTATTTCACAACAATAATAAAAAATAAGTAATCTATTTTCCCTTTATTATGTTAGCTCCCCCCCCCCCCCCCAAAGTTCTTATGGCTGGCCATACAAAATATTACAACCCAAAACAAAACAAAACAAAAACCACACAATTATTCACCATCTTGCGTGCAGGGTTGGGTTAAAATATAATTGAGAGCAGAAAGAATGACAGTATCATCTTTCTGACGACGTATTTGGGCTTTTCAATAGCTCATGCTAAAATGAATTTATGAGCTATATATTTCTTAATATATATTTATATTTATATTTATATCTATTTTGTTTTCAGTGATATTTTTTATATATATTTGTCTATACTCTTAAACCTCAAATTACAACACGTAATTACCAATTTGACTATCATTATTTTTTTATTTAAAAAAACAACAACTAAGAAATGCATATAAAATATATGAGATACTGAAACACTTACTGATGCATTCATTAGAGCCAATGTGTTGACTACATCGATAATAAGCACGAGTTGAATACTTGTCGGTTGTCAGTCAAAACAAACTTTACAAAGACATGAGGAGTATAACCTTGAAATCACATCAACACATATGTATAATACTCATGCTGGTTTCTATATGAGCAAAAAAGGAATCATCTTTAACAGTGCTCAATGAAACTATGAAGGGTTTCGTTCAATTAAAAAAAAAAAAAAATCATATTTATTTGCTCTGACATATTTCCCTTTGCTTTTTACAACTTCATAGTCAGGCCCTAGTAACTGATTATTTTCACTATGACATGAATTGTTGAAATGAACAGATAACCAATACTATAACTTGTTCATGGATTTGAATATTATATGTTATTCGATGGAAACTTGAATACATACAAACTCATTTTTTTGGTTTTGGCTGAGGTTGACTTTGCCTTTCCAGTGCTACAGCATCAAAAGGAATTCAGGTCGCTGAAGCTCATAGATTTATATCCTGAACATGTCAAATGTACCACTTAAACATATTTTCATAGATGATACAAAAATGTCCCCACATCACTTAGTCACATAATACTGGACACTACTAGTTGCAGGACATATTTGTGTCCAGCTATTGTTATTCATGCTGAGTAATAAAGGAGCAAACGTAAATATACTGGACCTCAGTAGGGACATCAAAGGATACATAACCATCTGTTTTATTAGAATTTGTATTTTTTTCTTTAATTCTAAAAAGAAAAGAAAAAAAAAAGATTCTTGTTGTTGTTAAAAACCTGCATTGTAAGTAATGGTCACTGAACCGATTGATCAATGGCTGCACTAAAATTCATATTAAAATTTCTCTTTTATGATTAAACAAAGTATTTTGGACATCTATCCTCAACATCAAGCTAGGGATGAGCAAAATATAAATCAGCTGTTACATTGAATATGCATGAAGTGTGACGTATATTTGGACTTGACCACGCCCCCGACCTCTAGTGCCGCTCTTCGTATGCTATCCGCACACCACTGACCGTCGAAACTCGAGTGACTAGAACATTCTAGGTCTACTTCTCCGAGAAATTTTGACAGTGTGATTAATTGGGTGTTTCTTTTTAGCTGGTTAGTGTCACATGAAAGAAGGTACATAATTGATATTTACTTAATTGATTAAAATGTTTAATCTGATAGATGGCGCGTTGTTTTAGACGTAAACTCGAAAGAGTAATCGTTCCATGCCGTGATATATTGTTGCGTGAACGGACAGAAAGCATGTTGTGTATTGATGGTACCGAAGACCGCATTCGATGAGTGTCGCAACGTAGACGTTTTGTATGAAGAGCCTAGAAATAGAATAACTAAGACTAGAGTCTAGAGTAAGAGTCAGACGAAGAGGCAGAGATCGGTTTTCAAATCCATCAATCTTGTAATAGATTATCCTTATAACTGGCAAATAATCACAGTATTGTTTAATGCATTAGATTTATTCAATTGAAAATGTGAGCAATTAGGTGTCTGAACGATTTTTCAATTTTCAATTTGGGATCGTTTTTCACCATTTTTGTTTGATATTTGAATTAAAAATTTTATCAGAATAATACATTTCAAATTTCAAGTCTCACCGATGTTTCTATCAAAAGTTACAGCCCCTCCAACACGCTGGTATATTCATATCATTTTGGTCAAAATCGACGAAAAAGACGTCCACGCAGAGTGATGTTGTTTTGCTAAATTTAGTAGGGTGTCTGATCGCGCACCCGATGTTGTGTGATGTTACGCGATGTAACCATGGTTTGGACTGAGCGGAGCGCACGCCTCCTAATTAGCTGATCCACCAAATAGCGAGAAGGGTATTTTTAAACTGTTATCAGTTGTGATCCCTGGGGGCTAGCGAAAATATAATCACATAGAATTGTTCCTTAGGACTGGGACTACTTATCGATCGGGGCGTCATATCTCAAAAGTGACAAACCTCAGAGTTAGCCAGGACACAATGTTTAAATTGCTGTTTTGACCAAGATATTTTTAGAATTTCGGGGGCTACGCCCCTTTGGAAATATTGGAATTCACCTGCTCTTTCATATGACACCTCATTCATTGATTATCACCTTCAGGATCACAACTGATAAAGGTTTGAATCTCGATTTGAAGAAAAAAAAAATTGACTTTTTTTGCATGGTCGCGCAATGCACGTAGGCTGCATAGGGATGCGTGTAATCTCTATGGGAAGAATTTTAGCACACAACATCGGGTGCGCGATCAGACACCCTACAATTAATAGATCTATGCCAATGGTTGGCGAATTCACACATTTTTTTTTTTACCATATATCGACTTGAAAGCGCAACCATGTCCAGACGGGCAAATTTGAAGAAAAAAAACAATTTTTGGTGCTGCTCAACCAAAAAACTTGGAGAAAACTGAACAGATATATGTACAAAAGTGGTACCACTTCAAGTTGATTGTCCATGATCTCACCCGATTTCTAGATCTAGATGTAAACTGACTGAGTGCAGAGCGAAGTATTTGTAGTTATTGATTTTTTTCTTCTCTTTGACTTTTAGAAAAGTTGATGTGTGGAAAAGCCTTTCAATCAAACCAAGCTGTTGAGACTGATATTTTTTTAATCCCTTTACTTTCACAGAAATCGTTGAATAATGACTGATGAGGAGAGGGCAGGATGGGACCACACCCCAAAGAAACAGAAGACGTCCAACTCCTCTCCGGAGAACGATCTTTACCAGCAGCGATGTAGTTTACCCATCTATCCAGCGAGGGGCAAGCTCATCACCGAGATCCGCAAGGCTGCAAGCGTCGTGGTGCTAGGGGAGACGGGGAGTGGCAAAACTACACAGATTCCGCAGGTATGACTGCTGCTGATGGTCACATTGTCAGATGAGAACAACTGCAGAATACTCGTCACTGGGCTTGTAACCAGAATCCTAACCCCGACCCTATGGCCAAACCCTACCCTAACGCTATTACAAATCCTAATCCTAACCCCAACCCTTTTTCCTGAACTCCAGCCCAGACCCCGATCCTATGCTAACCCACTCCAGCAAAGCATAGAGAGTCAATGCTAATGCGTATTGACCTCTAGCCTGCACTACGTGTTAATAGGCAGCATTTAAATACATGAATAGTCGATACACTCACAACACACAAATGCACACAATCATGCCGATGCTGCTGATCGGCAAGTTTGGCAGTAGACTCACAATTTGAATTTTTAAATTATTCTTTCTAACATCGGAAAGTTGAAAAAATTGTATTTTACTGCTATTTAGGTGTCATCATGCATCAATCATCACTAAAGTAACAAATTTGAGTGAAATCAGTTGAGTTGTGTACAGTGGTGTTTGAAATGTTGAGAATCAATAGCACAGCCAGGATAGTAATGCAGCCATGTGTGTGCTAACCTTGATGCTAACCCTACCCCCAATTCTCACCCTAATCCTAACCCTAATCCTAACTCTAGCCCTAACAGTAGTACCTTCTACTAGTTCAAGATGGTGGTATTCTGTAGTTTAAGCCTCGGTCACAAATGCCATTACGAACTGCTACAAACGCCGTACAAACAATTTTCAGACAATGAAAATTCGGGAAAACAATGGAAAAACAGAGATTTGTACGAAATTATCGTTCGTACGAACCTTTGTGACCGTAGCATAAGCTGTCAGATTCACTTGACTTGCACCCAGAATCCCAATTCCACGACTCCATTTCCTTACCATTGATCTAGTGGACTTCCATCAAAGACCGCTATTGCAAATAATGGATTTGCTCTAGTCCATCATTTAAACCATGGAATTGGCTGGGTATTGTGTTGTTTTAAGTTTTTAGCCTTGTTTTACACATGGGTTTCTAACTTTCCCTCCAAATGACACAGTTCATTTTAAGTGTGTCTTGTTTCAGAAGTGCATATTTAAGATGAGGTTTATTGGTCAAATGTTATAATTTGTAAATAAGTCTGCTGAAGAAAACTTCAGTTGAACGTTCATTGCTACAAGTACAGAAAATAACCAAAGAAAGTCTGTAATTTTCTGTCTACCTCTTTAATACTTACAGTATCTTCTGGAAGCCGGGATGACCAAAGCTGGCATGATAGCTGTAACCCAGGTATTTAAGAACCCTCATGCCTTGTTCACACACAATTATGATCCTTAGACTTACTTCACACATCCATGTGGAAAATAATCTTTCTGTACTCATAGATAACAAAGAAATAATTCATACCCCTGGTAATTTTTATGTTTTTTGTATCCCAAGAGTGAAATGTGGACTGGTTGAATTAGGGCCTTTATTGAATACTTTTAGATTTGAGTTTTGATATGTCATATTCTCAAGAAACATAAATCGGGATAAATTTACAATTTTTCACATACTTGTAAAAATGTACAAAACCTGGTAATGGTATGTATATTTTAGTTGCTAACTGTATGTAGAAAAACATCTACGGTATTCAACCCATTAAGACAGTGATACTTGGCTATGTTAATTGTATTGTCACATTTGTTCAAAATTAGCAAGGTCTCTAGTCATTCTTTAAAATAAGTATGTTTTAGCAAAAATGTATGGAAAAGATTTGTCTAGACATTTTTCAGTACAATGTTGTTGAGTTAGTTTTTTTTAGAGGAATCAAAGGATTGTATGATTTTGTCTTTTGCATTTTGTTTAGCCTCGTCGTGTTGCAGCCATTTCTATTTCAACCCGAGTTGCTGATGAGATGGGTTGTGAGCTGGGGACACAGGTAAGGCCTAGTTCACACACAGAATTTTAGACTGCCTGACAAAAACAATGCTAAAAAATACCTTTTTATGAATGGCATGTATAGGTGACTGGAGACACAGGTTAGGCCATGTTCACACACAAAATTTTAGACTGCCTAAAAAAAATGCTAAAAAATACCTTTTTATGAATGGCATGTATAGGTGACTGGAGACACAGGTTAGGCCGTGTTCACATACAACAGTTTAGACTGCCTAAAAACAAAAACCACTGCTGAAAAGTACAACCTCTTTATGTATATTAATGAATGTCTTGTGAAGGTGAAAAATAAAAAGAGAACTTGGGTATAACAAAGGTAGTCGCACTTATTCCTTTACCTGCGTGATATTAAATACAAATATGTCATCTGTTGAGAGCCAGAAGGGCGTTTAATCTGTCTCAAATATATGATTTAACGCCCTTGTGGCTATTAACGGACGATATGAACTTATGAAGTGCACTAGAATTACCCCAGTCATAATATTTACATTTCCATGATTTTCCATTTTTCTTTTCTTGACACTTTTAAGGTGGGGTACTGTGTACGTTTTGATGATGCAACCTCAGAGCAAACGAAGATCAAGGTAATTTTTACATCCATTTTATTTGACTTTGTTCATTAGATCCATTTCATATTATTTAACATGTTTCATATTCTTTATTTCATAAATGAATTGATAAGCGCTGTTTTACATTACCAAGCTCTTTACAATTTGAGTGAAATTTTGTGAAATGGGAATGTTTGTCGCTTTGTTAAGTTGAGAATATTCATTTTAGAATTGCATCATTGTGTGTTATACTGAAATTGGCTCCAGTTCGTCCACCGGGTATGCTTTTTCAGTATTTAAAGACAAGTTGCTAGTCATTATTTATTCCCTCAGAATTTAATATTTTGCATCGATATGAATGGTACAGAAAAGTAATACATTCATTGTGTAAGAGATACTGATAATAGGCTATTTGATTGGGGTGGGATGGAAATATTTAGGATGATAATAATTTAATAATAATAATATGTCTTGTTTACCCAGGTTAGCCTCATCAGTACTAATACTGCTCTCCCTGAGGGCCCAGCAATCATATTATTTTACCCCAGCTTTATAAAGAGATATCAGTTGTCATATTTATTCAGTTGACTTTATTCCATGATTTTTCTTTGGATTTTTTAGTACATGACTGATGGTATGCTGTTGAGGGAAGCCATTTTGGATCCAAAATTATCCAGGTAAGCACAATAATGGAATGCCTATTGGTAAAGAACTTGTATTTTGTTGTATATACATACATACATGAACATATGACTCTTTATATAAACTATAAAAGCAATATGCTATGATGTATTAGATAAGGTATTAAATATATTGTAGTTATTAAACATAAAAACACACGAATATCATGTTAACAAACATATGACTCTTAATACACAAACTGTAACAAGCAATAAGCTATAATGTATTAGATAAGATTTAAAATGTATTGTAGTTTATATTAAACACACATACACACGAATATCGTGTTAATAAACATATGACTCTTAATATATAAACTATAACAAAAAGTAAGTTATATAATCTATTAGATTAGGTAATAAACCGAATGAAAAATATTTGTTATGTAAGAAAAGATATCAGTTGTCATACCAAAAAGCATGTAGGTACAAAGAAGGCAATTCTAAATTATTTTGTATTACCTTCATTAAATGATAATGCATAAGGAAGGTCACAAAACCTTAAAAAGATATTGTAAGTCGTACATCCAAAGGAATGTTACAAAAATAATATCCAAATCATTTTGTCGTATCTAAATGGAGTCGTATCATATAGTTAATAACAAAAGTCTAGGTTGTATATTAAAAATAAGTTTTCTCTAAATTTTGGAAATTTTTCTTTCCAAGTATTGATGATGATTTTTGATCTAGTTTGTCCTGTTTTCTACCTTGTTTTTCTTCCTGCTCTCTATTTATATTATATTATTTATACATTGTGTTAGCTTTGTTTTGTATTGTTTTGTTTTGTTTGATTTCTCTGTATACTTGAATAATGTACATGTTCATTCTTTTTTATCGATTGAGTAAACTTTGAACTTTGGAGATTGCATTTTATTTCCCATATACAGGTATAGCATTGTGGTGCTAGATGAAGCGCATGAGAGGACTGTTCATACTGATGTCCTGTTTGGGGTCGTTAAAGCAGCTCAGCAGCACAGAGCCAATGGGAACAGACCACTCAAGGTATTACAAATTAACATCTGTTCTACGAAGAAGGCACGATGCCTCAGTGATAGAGCAATGGGCTGGTAACCAGGAGGTCCTGGGTTCAAAACCTAATTGATGCACATGTGCCTTTTGGTGAGGCATTAATCTTTGTTACCGAGTCCCTCGGAGAGGACTTGCAGGAGTGGGGTCCCTGGGGGGTGTTTCATAAAGCTGTTCGTAAAGTTACGTATGACTTTACAAATGACTTATATATGAAAAGCCAAATGGGATGCTCAATCATTTTTAACTGCATCAACTAAAGTTTAACTGTGTAGATGTAGATTAACATTCTTATTATAACAAACGTTTTAAAAGCAAAGTATATTTTTTGCCATAATTTAATTACACTTTGTTAAATCGTCAGGAAAAACTTTGGGAATCCTACCTGGCACTTCATATTCAAGTCGTTTGTAAAGTCATGCATAACTTTACGAACAGCTTTATGAAACACCCCCCTGGTTGCTTTTTTACAAGCATACACACGCTTTTGTAGCAGTCGGGTAAATTCAAACCATCATTTATTGTAGGTTTAAATAAAAAAAGACATGATATGGGACGGGGGATACTGCATACAGTTTGTGCACTCTTATATAATGGAAAATGCTTCTTAAAGTCAACTTGACTCTTAGTGCGTGATATATCAGAGATCAAAACAAATAATAATGACACCCTTGTCTCTAAGGCTGGCAAAAAGTGGATGGACAATCACCAATATTTATGTTACATCAGCAAAGACCGATGAATAACAAAGAACCAAAGGATCCTATTCTGTTTATGAATGTTCAAGTGTGTTGTTCAATAAATTGACAATCGAGAGCCAGAAGTGACTTTAAGAGAAAGTTGAGTTCTGGGAAGAGATGAAAAATAATTTGTGAGCGTTATCATTCTTATTATGCAAGTGTGGAAGAACATCAGATAAGACATGTTCCCTGAAAAGCATGGCTCTTCAAATGCCTTCATATTCTAAATATGTTGTGTAACATCGTAAAAATCAGTACAGTGTTTGTAACTTTACCAAGACTTGGCCAAATTTCTCATCATTTTGATGATTCCAGAACCTTGCAATACACACAAATTCTTATAAGACGATGTACACTATACAGCCATGAAGTCATTTAGTTCTTTTGTCAACCTTTCCCCCTTCTTTAGATTGTGGTGATGTCAGCTACAATGGATGTCGATAGTTTCTCACAGTATTTTAACAAAGCTCCAGTCCTTTACCTTCAAGGCAGACAGCATCCTATAGAGGTAAAAAATGATTTGATTTATCAGATAATAAGAATGAAAATCTTCAAATAGTTAAGTACAAAGTCCCCTGGAATAGAAATTTAAGGTTGTGGTAATAATAATAATATTAATAATCTGGATTTATATAGCGCTTAATACGAAATACCATCTCTAAGCGATTTACAGATATTATTATCCAGATCATTGGATTCATTCACGGACAATGTGCACCATCTCCACTCCCTGGGGAGTATTCCTACCATATGGTCACTGTGAAGCATATGGCAATTACTAACACAAGGCTTTCATCATCCTACTAGGTCCCCTTTTCTCTCCAGGGTATGGGGTGGCAAATGTAGATAAATGCCTTGCCAAGGGTACCTTATGCAAAAACAAGTAAAGGGCTTGACAATGGAGGAAAAATTGGCATACTCAAAGCTAGAGTAAACTTCTTCATCAAAAATGGACATGAAAGTGAAAGGAGAGGCTGAGTAAGAAAAGAAAACCAAAGGTATATTTATATTATCGCCATAGTGCACTTCATCTTAAGCACCCTAGATAATAATATATGATGTATGTATTACTGTTGTCACCCTCATTTCTAAAACAATGTTACTCTGCTCTTTTTCTCTAGTTGATGTATTCCAGTTCATCTCAGCCAGACTATCTCTTCTCAACGTTGGTCACCATCTTTCAAATCCATCAAGAACAGCCTGTTTCGTAAGCTGATTCCCCACAATTTCTACAAAGTTGTATTTTGAAACGGATTGATCTGTATTCTACTGACTTTAAACCTACTGCTGGGTTTAAGCTAGAACTAAAGTCAGGGGAGCTTTTCACAAAACCAATCTAAGTACAAGTTTGTCAACAATACATTGACATGTGTGTTTCATTGGGATGACGGTGAACTTGTAGTTACAATAGTTTAGTGAAAACCTCCCCATGAAACAAAGCCAAGGTTACCAATTAAGGCAGACTGAGGTCTAGTGTAGTCTAAAGTTTTTCTTTAAAATTAATTTTGGCCTTACCGGTATATCAGACTAAATTAATGAGTAGAATGTGGCCCAATGCTTTTTCTTGACAGGCTGTGTGATTAGCCAGTTTTAATTACACTATTGGGCTTGCTGATATAATAAACTTTATTATAAACTTTGTTTAATATGGAGATCCAAAATACATTCAATAGCTGAACTTTTAAAGTATTTTGTATCTTGTCTTTTTCTTTCAATGTTTGAAAAACCGTCTATGTAATCATGTATATTTTGATGTTATTTTGCAGTGAAGATATGCTTGTTTTCCTGACTGGTCAGGAAGAAATTGAGAGTGTTGCTAGGTCAGTGAGGGAGGTAGCACTGGATCTACCTCAGAGTGAGTAAAAAATTACATCTTTTCAAACATATATATTTTCATTCTAAATAACTTAGCAGCCATATTCAAATTGTTCAGAGTGTTCAAACATGTCGATAAAGCAAGACTCCATTTATAGTCCAGTATATCTTAGACCATTCGTGAGTTCATGAGTGCAGTCTTAAACTGTGTCGGGACCATGAGAAGCAAAATAGTTTTATGTCATAACAGTTAGGGTTGAGTGTAACATAGTTATAAACATGTGGGACTGAGCAGCAAAATAATATAAATGAAAATACTTGAATTCCTTGTTCTAATAAAAATGAAAAGGTAATACATTCTGCATCAGTATATTTATTGGTATTCTGAATTATCAAAGTGTTTATTTTTTTATACTGATTGATCTTTTCTAACCTTGATAAGATATCACATTGTTCATCTCTTTTTTTCCGCAATAGAACTTCAAGCAATAGGTCTCTGAGCTTCTTATCAAAAAACATAAATAAGCATTATACAGGCCTGATAAAAAGCTGATTTAAATCGGTTTCCCAATTTTTTTATATTTTCCCCGAATTTTTCCAGATTTAAAATTTTTTTTTTTTTTTTTTTTACTAGATTTTGTTTCTTCTTCCCTATTTTATCATGATTTTCCTGATTCCCCCCTTATTTTCTCTATTCTTCCCTATTTTGCCCTATTTTCCCCCAATTTTCTTACTCGAAAGGGGGGGGGGGAATGTTGTTAGATGCCATTTTCCCCCCGCGAATCCTCTTCTTTTTTTTTTACTGAAGGGGGGTGTGGTTGAGGGGAAAACAAAAAACCTATTTTTTTTTTAGTGCTCACTATCACCCCTGATTATATCTTTCTTGAATTAAACTGAACTTCAGAACCAATGAAATATGATAAATTTGATAAACATTTATATGTCCTTCGAAGATGTTCCTGGCCTTGTAGCCATTCCAATGTACGCCTCTTTGCCACCGGGTCAGCAGCTTCGAGTCTTTCAACCTGCCCCTTCTGTAAGTACAAGTGCATTGAAACCTGTATACAAAGACCGCTCAAGGGATACATAAAAAGTGGTCTTTATAAGCAGGTGGTCTTTATATACAGGTTCCTTTAGTATAGGTTTCAATGAGAAACCTTATTCGAAGGAAATAAAAAATATGGTCTTTATAGACAGGTGGTCGCTAAAGCAGGTTTGACTGTAGTTACCTTCAAGCCTGTTAACTCAATACAGTAGTGTGTGCCAACTATAAATCAGCAACTTTTGAATGCACAAAATGTTCCATTATTTTTGTAGAGTTTCTCGACAGTTTCATGTTGTGAAATAATTGAATTATGACTGATCCAAATCTGCGTTTTTGTGGTACACAAAAGTCTTTTGCCTGTAAAATTGCTTTTGTTTTATCAAATCAGTTTCATGTGACAAAAGTTTCTGGGTTTCAAGTTTATCAAAGATCGAAACAACACTTGTAAAGGAGACACATGTGCAAAATATTTAAATTTATTTAGTAATTTTTTTCCCCCTCCAAAAACTGGTTTTTCTGTGGATTTACACAGTGTTAATGTGCCGAAATTGTTTTGGGGAAAAAAAGTTGGTTCTCTGTGACACTTATGGTTAACCTTTACATGAAATTCTTACCTTGGCAATGGTATAAATGCTTTGTTTATCCCTATCTTTTGTTAATCCCTATCTTTGAAAGGGTAAAATGAAAGTGATTTTAGCCACAAACATCTCCGATACAATGGCTAGCCTTTATGTGAAGGTCTGATCTCAGCAGTAGTATTGATGCAGTGTATTTTTCAATGTTCTATCTTTTTGTTTTATAGGGTAAGAGGAAAATAATTCTAGCTACAAACATCGCCGAGACGTCGGTCACCATCCCTGGCATAAAACATGTCATAGACACTGGCAAAGTCAAAGCAAAGTAAGTCATTGTCTTTCAAGATCTTTTATGTCGTCAGTAAGATATGGGAGAAATACTGTGTGCTCATACAACTAATCAAGAGCTGCTTAATTCTGATGTTATATTAAATACATTAGAATCTGTCTATAAAGACCACTCAAGGGAGACAAGAATAACAGTTTTCATAAGCAGTTGGTCCTTATGTATACATTGCTTCATTACATGTTTCAAAGAGAACTGTTTCAAGGGAAACCAAAACAGTGGTCTTTCTATACAGGTGGGCACGAAAGCAGGTCTGAATTTAATTATCTTTCTCCAAGATGCCTTTCTAACGTCTAGTTGTTCCATTTTGCGGTTGTATTTACAGGAGCTACCAGGCAGGGAGTGGTCTAGATCTGCTCAGGGTGCAGTGGGTTTCTCAAGCCCAGGCCTGGCAGAGGACTGGTAGATCAGGCAGAGAGGATAGGTAAGGTCCCCATGAAGTTTAATCTGGTTTATTCAGGCCTGATGATTACCAGATTTAAATGGGTTTCCTGATTTGATTTTTTTTCCCCCAATCTTTTTTTCTTCTCGATTTTACCTTACTTTCCTTTATTTTCCTGATTTTTCCCAATTTTTTTCCCAATTTTCTTACTCAAAAGGGGGGAATGTTTTTGGATGCCATTTTTTCCCCCAAATCCTTTTTTTTTTACTCAAGGAAGGGGTGGTTGAGGAAGGAAAAAAAAAGTAGTAGTCCAGGGACGAATCGCACAATGTTTAAAATGTAAAAATGATCCTAAAACAGGATCATTGATTAAAACAGAAAAGAAATTTAATAAGAAATGAAATGAACATAATCATTATTTACAAATCAAAATCCTACTTTCATACAAGTATAAAGCTTTAGAAACAAAACATTCATCATTATGAATGTTTTATCTCATTAAAAAATTTAGATATTATTGATTTTACTATTTACAGGTGTGCATGCAGTTTGCCGCAAACTGAATTTCTAACTATGACATATTTTTGTGTTTTTTGTTTTGTTTTGTGGTAAGAAATCTAGAGCCTCTTGTAATATTGTTTCATTCATTCTTTCGTGGAAATGGCCAGATGTCTCCAAAAATACTTATGAAAGGAAATATTTCACCCTTAGATTCCTTTCTTGACTACCTTTTTACCCTGACAATAACATATTGAATAGTACCTGCGATACAAATTCTGTTTTTTATAAATGTTCTCAGGGTATTTGATATCAAATAATAAGTCTTGTTTAAAGCAACAGGAAAGAAGTGCTGTTCCATAAAGGTCTATTTTGTTTTGCTTCTGATGCAGTGGGACATGCTGGAGAATGTATACAGAAGATGAATTTACCAAGCTCCTCGCCAACACCATTCCAGAGATACAGAGGTATGATCACATATCACCAACCTGTCCATCATTTTCATAACTTATTTCATTTATTTATTTCACTCTCTTTAAAAAAACATTCCAAAGTATATACATGTTTGTTCATGATCAACATAAGATAAAAGAAAGAAAGGAATCATGAAAGCCAAAATTGGCTTAATGAGAATGATCCCCAAATAAATACTTAGCATAAACAAGTTACAGACTTATTTTATATACAAAACATAGTACATACATTCACAACACCGACAGAGGAAAGATAAAGATAACATAAGGTAAAGACAGTTACAGGAAGATAAAAAGAGAGAGGAGATAAGAAGAAGGAAGTTACAGTGATATTAATTGTTGTAAAGAAATTTTTGGCTTGCTCCTGGTAGATATAGATCACATGCTCGATCTTGTAATTGAAAACAAGTCAGAAAAGATCTAAAAACCAGCAGGATTTGAACCTGTCATCTACTGCTTGCCGGGCAGCGACTCTACCACCACCAGGCCACCACTGGTCTATAGTACAGTCACGATGAACTGGAAACATGCACCTCAACTCTCCCGACTCATTCTAACTTATTGATATTCATCAATAAGTCTGCCATTAGAACAATTTATAGCTTTGAATAGTAATAATTCTGGATTTATATAGCACTTAACACATGTATGATGTCTCCAAGCGCTTTTAAAGTAAACAATTACCCTGGTCATTGGATTCAGGCTTGCCTGCTAACTGAGTGTGCACATTCTCCACTCCTTGGGGAGCATTCCAGCCAGGCGCAATATTACTAATGCTCCACAGTTCTAATCAAATATTCATCTTAATGGGTTCCCATATAACACCTGTGTGGAGAGAAGCAGTGTAGATGAATAAAGTCTTGCTTTATAGGGACGCAAGTGCCATACTAAGATTGAACCCAATACCTATGCATCTGAAGTGAAGTGTTAAAACCACTCAACTATGACACCTTGAAGTTATGAAAATTGTCACCGGTACCTCTTTGTCTTCTTCATTTTTGTAGGTGTAACCTGTCAAGTGTTGTTCTCCAGATCATGGCCCTCGGCATCAAGAATGTGCTGACCTTTGACTTCATGGACCCCCCACCAAGAGAGGTCAGAGGTCATTTCTTTCCCTTATTCATCTTTAATCTTTTATTGTGCAGTAACTTTGGTGGATGACATCTTCCCCCTCTACCCCCCCCCCCCCCAATATGGAAATAGCATGTTAAATAGTCAATCCCACTCCACTGATCATGATAATTATAGCTTGAAATACATGTTTATATTCTGCCCACATTGGTCTCCAGATGTATAAAACCGATATGACATTGATGCATGCAGAAATATCATGGTTTGCTGCTGGATAGTCTAGCCTCTGCCTTTTTTAAGGGGCAAGCATCACATTGAATCCACCCCTTTTTGGAATAGGATTAAGGAAAAAAAATTATGTGAGAACAGTGGAAGTGGGAAAGCGTTGCCATTGATCAAGATTTTTTTGGAAGTCTTCTAATTAATTGCAAACTCTCAAGCTCATACCAGTACAGAGTTACAATTTGTATCCAGAGTTATGATTGATTTATAAAAGTCGATCCCGTCTGTTTGTACGGCAGGCCCAATATTATCAGCACCCTCCTATTTTATGTACTCATTCTAATGTTTGGATTCTTGTTTTATGCAGTCACTAGAAGCAGCCCTCAAGCACCTAGAGCTCTTGGGAGCCGTGAGCAGAGAGAGACATTTACATGTAAGTAGAAAGTGCTCTTGGTTTTGAATGTTTTGTTCAGTATGATGTGATTGTCTTCAGGATATCTCTTTATTTACAGTTTTTATCTAAACAGAGTTGCTGCTTCTTCAGTTTAGAAAATGCTGTCCTTGAGAGCCTTGGATATGAATAATAATTATAATAATAATAATCTTTTAAAGTCCACTCCAAATTTTATTAAGTTAAACCGAAAATGGAAATTCTTTTTGCCCAATTGATCGTGAGCCCGGCAGTCACTGAGCAGCGCCAGATCGACGTTGCTCTATCCCTTATATGCCCATTGCATGCATGTTTGTGATACGATCGTACGTTGCTTCATAAAATGCTTCAACATGGATAGAGCCTATTTTATTTATCTGAAATGTATTGCAAGTGTTACATGTACCTTGTGTTATTGATTGGTATGTCTATTGATCAAACTGTGCCTTTAAAAATATATATGTGGTAAGTCATCCAAATGATGAAAGGGAAATCCAACCTTGATTCCAACTACTTCAGACGAAAGAAACAAAATCAGAGAAATAGACTAATGAAAATTTGAATGAAATCAGACAAAAATTGAAAAATTTATGAATGTTTGAAAGTTGTAATTACTATTCATATGGGCTCTCCAAATTGGCTGAATCTTTAATGTCTCCGCAATGTAGTGGCAGACAACTTACCCATTTGTTCCAACATAAAAAAAAATCTAAAATTATAATTTTTCAAAAATGTATGACTCAGGAGGGTCTATAAACAATAATGATATCCTTGATATATTTTGAGTGATGATCCGACAGAGAATTTCAGCTCATTTTTACTGTTATTTAATATTGTTTTCGTTCATCACAGCTCACACCCATTGGCAAGGAGATGTCCACTTATCCCTTAGATCCACCCATGTCAAAGGTCATCATTAGTGCAAAGGATTATGGGTGCTTGTGAGTATATTTTCCAGATGTTGTGATTCAGAAATGTCCTGTTAAGATAAGGGTCATTCCATCGGGTTGGGTCTTTTCAGCATTTTCACGTGTTTGAATGTTTAGAAGCTATTTACTCAAATTTGAATGTATTTTTAGAAAATTAAAAGTATGTTATATTGAAGAGTAATGTAGTACAGAATAAATAAACATGAAAACAGAAACTTCTTCATCATATTTTTTTTTTGGTGAGAGTTTTACTACCGATGTCTCAGCGATTTTGAGGGTGAAAGTTGTGACATGAAAACATGTCATTTTCATGAACTTATTTCTGGAAAAAAGTTCATCATAATGCAATGTTTCCTACTTAAAACATGTCACCTTTAGTACCCCTAGTATGTCTGAGAAGCTCAAGTGAAATGTGCAAAAAATCGGCAAGTTATTTCATATTGAAAAAACACAATACCTACGTTACCAACGATGTCCTAGGCACTTTTTTCATAACGGCGGTAATTCTAGCATTTTACACAAATTTAGCAGGATATTTTCTCAGAAAGTTTCATCTTATTAGGAAGGTACAACCCCTCATGAACATATGTAGAAAGAATGATGATTAAATCGGTCGGTAAATATAAGAAAACAATTAATTTACCGCGAAAATCGGGCGCGATGTCCTTCGTAATTTGGTAACGTAGGTGTGAAATTACGGTGTTTGAGATATAAACCAGCCCGCTAGCTTCAGTTTTCGGTGTTAAAATGACCTGCTAGTTATTCACGAATGCGCAGAACATGTTTTTTGCCGGACTGCGACGACCTACCCCTACAGTGCAACCACAAACGTGTAGATGTCTTTGTAACGTGGTGCAGCCATTTTCGCCCGTCAGCGCCCAAATTGGTACGTAATATGTTTTTTAAGTTATTTTTATGGCCCGAATTATTATCATGGACAATGAAATTCCATGTTTTAAAAATGTAATTCCGTTTTAAATTGTGTTATTTTCAACTTAAACCGGTTTTCAAACCCTCACATGTGAGTGAATATTTTACTGTTGTCCCACATACTGATATATGTGTTATAACGAAACATGCAAAATCAATGCCGGACTTTTACCCTTAAAAAGCTAGTTTCTTAAACAGAAATTGAATTTAGTTATAAGAATCCCGTAAATAATGATATTCATGATGTTCCTACACCTCAGATTTTTTCTGACAAGTTTTAAATTAATTAATATTATTTATATGGTGCCATTAATTGTCATTGAACAATGATGGCTAAGCCTAACGAAAAACACAAGTTATTGAACATTGCTTCCTTCAAGTTAGGAAGTTCAATCTGAGACCCGAAATACACAACTTTTTGGGCAAAAAAGGGGGTTGAGGGTTGGGGTTGAGATAGAGAAGAATGGGTTAAAGGGGGAGGGCACCCCCCCCCCCCCCTCCGATTCAATTAAAATTTGATACATAATAATGTAATGAGCCTTTTTTTTTTTTTTTTTTTTTTTTTTTTTTTTTTAAATAAATTAAATAATCATTGATCTGGCTCCCCTTCCCCCTCATCCAAAGGTTGAAGTGAGGGATAAGGGGCTTCAACATCTTCCCTCCCCCTCCAAATAATGATAAATAACAAATATAATTTTTTAACAAAAATTGATAATTCAACACAAATATTAAACTTAAAAGAAAAATCAAAATGAACAACCAATAATAATACCTACTTCTATTTGGGCATGCAACAAGCCAAAAGTGAGGAACTCCCTATCCATCTTGCAATCCTCTGTCTAGTTGTTCCATCCTTAATTCTTACAATTTGATTTTACAACAGATCTAGATAGAAGTACTTGATAATTGCAAACACAACACACGTTTGAAATGAAAAATCACAGAAACAGTTTACAGTTTTGTTTTATTTTTATCTCATTTAATATTCTTTACTCATTGGTTTTTATTTATTTCTTTTCATGCATATTTATTAGATTGCTGCATCCATTTCATTCATGGCTCCTATACCTCCCTTGAGGATTCAGCTCCGGCAGAGAGAGATCAAGAGAGCAGGCAAAATGACCAGTCATCGAAACCTTCCTGGAAAACAAAGATCTTTCCAATCTAATCACTATTTTGAAGAAGATATAAAGTTGATCATTGATATCTATCAATATACCTCTTGTATGAATACTGTTTCTTAATTTACTGATCAAGGGATAAAATATATTTCAGATGACATTTGATGTAGTCTTTCATTTTTCAATGAGTATAAGAGGATAGTTACTCTAATATCATACTGATGTTACTCGGACATGATGTCCGTGTAACATAGGTAACTGGAGGTGTTGAGGTGAATATAGACCATAAATCTTGCAGGTTTCCTTTCAATTGTGTTATCATCTCATTAAATATGTTTCATGCATCAATTAATTGGCACATTTCATGGAATGTAGCCAAGATTTTCTATGCAAGAGAAAAGATTACCCTTTAGAAAAAAACATGATCTGAAGATTGCTAGTTCCTCATTTGTTTTATGTTTATAAATTGATATAATGTTGCTGTGTTCAAGTTTTAAGTATTCTAAACTATTGCTCCCATCATCTAAATGTTTTCCACACACAAAAAAGTGGAGTACAGACTGTGACAAAGTTTCAGATCAGAAAATAAATGAGCAAGTAAAAAAAGATGTCCTTGTAACGTTGGTTTTTTGGTGTGTCTGTTTTTTCATTTTAAATGAAAGTGTGCGAAGGAATACACACAATTCCAGTGGAATCTATTGAAGAATGGGTGTTAAAAACAGGATATAACAATAAAAAAATTATTCAACAACTCTGAATTTTGAACCTTCATGTCACAATTTATGACCCAACCCGATGGAATGACCCATAACCATCTAGAGTTTATGCTTTAGAAGAAAAAACAGCTTTTGTGGTACTGGAATTGAAAATGAATGAATTTGAAAGGGCTTTAAAAAATATTTGAGGGGAGAAAAATGTATGTTGATGATTATATTGTCATGTGAGATAATTGATTTAGATGACACATTTAAAATACATTGAAAAAACAAAACAAGAACAACATCAACCATAGATATGAAGGAGTTGGGTTTAAGAAATCAAAATGGGGAAAAGGATAGAGAAAGATGGTATGAAAATAAATGCTCTATGATGTTTGATCTTGCTTTTATGATATCAAGTCATTAACCATTTACAACTCTATATTTGATTTCCCCTTCTTACATATGTTTGTGTCCTCTCCTTGTCTTCTGTTCTCATCATACCTATTTTTACATTTTACTCTTATTTTCATGTTTTTATATCTTTTCATTTGCCAACAGAGAGGAGATCCTGACTATTGTCTCTGTTCTTTCAGTGGAGTCCATTCTTCACAGTCCAATGAGCAAGGTAGGAAAATTGTTTTTATGAATGATTAAATACCTGAAGTTCCATGAATCCAGTGCTATTTTGAAAAGATTTATTATTAGAAACCTCCCGCCAAATGAAAAAGACGGAAACTGGCTTTCAACAAATAAATTTTGAAAGTATAATTCCAGATAAATATTTTCTAGACCTGAAAATGTAATTCAAAATGAATTCAACCATGATTTATGTTGAATTGAGAATAGCTTCCTTTGCGGCAATATGAAAATAGCGCTAGATTTTCATTTCTTACAAAGAAGTTACTCACATGATATATGAAGGATATATTTTAAACAATCATCAAGTTTCGTAGAGTTCGCACAGGTTTGCAAAATGGACTTACTGCCTATAATGTGTAAATATCAGTAGCATCATCACCGCCATCTTCTGTGTCATCCTTATCATGATCATGGTGATTTTCATGTCTCTCTGATTATTACCGTTGTCACCATAACGATTAATCAAGATCATTAATATTTTATATTTTGGGATGACATAATTAAATTAATTATTTTTTGTACATGACTAATATGATGTAATCTTGAAAAGAATCTTCAGAATCTGTTTTTTTTTCCATGATGACATGGTGTGTTGCCAATTTTCCTATTGACAGAGAGATAAAGCATTAGCAGCATGGAAGAAGTTCTATTGCAGCGAAGGGGATCACGTGACCTTGCTCTCCGTCTATCGAGCATTCAAAGCTGTCAAGAACAAGAAGGTATAGTTTCTCCTTAGGAATATAAGCAAAGAAAGATAACAAACGGTCCTTTTCGGGACTACACACCCCCAAGAAAGATCACAGAGTCAGAGTCCTTTTCAGGACTCCTCAATCCTCTCTCTCTCTCTCTCTCACATGGTGCACCTGCAAGCCTACTGTATAAGAAGGTATATGTTTTTGAGAGTGGGTGATCTGATGTTTTCTCCTGCAACGAACAACAAAGATGTAGGGTTAGGGTTAGGACTCCAATTGGGTGTTGGCTTGTGGTTTGTGGTTAGGGATAGTTGTAATGTTTATTTGAGGGTAGAAGCTGGGAATTAGGTTAGTTTAGGAAATTATTCGCAGAAACAGTAGTCACTGCAAAGATGCCAATCTTTAAGATTTTTCAAATTAATTTAGAAAAGTTCAGGGGGGAGGGGAAATGAACATCAGAAAATATGAAATTAAAACACCTTGAAAATCTGACCAAATACAAAAATGCTTTAAAAGTAGGGTTTTGAATACTGTTACTGTTCCTTGTAGCATCTCTAAAACTGGACCATGCGTCGTAAAACCTGAGGAGGTAATAACAAACTTTAATGTATTGTTTTTTCCCATTACTGATAACTTATCAATGGAAGGAATGAAATTCACAAGTAGTTGGACTGATTTCCTTAAACATTCCTTAATCTCTACCTTTAAACTTTCATTCTTTTCGTTATTGCAATATTTCAGGAGTGGTGCAGGGAAAATTACATCAATCATCGTAACCTCAAGCATGCAATGGAAGTTCGCAAGCAGCTGAGGGATCTCTGTGTGCGAGCCAACCTTACACTACAATCCTGTGGACACGACTTCACTGCGATAAGGTAAGAAAGATAAAAGGACGGTTTGACTTTCGCGACAATCATTCCATATTTTGTGGTTGGGCTCAATAACATTTGATTCAGAGCACTAAAAAATATGCCTTATACACAAATAAAAAGGGCAAACATTTCTGCACACACAGCATCCATATTTGTTCCATGACTATACTGCGTTTGACGCTATGGAGTTTCGAAAGGAAAATAAATTCTTAATCATTAAATTGGCAACACTTACATATTGCATATTGAGATATTCAAAGTCATTGTTTTTCTATCAAAATTGGCAATTCAACTTTTCGACAACATTCTCACCCATAGATATTTTTTTCATAGATACCACATATAAATTGAACAATGTAGCAGTAATAGAAAAATATAATTGTTGCCAATTTGAAGAACAATAGTGATGAATTTAACCCTAATTATAAATACTGTCCCAAAAGGGTTAAGACAGCACCTTTTAGAAATCTGATTATCAGTGTTGTAGCCAGTCTTAAATCATCAAAGAGAATGTTAATTTCTAATGAGGGAGAAAAATAATTGAAAGTGAGGTTTTTCCTTCTGTTTAGTCATGTGAGGAAGACTATCACTGTAGCAATGTCACATGATGACACATGTTGTCTTGGGGATAATGGAGGGGGTTGGGAGGGGGGAATTCTGACTAGCAGGTAGTTATGGGGAAGGGGTTGTTTGTCCGGGTTGACAGATTAGGGGAAGTTTTCATAGAATTGTATTTATATATCATTTTAAGGTTAGGGTTAAAGTTGAAAGCACATTCTATTTCCTTGTATAAAATCAAGAAGATAAAAAACATTGTCATATATTATAAAGAAGAGTTAAGAAACGTTCTGGTCAGGGGAAGTAGTCCTAGAATTCTACTTATACATACATCATTTGAAGGCACGGTTGAGAAGTAGGTTTAAAACTGAAATTACTTTCTATTTCCTTGTATAAAATATGTTCCTCATAGCTTCTTATTGGTTGACATAATTTGATGGACTTTTTTTTTTTTCTTCTTCAGAAAATGCTTAATCCAAGGCTTGTTCATGTATTCGGCTGAGCTTCAATGTGACGGGTCCTATCTGACGGTAAGAATTTGACCGCATGCGACATTCAAAATTAACTTTAGAATTCAGGGCCATTTTTTCTTCACCAACTCTCAGAATCATGTGAGATGAGATCACACAATTGTTGCCCTTTCAACAGGGCATTTGTGGGATAACTCCTTTGTAATTGCTTTGTCTTGCTTATACATGTATTGGCTTAACATTGGTCTCAATTATGTTATTATATTGCACATGTGATGTGTTTTCTTAAAAGGGGTGTAGCATGGCATATACTGGTTAGCGCCATCTACAAATTCCCTGGACAACTGCACGTAAACTAATCGACTTGATTAACGGTCAGTGGTCAACGTATGTTGCACACACGTGAATACTGTTGTCCGTAGTCGTATTACCCGAATGGCCCCCCCCCCCCCCCCCCCCCCGAGTCAGGTCACGGAAAGACAAAGTCTCGTCATGCTAACGCCCCCTTTAAACTGAAACCAATTTTGTGTGTGTGTGTTTGCAAGAGACTAAAATAAATGCATCTATCTATCTATCTATCTTACAGTTGGATAGGAAACAGACCGTGTCAATCCATCCCTCCTCGTGCCTCTTCCAGTGCAAGCCGTCCTACCTGCTCTACAGTGAACTGGTCCAAACATCCAAATGTTACATGAGGTGAGGGGTTATTCCATTTTAGATTATAGGGGTGGAATAGAGTAATGGTGTTTGGAATTCATGAGAACAAATGTTAGAAATGTTTTCTACTTCCTTACTGTTGTTAATAAATAAAACTGTTTAAGTATATAAAGTTGTGAAATTCCTAATGTTTTGTATTGTTTTGTGTCTGATTATCTATAACTGTTTAGTCAGTGAGTTTGCAAGTGCTCAAACAATTTCAAATTTCCAGGGATTTTGAAAGAAAATAATTTTCAATTAGAAAGAGGTCAACACATGAAGAAGTATATCTTGATTTTCAAATTTAACAATGCCATTTTCATTATTTGATATCACAATTATGAAAAATTAAATTAAATTGGAGATTTTTAAGTAAAAAAGTTAAAGATGGTACAGAACAGGGTATATCTTTAAATCTACATGCCCATGTAGATTTTTGAAGTTTTGTTTTGTACAGGGCAAATGGGAGGGGAGCTCGCAAGATACGTCACAGAGTTGCCAATTTGTGTTTGATTGATTGCACATTCAAAAATTCAGAACTTTCTTATATTAAATTGGTTTTTGCTCAAACTTTCACTGACCTGTTTGTCTCATTTTCTTGCTTCCATTAAAACCAACTTAAAATCAGGGTTGACTTCTCCTTTAAGTAAACAAGTAAAAGATGGTATAACTTTAATCCTACATGTCCATGTATTTACTCCCAACAGGAATGTGTGTGTGGTGGATGCAGAGTGGCTGTACGAGACTGCTCCTTCGTTCTTCAGACAGAGGTGCGGAAAGAAGAGGTGACCGTAGCTGGTGGTTTCTAGAAGAGACAGAAAATCACCACTGGATCACTGGATTTCTGAGCAGTTTACAGAAGGAACAGAAAATACTATGTCTTGGTATGTCAGACTACCAACTATTAGCATTCAAATCACTGCTTATGTGTGCGGCAGCAGAGATTCTCATCCGCTTGCTCGTGACATCAAGTCTTTATTTTTGGAACAGTCTGACTCCAAGCAGTACAGAATGCAGCAGCACACTTCCTCGCTGGGTTCAAGAAGGACGGAATGCCATCGGCTTCGGGACAAGTATAGGATTGAATTCCAACAATTGAGGCCATCCATAATCTAGTTCCTGGATACATGACTTCCCTCCTTGAAAGTACCGTCTTTGTCTGATGGTCTCACTGTCCAGGCACCCAGAACACATCTTAAGTTATGTGGAGACCGTGCCTTCTCATCCATCGCTTCTCTCTTGTGGAACCGCTCCCTTTCTCTCTTTTTAAAATTTAGTCTTGGTACTTCAAATCATCTCTCAAAAGTAGAGATAATAAATTTTTAATTTGATGCAAAATATTGAAATGTATTTTAGATTATTGTATAATATAATCTATTGTAAAAAATGGATAGTAGCTTATAGAGGAACCAGGGTTGCTAATCTCAAAACAAAAAAATATTTTTAATTTCTTTTTATCAGAATTTTCTTAAATTTCCACTCGCCCTGCTTAAACAGCTGGATACACTTATAATTCAGTAATAATATCTCTAATTGAGAAATTCAAATTCTAAATTACCAGTATACTCTCTCTCATACCTTTTTTATGAACTGAACAAAGAGAAAACAAAGTGAACTCATCAATTTTTTTGATCATGTCATTTTTTATTGCACTTGTATCTACAGACGTTATGTACAAAGTATAGAAATTCAGATATTGTACAAATGTTTTTCTTGACATGAAAAGTGGTGAGAAACGGGCCTCTGTGTATCAAAGAAGTGTGTACAATATGAAGTGTAAAAACCAGACATTGACACAAAAAGAGACATTTAAGTGTTTCGTCGGATGCCTGCAAAAAGGCCGTTTCTGCCATTGATGATCATGGTTATTATGGCCTTCTTGTAAGCAGCCGACTGTTATTCTTTTGTGGTACAAAAGCTGAACTATTTTCTCCCGTCTTTCTCACCGTAAGATTGACTGAGATGCTGTAAGACAAGAACTTTAAATTGTTGATTGTATTTCAGCCAGTGGTACATAAGATTGTCACAATTCATTTACCAAATCATTTCTGAAGTTGCCTGGATGGGAAATATCTGATAATAAGTTCATAATTAGGAGATGGTATAAAATCAACCCAATTGTGCATGTATCTGCTTTAAATAGACAAGTTACCGGTTTAACAATAAAAAACAAACTAGCATACGCTATACAGATTTATCTTCCCATGCATAAAGTGTTGTTACAAATTGGCATATCTTGAGATTGAGATGTTGCTGAAAATTACCCATACTAACTTTTTGCAACTTTTAGTCCAATGTAATTAAAACCATTCTGACTTGAAGTTGTTAACCTGCCCATGTACTGAAATAAAAGTTTATTCAATGAAATGTCCCATTTTTGGTTTATTTGCAACTATCTATACCTTTAAATGTTTTTGGAATATGAGAAGAAAATGTTCTTACATTTTGAACTAGAAATATATATTTCTTACATTGTCCAAAAGTGTCTTTATCTCCTCCTTCTTATGTGATGCCGTGAATGGGAAAGAGAAATTTGGTAATGAATTCAAATGAAACCCATTTTTGTCAAGTCGAGTTGCTTCGTGCTGAAGCAGAGAAATGAGAAGAATAAAACAAGTTTGACTTTTGAAAATCTAAATATGGCAATTTTGTTGTGCTAAAACGTCCCTCTAAAACCTCTGTACTTTTGTACATGAAATGTTTGTACCTCTCTTCTTGAAAAAAACAAACACAATTCTTCATGCCTTTGCATATAATATACAGAAGATAACATGTTCCTGTAGGCTCCCATACATGTAAATATTGAATTGGTTGTGCAACATATACTCTGGCAACAGCTGCTTCAAGGGTCACTTTCACTAACCATAGTCCTAACTTCACCCCAGGACTAAAACTAACAGTAACCCTAAACCAAAACTAAAACCTGATTGCAATCATTTCCTCTATCTTTGACAAAGAAAAGTAAGTCCTGGAGCAAATATATATAAAATAATATGAGAGTCCTAAATAGGGTAAAGTGTAAATGGAAGAGAGAGAGAGAGAGAGAGAGAGAGAGAAGGGGAACTGGTGCCAGTGCAATGACCACGGGCAACAATATCAAACAAAACCAAAAAAAAAGGTAATTTTTCACCATCTTGAATGGAGAAAAAAAAGAAAGGGCAACAATACTAAATACTATTAACATCTTTTTCAGAGCATTCAACAAAAATGAAATGAAATGGAAGTATCTACAGATGAAATTCCTACAAAAATAAAACTTTTTCAAAACTTAACACAAGTGCTGGAAGGCAATAGACTGCCTTTTTCCATAGTACACAGTAAATAGATTGTTGTGCATACCGGTAGTCTAGATGACTAGAATGCGCAAGCACAATGAAGAAGAAAAAAAACCCCATAAAATTAAGTGTTATGGATTTGAGTATCTTAAAAGCTACTGCAGATCACAAGCCCAACTGCAGATCAATTGTGAAAGGAATTGCAAATGTATTAGATAAGAAAGTGTAAAATATTTAAACTTTTCAAGATCGAGCACCGAATGGTCATTTGAATAGTGAAATCAAATATGGGGATGTTTTCGAACCTCAAGTCACTGACAATATTTAATATAAAATGGATTGTTCATGTAGAAAAAGGATTTGATCCAAACAAATCGGCGCTAAAGGCCATTAGTATTAATTTGTGAGCATCAGACGCTTTCTAGATTAACATGTAGTGTTATCTTTGTCATTACATTTTAGTTGAATTTAGTTGTGACCAAGCCTTCAACAAAAGTTTGAATTTCTAAATTGTCTTGTCTAATTCTTCTGCAATTTCTTCAAAAATCTAATCACAGTTGGGATGTTAAGTGTGCAGTGCCCTTCACCGAATTTCCTAAGTAAACCAATCATCCCAAGTAGCTGCACTAATCAATTAAAGAATTCAATTTTGAGATGATATTCCACTTGCAGCCATATTTGACAGCGAAGACCTTGATTAAAAATCATCCAGGAAAATTTAACTGCAGCATTTCATTCCTATTTCCCCCTTGATTGTCAAGAATTCATCTTAAAGGGGTTGTAGCATGACATCTTAACGGGGCTGTAGCATGACGAGACTATGTGTCTTTCCCATGGCCTGACCCGGGGCCAATCGGGTATAATACGACTAAAGAGGACGCGATTGCAGTAGGCCTACGTATTCACATGCGTGCAACATACCCGAAACCGAAGCGTGAGGAGAACTTTGGTCTGTTTCGCCAACGCTAGCGTGCGCTGACCCAGTTAATCAAGTCCATTCGTTTACGTGCAGTTGTCCAAAAGAAGACATACGTGTAGATGGCGTCAACCAGTATTTCCCATGCAACAGCCCCTTTAAACTTTCAGTATGATGACACAAGAGCACAAAGAATACAAATCATTGTGTGCTTGAGAAACAAGTGCACATGAGGTACTTAACATGTTTACGGTGCATTTTGGTTTTTGTGCCTGCCCCCCTATTTTGTTGGGAACTGTTTTTCCCTAGCCAGGACCCCGTTTTACAAATAGTTGCGATTGATCCAAATCAATCGCAGGTTTGCAGTCTGCTTTCTCTTATGTACATAGTTGCGATTGATATCAACTCTTTGTAAGACGGGGCCCAGGTTTGGAAAATGGCCATCTGACTGGTAGTCAAATCCCAGCAAATGTACTGTATCCTGTATTCACAAGGGCTATAGTTCATTAAACATACCGACGAGGCATTTTGTTGAGAACTGTGCCTCTCCACCCAGGTTTGGAAAATGGCAACCTGGGCCCTGTTTCATAAAACTTGTTATCAATAACAAATGCTAAATTTTGATGACAATTTTGCTCTCAGCCAATCAAATACCATGAATTCAGTAGCTTATAACAGTTATTGTAAGTCCTTATTGATAAAAACTTTTTTATGACACCACATGAAATGCATTGTGCCCCGATTCAAAAGGGATGTAGTGAACAAAGTAGTCTCAAACTGAAATCCATGCACAAAAAATGGTCCCTACATTGGCTCCCTCAACCGATGACATCATTTAAGTTGATTGCAGCATAACTTACATACCAGTGTTCACACACATTGAAACATCATAACAACAATAATACATGATCAATAAAACGTGATTTTGGCTGTACAAAATATTACACTGGTTCGCTCCATTGCATATGATTTGTGTAAATTCTAGTACGAAAACACAGATGTGTTCGTACGTACAAACAAAGGCGATTGTTTGAGTTGATGTGCTGTAGTAGTGATTGTACAGTATGTAAATACGTTTTTCACCGATTCATTACATGAAATAAAGTGTATAGCACAGATTGTCTGAACAAACAAAGGCGATTGTTTGAGTTGATGTGCTGTAGTGATTGTAACAACGTTTTACACCAATTCATAATATTAAATAAAGTGGGTAGCACAAATTGTCTGAAATAATATGCTACAAAACGTTTCTCCTCTGTAAGTCAGAGCCGCAAAGTCCCCTTGTCTATTTCATATTTCCTCAAAAGTTTACAACAATCATCAATCATATCTTTGGATTTTTCCAGCTTATCACCCCTTCTTTGTTCTGGAATTAGTTTTCCTGTTTTTCTGTGTATCACGCGCGACACAACAGATGAAAACGGACCACTAATAGCACAGAAACCTCCCTCATATATCATCCCATACATGTACTTGGGGTCTTTGGCAGACAACACAGATCCAACAACTCTTGAGTTACCAGAATGCTTTATCACATTTAACAGGAGACTGGTTTCAAGACCCTTGACAAGTTTTTCCTCGAAATGGAAGTAACTGTCGACACTCACAAAGTAAATATTGGTTGTTGAAACTGCTGTCGAAACGGTCTTCAACCAAAGACCTGAAAACACCCAAGCCGCAAGGAACAACTCCTTGTAACTGAACCTCTGGTCCAATTTTAGTCACTCCCATTTGGTGCCCTAACAGTGATCTACCTCCGTTCTGTAATCAGCAATCGCAAATAGTGATGTCCTCGTTATTGAAACACTTGGTATATCAACCACGCCTTCACAAAGACATCACCGACCAAATTCATTCAACAGCTCCAGACTTTGAAATGCAGAGAGGTTGTTCTTCTATCTTCAGTTACCAGAATCGGATAGGCAATGGAGTCATCCTCTTTCATCCATGATGGCTCGTGGTCCATGCCTTCAGCAATCTTGAAGACCTAACCAAGTCTTTCTATATCATTTAAATCACCATCATCTACTACAGAAATGGAGTCATCCTTGAAGGTTTCCAGGGCAGAATTCTTGATGACCTAGCTTAATGGATCCTGGGTCGTGTTTCCACCAGTCTTGAAATCCTAAAGAGGTCTATGTAGCTCACTTCAATCACCATCATCTACTTCAGAAATGGAGTTAGCCTTGAAGGTTTCCAGGGCAGAATTCTTGATGACCTAGCTCAATGGCTCCTGCTTCCATCAGTCTTGAAGTCCTAAAGAGATCTATCTAGCTCACTTCAATCACCATAATCTATAGCAGCAACCTTGATGACCCAGTTCAATGGTTCCTTGGGTCCTTGCTTCTAAATGCTTTCTACAATCTTCAAGGTGGAGTCAGATGACAGTTTTTGTCATAAGCTACTGAAATCCTTGCCTCTGATTGGTTATCAGCAGATTTGTCACTGATTTTTGTCATTCGCATTGCAAAAAGGCTTTGTGAAACGGGTCCCTGGTCAGCAGTCTCATTGATCCAGTGCACTGGCTTCTGGTTCATACCTCATCTTCAAAAATCCACTCTAATCCAGCGACTCAGAGTTCATGCCTTCCTGCTGAGTAGCATCAGCTTCCCTCCCCTCTGCCTCACTGCTGCCCCCCTCTTCCGCCGCTGCAGTGGACTTGTCCTCCTTGTTCAGCTCCTGTATAAGCTTCTCCAGGTCTGTACCTTCCATGAACGCTTGCTGGTCCTCCTCCATGGGGCTCGACTCTTCCATTCTCGTCTCCGGGGTTGAGAGGGGTGCCGCCGAGGAGGTGGTGGAAGAGGAGGAGGCAGAGGAGGAGGAACAGACGAGGGGAGGGGGCGCGGAACGGGCGACACCTTCATCCGTCTTGGGACTGGTGGTTTGAAGTGGTGGAAGGGTGAAGTCTTGGTAGGATCCTATGATGCAAAGGAGAGAATGAGCGTTTGAATTGTAATGTATCAGATACTATGAGAGTTTGGTGAAAGAAAAGAAAAGAATGATGCCTATGGCCCATATTCTGGAAAACAGCCCAAGCTAAAACTGGCTTAACTTGGTTCCAATTCTGGAAGGGACTTTTGGAAGGACAGTGTCAATCTCTCTGTTCTGTATAGATTACTCTTAGTAATTTATGTAACAAAATGTAACAGAATGAAGCAATGAAATTAATCTGGTCATGAAATGAAACTTGCATCTAATACCATGATCATGAAATGAAAATTGCATCTAATACCATGATCATGAAATGAAAGTAGCTACAAGTAGGACAGTGGGGCTTTAAAACATGACACAACATACCTTTTCTTGAGTAGAAGAGGATGTAGACATTGGAAGCATCTTGTTCTAAAGGCTCTTGATGTGATACCGTCTCGTCATTGCAGTACTGCCACTGCCCTGACCAGGGATTCTTCACGAACGCAGTGTAGTGGCCAGCATTCACACCTGTTCAAATGCAAGAAGTGAAAGGAGATTTATTGGGGTTGTACTGTTATTCCATCTCAAAGACATACAATGACATTTAGATGAAAAGGCAGCACTGATACAAAGTAAACGGTAAATAGCGATTGCAAGGGACAGAGGGAGAGAGAGAGAGCAAGAGAGAGTGAGGTAGAGAAAGAGAGAGTGAGATAGAAAGAGAGAGAGAGAGAGAAAGAGATAGGGAGAGTGAGAGAGAAAGGGAGAGAGAGAGAGAGAAAGAGAGAGAGAGAGATGGAGAAGATAGAAGATGGAGAACACTGATATCTCAAAAAGGATAAACTGTAACCTTAACCAGGGAGGGGGGCACGCTCGACCCTTTGGGGTTAAAAGCAACCACCATCAAAGCAAATGTTGCAGAATCTTTTATGCACTGTTAAATCGGACTCCACTCACCCCCAAAGTGGCTGACCGCACCCTGCAGATCATAGACCAAGTCTTCCTGAGGGGTGGCGACGCCCATGTACTCCCCTACATCCATGTCTTCTACAGGAAAGAGAACCTTGTTGTCTAGTTTGGTGCTCATGGCTTGATGGAACACGAATCTGAAATACAAGAAATAAGGATTCAATGATTAAAAGGGAAGTCAACATTGAAAAAGAGTTGGGTTTTATAACATGCAGAAAATAGATCAGTAAAAAGTCAGGTGAAAATCTGATAAACAATAGAGAAGTTATGAAAAAGTTAAATTTTGTAATTAAGCATAAATTGGCATAGTCGGTCACATACCCCTTGAGCACCTCTTCAACTTACGGTGTACTGAAAATACCACAGAACTTTCTATTTCCATGGTTCTCGACAGGGATAAGTGAGCATGCTTAGGGTCTTTGTTTCACACAGTTCTTATTTTCCTTTTACGTCTACTTGCTATCAATTCACACATAATTTTTTTTTGCAGCATTAAGTTTTCGTGTTGTCTGTTCGTTCTTGTGATCGCGTTATCTCAAGAACCAATTAGTAGATTTCCGCCAAACTTGGGTCATGTATGTATCTTGCAGAGCAAATGATCTGATTTTAGGGTCAAAGATACATGTATATAAAAAACGGTTTGTAATGACAATATCCTGAGAACCTGTTAATGGATTACAATCAAATTGAATTTTAAAAATTGCTCCTGTTTTGGTTTGTATAATCGCTCTATGGCGGAGGCATCATTTTTTTTTACTGTGGGCAGTTAAAGATCCATCAAGTTTTGGTGATGTTTTTGTTGCAGCTGACACCTGTGAGGGAGCATATGATGTTGAAGCCTGGTCTCTGACATCAACTTACCTTTTGAGGTAGACAATGAGGGTATCTGGAAAGCGACAGACAGAGATGGTTTTACTTGCGGGCTGAGGTTTCTTGCATTCTGGGCAGAACCATGGATTATGTTCATCTAATGTCTCGCTGTGGAATCAAAATATTTGATTATTTAAACAAATTGAAAAGGGTGATTGGTAATATATACATTACATAGCAACTCAAAAGGAGTAAAGTTATGCCATAACTGAATCTATTTGGCATATGAAAAGTGACCAACCGCTCAGGCTGAGACGGTTACTTTACAAAGTAATAATATATTCACAAAGTCATTTTCATATTACATAACAGGGTCAATGATCTATGAGAAATCATACATGATACACGGTCACAAACCTACTTGTTATATAAACTCAACTTGTTGTACTCAATAAAAGGATCAATTTCCAATAAATTGTTTTGCTAAATACTGCCAAACCGGACACTTTTGCACAGATGAAATGTTAGCATGTGGTTTAGATTCGAGAAATAAAAATGTTGTGAAATACTTGAATGACACAACAATAAAATCATGAAAGTTTCTTAGTGTGTAAACAGCATTGTTTAAGAAATTGTTTAAGAAATTGTGAGTTTCATGTCGCAAAATTCTCTAGTTTTACTGTATGTTTGTGTTTCCATGCTTGTATGAATATAAGATATCATTTCCTTCATATATTGACTACAGACCTTAAGGTGAATATCTTTGGTCTCAGCTAACTTTTAATGAACAACTTGAAACTCTTCACCATACTGCCAAACACCCTACAACATCCCTCAAACTAGACCCCCAACAACCTACCTCTCTGTGAATGCTTGGAAACAGTCCCTGAGCGTGATTGGCTCACTGCCCTGGAAGTCGCCCACCGATTGGTCCTCGCACACCCTGCTGGTTGAGTCCACTATCTCAGAGGGGAGGTTATGGTACACCACTGTGAGGTGATCGTCTGAGTTGAGTGTAATATCTACCTCCCTCACCAGCTGGCAACCTGAACAGTGGAGATCAAAGCTGCATCGGCTGCAGCTTAGACCCTGATGATAGATGAAAGATTCAAATCATTTCCATCTTTCTATTAAAGGCATCATTTAAAGGTATTACAAAGTTTTGGTACATTTTGAAAATTGGCTGGATAGTCATTCTATACAATTGTGATATATTTGAATGTATTATAAGCTCTAGAAAATTTATCCCCTAAAACACTTCTGCATTCTGAAACGTAACAAAAATTGTGAATTGTTATCATGTAATAATGACATATTGTTCATAGTAAAGTTTAGGCAAACCAAATGTAAATGAAACTGCAACTTGCCAAAGACTGCATACCCTGCATAGGCCTAACTCTGGAAATGTCCAACATGGAAATGTACACATGGGACAATGTTGTACATTCACAAATGTGTGTGACCTGGAATGCTTTATCTACTTGCCTCATTACTGAACAAAATACAGATTATCTTTCAGAATTATTTGGCAGATGCTATTCATGTGTACATATCAATACATTGAATTTTGTATGGATTTATGTTTGATCTTTACAGGAACTCAAGTATATTATTAAGATCTGGAGCACTCACCTGTGAATCTGAGAGTACAAGTGAGAAGGGAGCATGGACAGGCATCACACTCTCCACCTGACTAAAGAGCTCCTCTCCGCTAACCTCGTTCAGTGAGTAAAGCACACGAGGGTGTCCTAACAGATTAAGCTGAAGAGTACAGATACAAAATGAAACAGACAATAATAAAAAACATATCACTTTTTAATGTTTTGCCCCTGGGTTCTTGCCAGCAGCCATGTTAAATACTAAACATCCAAATATCTTATCCATAGGATGTTTGCTTAGCAAAACATCAGGCTATTGATGGCTTTAAGTTGTCTCTGGGGACTTGGTAATAAGAATTAATGCCTTACCAACAATCACTAGCGCATCAACTTGGTTTTGAACCTGGGACCTTCTGGTTACGAGACCGCCACTCTACCCCTGAGCCATCGCTCCTCAACGCACCTATGCAACCATACCAGACGTGACACTTACTCTTAACACCAGACGTGATACTCACTCTTAACACCACAAATGACACTTACTCTTAACACCCCATCCTCTTCCGTATCATTCCTGAAGGTAACCGATAGCAACAGGACTCGCTTCATGAGATTGGGCGTCGATGCCCCTGCCATGGCAACGTAGTCCGTAGCTGGGTCGATTTCCTGACGGCACACCTAGTGAAAAGAGGGGGTACATATGGGAAAATGAAAACCGTTATCACAAATGTAAATTAAAATCACAAATAATAACTGTCATGTCCATTGTGCTGCATTTCAGTTCAAGATGTCATTTTTTTTTTTTTTTTTCCCCCTTTTATTTTGCCGTCTGTCTATGTATCAGTAACTTTGTTTTGTTTTATGCTTTATATGTAAACTTTATTGTGCAAGTATGATCCATTACCTAGTTCAGTTTTGCAAATTGCCAATGCAAAAGTTAACCAGAGGTGATGCAGATTTTTTTTTTTTTTTAACAGAGAAAAACTAAAATATATATTATAAATCTTTTTAAATCAATTTTTTGTTTTAAATTTTAAATTGAATCGGGAGAAATCTCCACTCATTTGGGGACAAAATTTTGATGGAGCAGGTTTGCTTATATTGGATAGAAAAAAATGTGATTCCCATTAACCAAAAAAATATATTTGTTTCATCAAATCGCATTCTTTTAACGACTGTCCCCTGGTGAAACAAAATTTTCAAAATTGATTAGATCAAAACAAACTGGAAAACCCATCATTAAAATTCGAGGTTGATAACGATTAATACTTACTGGGCAATTGACAGTCTGGTCGCCATAATGCTTCACAGCTCTCTGGAAAGTTGGAAAACAAAATAGACACAGTCAATTTGATGTAATATTAAAGATGATTTCCTGTTAAAAAGCTAATACTGTTTTTCATGTAATTTCATTGAATAATATCATTGTTATAGCAATTGTAGATGCACCACTACATATATAAATCATAATCGCCATTAATATTATCATTAAAGGTAAAGACCAGTATTGGAAATGCCCCAATTTCAAAAAATGAAATGGAAGCTCTCATTACCAATCATGTGAAAGAATATGTTTTTACTAATACATGATGATAAAATATTTTGCCGGGAAACCGCCTACTAATTCATATATTTGGTAAATTTGTTTCTCTCATGGTCTGTGAGAGATATAGGGTAGTCCCATATACATCTTTCTGTGTATAGTGCTTGTAACTTTATGAAGAATGGGCCAAATTTCTTATCATTTTGATGATTCCAGAACCTTGCACTAGATGCTAGATGATCAACCTTTTCTGATCGACTCCACAACGTTTCTTTCACAATGCAATCGCATGACCATAACTGGTCTTTATCTTTAATATCGGTATTATCATAATGTTCTTCATCTTTATCATCATTACTATTAGAAAAACAATCACAATCATTATTAATATCAGTCTTAATCATCTTCATCATCATCATCATCACTATCATTTTGAATGGCATAACAATTGAATTTCTTACTTCCATACAAATTGCACAAAGTACTCCGCCACATGGTTGATGGGTTAACAGCTGGTGAGGGGGCAGTTCCTCCAAGCATATTGCACACGATTTCCACGAAGCAATGACCCCCGATGTTGGACTATTCGCCGGAACAATGTCTTCGGGTTGCCTGGCGACCCACGGTATCGATTCACTCTGGCTGTCTGCCCATAACTCAACCCCACTCGATGAACCATGAACAGCTTCCAGACTCGATGATTTCTCTGCAGCGTCTGTACTGTCTGCCAGCGTCCCCTCAAACGAGCTTGACCCCTCACAGTTCGTGCTATCGGATGGACTGAAATACGAAATGTTTGTGAAGACATCACTCTGGTACGGCATGGTTTTGGACGGGTACGCACTGTCTAGACCTGACGTGGACGATATATCAGGTGGCTGTACCATACCACCGATGCCACTGAGCTCATCCGTTGTCGTGGTAACCTCGATGTCCCATGAGCTGGTGACAGCCTGGTAACTAGGGGGCGTGGCATCCCCCATGTGTGTGATGACATCATCGCTCTGTGAACTCATATTGCTGTGTTCATTCATGTAAAGGTCAAAGTTCGATTGCGTTTGCGCGATCCCGGTGGCGTCGCCCTGTTCCGGACAGAGGCTGCTGTACAGTCGTTCCCTCGCATTGCCACTGACTTCAAAGGCATACAGCAAGCGGTAGCAGTCGTTGACGTAACGTAACTGGATGCCATCCTCCTTCATTTCAGAAAGAAAAAGATTGAAAACAGACGCCACAGAATAAGAACATTATACCTTTGTAAATCATACAGATATTAACAATAGAGATTAATCAGCTAAGAATGCTTGTTTGTTCATTTACACTAAATATTTAGAAAAGGAATAAACAGGATAATAGAAAATTATCAAGTCTGATCTAAAGGACTTGGTAATTAATGATTTTGTCCCCAAGTAAAGATGCACATGCTACATACCTGCCAAAATTTGAAAATAAGAATTAAGAATTTTTAGCACGGTATGCCTTCGAAAATCGCACTTGCAGCAGCAGTGTAACTGGCAATATGCGGTAAATCTGTACCAAAAAGCGAATACAAATTCGCTGCTCGATCATGCAGCCATTCAATGCACACAATACGTGAACTCTCAAATTGCAGCACATTATAAAACAAGCTTAACTTGGCTTTAGCACAAAATAAATTAATAAAATATTTTTTAAATTATTTTTAAAAAATCAACAACAAAAAAAAATGAAATTTTGAAAATTCAGAATATTCCCGATTTTCAGGTCCTAGAAATCCCCAAAAACAAAATATTCTGGATTATTCGGAAGGGTTGGCAGGCATGATGCTATTCCATTATGCCCTATTACCTCATGGTTCAGGGAAACTACATAAATGAAAAGTAGGATATGAAGCAAAACTAAATTGATAGTAATATATATATATATATATTTACATACTGTTGAGAGATCAATAATATAATTTTGATTTATTCGGAGACAATGAATATATCTGATGCTAAAGCCAGGGTAATACTATCCAAACTCAAATCAAAATTAAATCACTATCTATAATCACTAAACCTCAACTTTAAAGGGATCCGGTAACTTTGTCTCAGATTCTGAAACAAAATCTTGGATTTAGCTCATGCTGCAATCATAATTATAAACCTTTAGGTCAGTCAGGAACCCCATGGCTTTTACAAGCCAATCGCCTGTCTGATTATCAAGATACTTATGATTGGAAATCGAAACCAAATTTTGCGTTTTCCTGAAGGTTTTCATAACACTACAGTCTATTTGGGAAAACGAGAATGGTGAAACTGATCACTAAAAGATTTTTAATTTTTTGAGGCACTTCTTGATCATTTTGAAGTGCGATTTGTTTTAGGGCTTCAATATTTCACCATATCACATAGGGCCGTGCATCTCAGATTTAACAATGTTAAACGATGCCTTTAAACAGACAAAACTCACCAAAAATTTAGAGACATGATGGTCTAGAACTTCTGCTATAATCACATCTCTCTCCTCCTCCTCTCCCCCATTGATGCCTGAGATAATGAATTTTAAGGCTTGCCGGAGCTCCCGTACCGAATCAAAGCGGTTGAGCGTTACGAGGTGTCTGGTTGGTAAGTGGCCCTGGCTTGAGATGATTGTTACAACTGAAAGATGAAATGAAGGAAATATCAGTAATACCAATTATGATAATTACCTTTTTGGATATTGCATATAACTTATGAATATTTCATCTTAATAGAACCAGGACCCTGTTTCATAAAACTTGTATAATGTAAAATATAAAACTTGCATAAAAATAAAAAACAAATGCTAAATATCTATGACTAATTTGCTCTCAGCCAATCAAATGCCACAATTTCCAAAGTTTATAACAGTTACTGCAACTTGTTAATTAAACAGGGCCTAGAAGGGCGTCAACTCTGTATTATAGGAGATGAATTAATGCCCTTCAGGCTTTTATTAAACAATATATTATTGTTCAATTGAAATTAGTCCTTTCCCTACGAAATGTTGAGGTATTGCACGCTACTTTGTCAGAGAAAAATCAGAATGCACATCTGTGTATTAATAGCATTCATAGCCTACTCAGAGCCTTATCCATTAAGATTATACATGTTTGAATGTTGATACCAAATACTTTTTGCAAATTCTTCCAAAATCAGACCATAGTCTGTGTTTTAGAGAGATGAAGAAATAGAAAGGGAAGGGGGAAATGTGAAGGGGGAAGGGAGGAGAGAGAAAATGGGAAGGGGAGAAGTGAAGTGGAGGGGAGAAGTGAAGTGGAGGGGAAGGGGGAAGGGGGAGGGGGAAAGGGGAGGAGGAAGGGGGAAAGGGGGAAGTGAAGTGGAGGGGGAAGTGAAGTGGAGGGGAAGGGGGAAGGGGGGAGGAGGAAGGGGGAAAGGGACAGGAAGGGGGAAAGGGACAGGAAGAAGGAAGGGGAAAATGTGAAGGGGAAGGAGGAAATGTGAAGGGGGAAGGGAGGAGAGAGAAAATGGGAAGGGGAGAAGTGAAGTGGAGGGGAAGGGGGAAGGGGGTGGAGGAAGGAGGAAAGGGGGGAGGGGAGAAGTGAAGCGGAGGGGAAGGGGGAAGGGGGAGGAGGAAAGTGGGAAGGGGAGAAGTGAAGTGGAGGGGAAGGGGGAAGGGGGAGGAGGAAGGGGGAAAGGGGGATGGGGAAAGTGGGAAGGGGAGAAGTGAAGTGGAGGGGAAGGGGGAAGGGGGGAAGGGGGAAGGGGGAAAGAGACAGGAAGAAGGAAGGGCAGGGGGAATGAAAGAGGGTTGATACTCACTGAGTTGTTTATCCATGGCACGAGGCAGAGGCACTGATAGGTACATAAAAGGCTCAAACATAATAGAAACATGGCCACATACAGCACACACGACCTGTTGATAGAGCACAAATGGTCGAATGTAAGAGCATATCTACGCCATGTCATAAGAATTCATTATTACTGCTCAAAAGCAATAATGACATCAAAAAATGTACCAAAAAAAATTGAAGATATAACCTGAAAATAGACTGGTACTCTTTGTAGACTCCACAATGACTTTAAGGCTCATTCACATATGGTACATATAGTCTAGATAATGTTAGATGTTCCCTCGACGACGCCCTCTATACAATAACTTAAAGTTCTTTCCCCCTTTCCCCTCCCCCTTCCCCCTTCCCCTCCACTTCACTTCAGATGTGGATTTACAATAACTTAAAGTTCTTTGACACTGTCCCTGGAATGTATTGATAATAACGGACTGGTTTCTACAAAAGTTTGTCAAAAGTCCAAGATCTACCCCTAAAATTGATGTAAGGACCATTCAAAAGTAAAAGATGTACTTCCGATTTCATAGGAGGACTAAAGTCCAAGGTGTACACAAAAATTTAACTGGCACTTCCTGTAAACTTAAAATGTGGACTTACAGTGCTTTTAAACTGTCCCTGGAATGTATCAATAACGACAGACTGGTTTCTATGTAGATGCATGTCCCACTCCATCTCCCCTTCTCTCTCCTTCATCATCATCCCCTTCTCTGCGGTCAATGTTGATGAGGAAGATGACGACTCGACCTTCATCCTCTCTCCGAGATCCTCCTTTGCCTTGCACATTGCAGCAACATACTGCTGATTGTTAGGCAAGAAGCCCAGCCCCAACTTGGTGTCCAGGCCCGCTTTGTCGAGAAGATCCGCGGCGCGAGGGCTCGTTAGTAGCTTCTCATTGTCGAAATGCTTCGAGCTGTGCGTCGTCGGCTCCACGGGGGTATCCTCAAACTTTCTGCAAAGGATCTGACCCTTGATCCCCGTGGTACTGTCCGCTGGCCCTTCCAGCTCGGCCAGTTTATTGGTCATCTTCTCGGTGAAGATATTCACCGACTTGGAGTCGTCCATCGATGTCACGTAATCGTGGAACTTCATCGGCGACGTCAAGCCGTTAGTTTCCTTATAGATCTTGGCTATACTCTCCGAGTTGAGGTCCATTTTCATCCTCTTAATCGGGTCAGGTTCTTCTTGGTGACTGTCACCGTCGCCAGAGGATTTTTCCTGGTTGTTGGCCCCGCTCCGTAGATTGGCCTTGTTCTTTTTGGCAGCCAGGGCATTTGATTTCTTGGGTTTGCCGATAGACCTGTTGTTGGCATCGGGGATAGGATCCATAGGGTTTCGAATGGAAGACAGCGTAGGGGATTTGTCCTTCTTGGGAAACTTGTCACTGCTCTCGGTGACAGAAGGAGATATCTACATGAAAGAAAAGATGAGAAATACATAGATTTCCTTTAAAGGTCCATGGAAATGACAATGCTTGAGGGTACATCTATATTTTTAAAAAGAAACATGTATAAGGAATATATGCTAGAAGAACATCCAATATACAATTGCCCCCCCCCCCCCCAAAAAAAAATAATAATAATTTAAAAACAACAAACATGTATGCAAAACAAAGCAATATCCTAATATAGCTATTAACTCACGTGCCTCTCAGACCATTTATTAGGATGTCAGTGTCAAAGACAAAATACAGTCATGCTAAATGCACATTTGTTTTGGATCTTGTGATGGTGATACATTACCCATCTGATCCTTGATATGATTACACCTTTTAGGGGAGCTAAACTCATCAAATACACCATTTCCCCCTGATTTTCTTCTTCTGTGGCAGGTAACTCACCTCTTCTCCTTGTAACATGTTTGTATTGAGAGTCTTCACGTCTTTCATGTAGAACTCTGCAATACTGGGGAGTTTGGTCGCGGTTGCCCCTTCCTCCCCATCTCTCCTCTCCTCCGCTTCCCCCTCCTCCACCTTACTCTCCCCCACCATCTCAGGACTGCCCATCTCCTCCTCCTCCTCACCCTCATCCATCTTGTTGCGTATGTTGTTCTGGTTCGTCGACAGGGGCTCTTCTTTGCCCGAGTCGATGTCGAGCGCCTCCAGCTCGCTGAGCTTGGAGGTTGAGGCTTCCGAGGCGTAGTGGGAGTCGCTGGACTCTTCAGAGAAGTCGGTGGCCGGAGACTGGCTCTTGGCTGGACGGTTGGCTTGGTTGAGCTCCTCATGGAGTGTGTCTAGGAGAAGGGCAAGGAACTCCTGACCATCATGCTGCGGAGAGGAAATAAATTTTATATGAAACATATTCTTTCTTGGAAAATGAGGAAAGGGGGGAGGGAAGAAAGGGGGGGGGGGGAGGGGGGGAAGGGGGGAAGAGAAGAAAGGGGGAATGGGGAAGGGGGAAATGGGAGTGTGCAGGGGAATGGTCAGTGACAAATTACAGATTTTGTTATAAGCTACTGAAATCCTTGCTTCTGATTGGTTATCAGCAGATTTGTCATTGATTTTTGTCATTTTTCATTGAAAAAAAGGCTTTGTGAAACAGGTCCCAGGTGTACTCTCATAGATGGAACATATTCTTTCCAAGAAATAAGAGTCAAATGACTAATTATTTACATGCATGTAGATATTAGTCTTAAAGCCTGTCTACACTAGTTTATCCAGGAGGGATTAGACCTCCCTACAAGGTCACTGACAGGTGGTTATCTCATCAAATCGGCTCTCAATTAACATAAGAAAAAGGGGATCATGGGGGACCAATGGTCACCGATTAGACATTGTTTGATATATAGAGGGCGCAAGTAGCTTTGAGAAGTGCAGTGGGGCTTTAATCCAAAAATACTCACTCAAAACAAAACACACTTGAAGAAAGAATTAGGATGTATGAAAATGAAATAAAGATGAAGAAGTGGAAATTGGGGAGGTATTTCTTTATGAAATCTGTGAGAACAAAAATTGAGGAAGGAAGAGATACATATGAAGAGGTACTCAGACATTCGTGCTGACGACCATTGCTCCAAACTTTATTTCATAACATATACAGAGTTAGGGTTGCCATTCGGTTTTAGGCTACGTTTTGGCATAGTTCCATGCTAATTTTTGTTTGTTGGGGGTTCGAACTGTCGCTAGACCATGTGTTGTACAACCACCTTACCTGTCTAAAATCTTTGAACTGCGGATGAATGAAGCCCATGGTATCCTTGAAGGAGCTGGGATGGAGCACGCTGAACTCTCCCGCCCAGGTCTTCTGCAGTAGCTCTGTGAAGTGGCTGGCCATGCCCTCCTCGGGGAGCCCGTCATGGTCCAGGAGGTAGACGGAGAGACGGGGGTGATGCAGGAGGCACTGGAGACCGGAGTTCATGAAGCAGGTGTTGCCCATGTTCCGCAGGCCGCACATGCCCCGCACTGCATCAGGATCTGAATGGAGATGAACGGACAAATACAATGACTGTCAAGAAAAGGGTCTGTCTGTACTGGTCTTTTGTATTGTTCAGTTCAGTTCAGTTCAGTTTATTTAAAAACACCAGACATAGCAATCATGACGAACAAACATGATCCCAATTGAGACCCCAAAAAGCTATACTTGCTTGTGAGTGGGGCCTCTGAGAAGGATGGACCTCTCTGTACCCCTGTTATGTGGCTGTATGTACTTCTTACCAGGGCGCGACAAACCCGCTTGCCCGACGTCCCGGGGCAACCAAATTGAGCCGTCGGGCAAGTAAATCAAATTATCACTTGCCCGATTCGGGCAAGTGATACTTTTACAGTAATTTCCTAGTGTCCAAGAACTCTACCATTCACCCGTCAACTTCTTACCCGTCGTCAAAATCCAGAAGCAAAAAAGCGATCGTTCCGATTTCGAAAAAACTTCACAGACAGCTAGCCAGCTCAGCTAGCTCAGCGCGCATGCAACAGTGACACTTCAAGCCATGAATGCCGCTCCGCCTCCACGCACGGCCGGCCGTGAGCTAGCTAGAGACAGCTAGCGCGATCGTACCAGCTGCGAGCTTATTCGCGCTCTCTCTCTCTAGCTCTGCAGGCCGCACCGACAGGCCTTTGCTATTCTCTGATTGCCGATTGGTTGAATCACGCCAAATATGACGTCATTATTCTAGGGAAATGAACACGTGCGAATCGGAATGGAATAAACAACAGGGATTTTCTAGTAAGTACAAAAAGTCAAATGTTTGATATTTATTCATAATGACTGTTAATGATTGTGAACATATTATTTAAAACTCGCTGCTCATATAAATCAGATGAATGTTTTTGTCTCGTTTTCAATTTATTACTGCGGTCTCAAGATCCGACCGAGCGAGTCATTTTGATAATAGTATCGAGACCCCCAGAATATAAGCCGTTGTTGTTTTGTTTTCATGGTTTTAGCGACGTTGTTTAGTCTAGTTTTCGCATACTTATCCGAGATTTATCGTAAAATATCTTCAATATTATTATTTAGTAAGAATTTACAAATTTTGGCATGATATTTATAGCAGTGAATGATGAAATAAAAATGTCCGTACTTTATTTAAAATAGTTGATTACCCATTATTTACATGACGTTTCTTGATGGAAGAGTTGACCCAAATTATTAACAGCTGAAAATTAGCCTACGTTTCCAAATGACAGCGGCTTGCACAGACACACATGTGATGTTGCACCATGGTACATGTGGCTACCATTAATGACATGTTTGTATCATATTTTTTACAACAGGGTCATTATGCTTTTTTACATGACTGAATATTAAAAACTTAAACCTGCTTGAACCATTCTACCTTGCCGAGATTCATGTGAATCTGATTATTTATGGAGAATCAATAAAATGCGTTTTTTAAACCTTCAACCATCCTTTGTTGACCATTTTCTTTGACATATTAGGTTATTATTCAGTACAGTTACACTGTACATGTATGTGCATTAATTTGCTATCTAAAACACTAACTTATCATTACGAGATAATAAATGCTTTAACCTCGAGTCCTTTTTCGCTTTAAAGTTTTGGGCAAGTGGAAATATTGTTTGGGCAAGTAAATTGAAAACCCACTTGCCCGACAGGGCAAGTGGTGAAAAAAATTCTTGTAGCACCCTGCTTACAGAGTATTTTTTAAAGGAAACATACACATATCGCAATTGGAAGGTGGTCTTCATACAAAGGTGCACACTATAAATGTTTGTCTGTAATTGTCTTTTGGAATAGACATCTAAGATGTGACTGTATACATTTTTCAGGGACAGATTACAATAGGTAGGTGGTCTTTTTACACAGGTGTTGTGGATGAGTAGATATGTCACAGGACTGTGGATCACAAGGTCCGCGATTCAAGTCCCACCGCGGCACTAATGTCCTTTGGCAAGACATTGATCTACATTTGCCACTCTCCACCCAGGTGTTAAATGGGTACCCAGTAGGATGCGAAAGCTAATGTGTTTAGATGAGAAAGTGCGCGCTTGTAAAAATGACGCCTGGCTGGAATGCTCCCCAGGGAGTGGAGAATGTGCATACATTGTGTGCGGGTAAGCCTAAATCCGATGACCGGGGTAATAATATACAGTGCGTCCCAGAAAAAACGAAACCGTGAATTATCAATGTTTTATCATAACTTAGTCACATTTATAATTAATAAATGACACATTTTTGGAAAGCTTAGGTCCTTCTCTTTCACTTGATGCAACTAGTACGATGCATATTTCACGCATAAATGATTAGGATGAATTTGAAGAGAGGAAATCATGCATGAAGTCTTTCGTCTACAGCTGATTGTCAACAAAACGGAGTTAAGTCTTTTGTTAATTCCGTTTTTTGCTCCGGCAGGCAGCCAGTGAAAACAAGTTCGTTTAATAAAATTATGCAAGCACTACTTTAAACAAACAGAACTTTGTTATTCCTAGCTCATTTTTCCTGACTGAGGTGTCATATGAAAGGGCAAAAACTCAACTTTCTAGAAATGTTATTTTCTCTTTGAAATTCAGATACCGTCCGCCAAATGACTTTTTGGTTTCCTCTCTTCAAATTCATCTTAATCACTCATGCGTTAAATATGCATCATATTGCATCAAATGAAAGAGGAGGATCTAAGCTTTACAAATATGTGTCATTTATCAATTATAATTGTGAATAAGTTATGATAAAACATCGATAATTCACAGTTTCGTTTTTTCTGGGACGCACTGTATGTATCTTTAAAGCGCTTTGAGAGTGCTTTCGGTCCTGAAAAGCACTATATAAGAATTAGCTATTATTATTATTAAAAGGTTTGTCTGTACTCACCTTTAGTATCAGATCCCTGAGATGTGGCTGCGTCTCCATCATTTGCCATGAAAGAGGTAGGCATAGTACTAGAAGCTTGAACTGCAAATGAAGAGAAACAACATTGAATTACCGGGGTAATGTAAATTAAAAACAGTAGAGTACCTAGGATAGAACCTTGTGGTACACCATGAATTATTATTATAAACTACATATTGAGATCTATTAGAAAGATTACTTTCAAACCCAAGATGACAGACAAATTTGAGTGTTGTTCTAGTTTCCGAGTGGTGAGTCAACACGCAGACATTGCCAGACATAGCGCCGGGCATAAATCAAAACTTTAAAAAAAAATATTAAGAGAGATTTACGGTATACTCCATTTATAAAAGTCCACTTGGAAGAAATAGAAATGTCATTAGCAAGGAAAATACTTCCTGACTTAAATTCTGAACTGTAAGGTGAATGGCAAAATTATGGTTGCAGATCATGCGAGCCTTCCAGTAGAAAGGCCTATTAAAGTCAGCCATGAATCATAGTTATAAATGTTATTCCAGTAAGTCTAAGACCATGTTTCATTTAATATGGATGAGGGGTTAACAAATTTCTACCAAGGCGTACTTACAACTATCTATACCGTTGCCGGCATCCAATCCCTGCGGGAGGAAGGGCCCGTAAAGCTGGGGCGGGGTGTAGGGTACCAGCTCCATACTGGACGGGGTGGGGTACTCTAGGCTTTCATCATGGGAGATATCCTCACTCCAACCCCCTAGCTCCGCCTGGCTTAGTGTGGTGGTAGTACACGTGTCGACCTGTATTTAAGAAATGAAGAACAACTTACGAATTTTTCTTTTGCACAAACCTGATTTAAGAGTCTCAGTCATGGAGGCGAAAGCTGAGTCATGGAGGCCTCCATTTTCATTATCAAATGACACCATCAAGTGTGCTTTCAAAATATCTCCATTTGTGGCACAATTTAACCTTCTAAATTGCCTGCATTCTTGAACCAGTTGTATAATGCAAAATGAACTACTTGTATCAAAGCCGGCTTGATCCCAGGGTGGAATTCCCCTTTGAGAGGAGAGGAGGGGGTGGAGGAGAAAGAGAGAACAAAAGGAGGGGAGAAGGAAAGGAAAAGGAAGAGCACATTGAAATGTATTACTATGTCACATGCTATATCAATGTAACATAATAGGAGAGGAAAGAAGGAGAAGTAAAGAAAGAGAGGAAAAAGAAGGAGAGGAAAAAGAAGGAGGAGAGGAAAAAGAAGGAGGAGAGGAAAAAGAAGGAGAGGAAAAAGGAGGAGAGGAAAAAGAAGGAGGAAAGGAAAAAGAAGGAGGAGAGGAAAAAGGAGGAGAGGAAAAAGGAGAGGAAAAAGAAGGAGGAAAGGAAAAAGAGGGAGAAGAGAAAGAGGGAGAATGGAAAGAGGGAGAAGGGAAAGAGGGAGAAGGGAAAGAGGGAGAAGAGAAGAGGGAGAATGGAAAGAGGGAGAAGAGAAAGAGGGAGAATGGAAAGAGGGAGAATGGAAAGAGGGAGAATGGAAAGAGGGAGAATGGAAAGAGGGAGAAGAGAAAGAGGGAGAAGAGAAAGAGGGAGAATGGAAAGAGGGAGAAGAGAAAGAGGGAGAAGAGAAAGAGGGAGAATGGAAAGAGGGAGAAGAGAAAGAGGGAGAATGGAAAGAGGGAGAAGAGAAAGAGGGAGAAGAGAAAGAGGGAGAATGGAAAGAGGGAGAAGGGAAAGAGGGAGAAGGGAAAGAGGGAGAATGGAAAGAGGGAGAAGGGAAAGAGGGAGAAGGGAAAGAGGGAGAAGAGAAGAGGGAGAATGGAAAGAGGGAGAAGAGAAAGAGGGAGAATGGAAAGAGGGAGAATGGAAAGAGGGAGAAGGGAAAGAGGGAGAATGGAAAGAGGGAGAAGAGAAAGAGGGAGAATGGAAAGAGGGAGAAGAGAAGAGGGAGAATGGAAAGAGGGAGAATGGAAAGAGGGAGAATGGAAAGAGGGAGAAGAGAAAGAGGGAGAAGAGAAAGAGGGAGAATGGAAAGAGGGAGAAGAGAAAGAGGGAGAAGAGAAAGAGGGAGAAGAGAAAGAGGGAGAAGAGAAAGAGGGGGAATGGAAAGAGGGAGAAGAGAAAGAGGGAGAAGAGAAGAGGGAGAATGAAAAGAGGGAAAATGGAAAGAGGGAGAATGGAAAGAGGGAGAAGAGAAAGAGGGAGAAGAGAAAGAGGGAGAAGAGAAAGAGGGAAAATGGAAAGAGGGAGAATGGAAAGAGGGAGAAGAGAAAGAGGGAGAAGAGAAAGAGGGAGAAGAGAAAGAGGGAGAATGGAAAGAGGGAGAAGAGAAAGAGGGAGAAGAGAAAGAGGGAGAATGGAAAGAGGGAGAAGGGAAAGAGGGAGAAGGGAAAGAGGGAGAAGAGAAAGAGGGAGAATGGAAAGAGGGAGAAGAGAAAGAGGGAGAATGGAAAGAGGGAGAATGGAAAGAGGGAGAATGGAAAGAGGGAGAATGGAAAGAGGGAGAAGAGAAAGAGGGAGAAGAGAAAGAGGGAGAATGGAAAGAGGGAGAAGAGAAAGAGGGAGAAGAGAAAGAGGGAGAAGAGAAAGAGGGAGAAGAGAAAGAGGGAGAATGGAAAGAGGGAGAAGAGAAAGAGGGAGAAGAGAAGAGGGAGAATGGAAAGAGGGAAAATGGAAAGAGGGAGAATGGAAAGAGGGAGAAGAGAAAGAGGGAGAAGAGAAAGAGGGAGAAGAGAAAGAGGGAAAATGGAAAGAGGGAGAATGGAAAGAGGGAGAAGAGAAAGAGGGAGAAGAGAAAGAGGGAGAAGAGAAAGAGGGAGAATGGAAAGAGGGAGAAGAGAAAGAGGAAAAAGAAGAATTAGAAGAAAGGAAGAGAAGGAGGAAAAGGAGGAGTACTGGGAAAAGAAGGAGAAGAAGGAGACAAGAAGGGGAAGGAGAAGAAAAAAATAGAATGGAGCAGGACAAGCAGGATGAGGAATTCCTATTTTAGCGATGGTTTACTGCATCATATCTGAACGAGCCTTTTCTTGGGTTTCCAAAATGCGAGTCTGTCGTCCAAACAGGCTGTGCAACGTCTACCGATGAATAATTTTGCGAATTTGTAGACCAGTCAAATTCACACAAGTGAATGGCTTCAGAATGTCCTCACAATTGTGCACATTAATTTAGTAGCCCATGCAAATCACATAGGCAGGGCAGAGATTATTGTCAAATTGTCATTATTATGAAATAGAAAACCGCCATTTTGTGCTTCGTTTCAACTTTCAATTTTCATCATCCTGATCATGCGCATTGATTTCCTCATTCCCAGTCCACTCCACACACAAGTGCTGCAGACGAATACGAATAACTCGTTTCTAAAACAACAATATAGCTAGACCGAATTTTCCGTCTCTTTCGTTCGTTAGCCTCTTATTGGGGTAGGGTCGGCTCTCTCTTTAGAGACGGAAGCCGTTTATACACATGTCCTTGCTAACGCCACGGCCAGTCCTGGTCGTAGCGTTTTGCCCCCAAAATCCCCCAAAATGTCATTTTACCTCGAGCATGTTATATTGTAAATTAGGCCTAGGCTATAATAAATCAGTTCCACTTACCAACTTGACTGAAATAATCAGTTTAATAGTCCCTTTTTAGGAAATTATGGGTCAAAATCGAAATCCATTTTGAAAATCTTTTTCAACATGGATTCCGATTTTGACCCATAATTTCCTAAAAAGGGACTATTAAACTGATTATTTCAGTCAAGTTGGTAAGTGGAACTGATTTATTATAGCCTAGGCCTAATTTACAATATAACATGCTCGAGGTAAAATGACATTTTGGGGGATTTTGGGGGCAAAACGCTACGACCAGGACTGGCCGTGGCGTTAGCAAGGACATGTGTATAAACGGCTTCCGTCTCTAAAGAGAGAGCCGACCCTACCCCAATAAGAGGCTAACGAACGAAAGAGACGGAAAATTCGGTCTACAATATAGCCAGCAGATAGAGCAAGATATTTATCACTTGGAATAGCCTCATTTTCTCGTCTCATCTCTCATTTCTCTGTTCACTCTCGGGCACCATTCACAACTGTAAGCAGACACCATCATCATCACCATCATCACCACCACCACTGCACAAGCACGATCTCACAATGAACAGATGAATGAATGAATCTGGACAAATAATATTCGCACGGGACTCAGCTTGGTCAAGCCTTTCACGATAACAATCAACAAAGGTTCAACACAAAGTAAACTTATAAACAAATCAAGAAAGAGAGTTGAGAGTTTATGACTATATCAATATTAAAATCCAGTAAGATTAACAAATTGTGAAACAATAACCTTTGTTTACAAATAAAAAACTTCGATGTTTGTCACTCACCATTTCCGCCATTATTTGGCCATAGATTGTATCCTCGTTCATGTCAAGTTTTAAATAGTAAACCGCGAATGAGATTTTGTCATCAAAACGGTATTAAAAATCATTTTCCTTATCATGAGTTATAATGTGATATTTTAACGATAGCATGTATATTAATCATGTTTTTTAAAGACTTTTTATTTCAATGCCGTGGCTTGAGCGCTTCCATTTCCGGTAGGCGGGCCAAAGTTCGCGCAGGAAAAAATCCAAATGCGGGAAATGTGTCACCATTCATTCTGACAGCATGGCGATGGCGGGGCAAGAGGAACAATTCTCGGCAGTTCTTGCCAATCTTATGTCGCCTGATAACGACACAAGAACACAGGCAGAGGTGATTAATTTGCATATTTGTGTGAATTTAGTATTTCAGTTATTCGTTGCATGTGTTGTGTGTAATGTTATTGTTAATTTCGAGACAAAATACCACGAAACATGGACATGATATTTTTTCAATGAATGAATGAATGAATGAATGAATGAATGAAAGTCTCAAATAATAATGAATATGATGCTTGATGTCTGAAAATTGATGATAGTGACAACCATTATAGTTTGGTTTGAAAGTTTGCCATACTTAACATAGCAAAATTATAAGAATAAAAGATTATTATTGAGATAAAACATTAAAACGAAGAGCTAAAAAGAGAGTCAATTGACTGTGCATTGTCATGTCATTGCATTGTGGCATGCATGTACTTGTAATGTAGCTTGTGATCAAGAATGGAGGGATGTTAACAAAATTACATTAACATTATATTCCTGCAAAGCTACAGTTTGATTAATTTGCTTTGGTATAACTATTTTTTCATTTCATGTTATGGCTGTGCCATAAATATGACAAGCCTTTAAAAAAAACTTTGCAAAAGTCTAGATTGATGCAAGCTTTAAGTTCAATATTTATCTGTTTAACTTGGACAGATAGTGAGGATAAGTCATCTTATTCTTTGAGATTTTCCATTATATTACTGATCTTAACTACATGTATCAAATAATCAAATATTCATATTCATAAATTCTTGCCCAATTTGTATGAATTTGTTTCTATCATGTTCCTCGATTTTAACATTTTTTTTTTTTTAAATAATTAGACCTATTTTGCTTTTACTTTTGATTAACCAGAAATAAGAGGCTGATTCCCTTTTATTTTCCCAATTTTATCATAGAGAGCTCCTTCAACTCTGATAAAAATCTCATGTCAATGTTTTATTTTTTCTCTGTAGATTCTAGGCCTAAGATCATTATTATGATGTATTTAGCGTGTCTTTACTTCTGAGCTATATTCTACTTAAAATGTTTTGTGGACACAGGGACCTGAAAAAAATATTCATGCACCAGTGACAAAAATAAAAAAAATGTTGGCCATAATAATATATCACAAGCGCCTTTACATTTCAAAAATGTTCTTAGTTATAAAATTTTCAATAAGTTCATGGGTTTCTTAGATTACTTGTTTGTTATTCTATTCATATTTCAGACACAAATTCAAGTTATGTTGCACTACCCTCTCCTGTTGGTTACCCATAACCTGTCGATCTCCTAGCACTACATGTTTACATGTACATGAGTGAAAACCATATCTTGCAGAATAGTTGCTGATTTAGAATGTTCTAAATCAACATCCAAAAAAATAAAAATTCTGGAAAAGTTGTGAATGTGAATGGTGAGGCTATTTACAACTTTTACAAACTGAAAAAAATCAAATGCTCATCTTTGATTTAAGATCCACAAAAACAAGGAATTGAAGGATCTTTATAGAATTGGCAGATTAAATGAAATGAGGCACAATGGCCCATGCCCCCTCCCCCCCCCCCCCCCTCTCCTTGAAATCCAAGTGGCATTCAAAAGTACATGAAATAAAACGAAATTCTATGTGAAATAGCGAACATTAGCAATCTGATAAAATTCCATCGAAAATCAAATGCCCATCTTTGATGAAGATAGACATTAGTGTTAAGGATTGAAGGACCTCTATAGTATTGGCAGATTAGATGAAAGGAGGCACAATGGCCTATGCCCCCCCCCCCCTCCATTGAAATCTAAGTTGCATTCAAAAGTACACATACAGTACTACAACACCCTGTCCTTTTTTAAATATTTTAAAACCCATGGAAGGTATCTGCCTGTTTTGTTTGGTTGCTTTTCAATGAGAGCATTTTCTGACTTCCATTTCCTGCATGATAATAACACTGCGTCCTAGTGATCCTTAACCCTTACTGTACTGGGCTATTTTGAGCACCTCATGACTGGGGGGGGGGGCCTGGGAGGCCCCCCCCCCCCCCCTATGATCTTGGCCGTCGAAAGTCCGATGAACGCGAAAATTTGCATGTTTGTAGATATTTACATAAGGGACAAGATGATATAACTAGTTTTTGTCTCGCCTGCGTAGCAAAAAGCGAGACATAGGCGCCGCTTTTCCGGTGACGGCGGCGGCGACGGCGACGGCGACGGCGACGGCGACGGCGACGGCGTCAACATCAAAAACTTAACCTAAGGTTAAGTTTTTGAATTTTTGATATAATTTTGAAAGTATAAGTTCTTAGTCAATGAAACTTTGACTATAGGGTAATCAAGTATCCCCAATCATGTGAGTAGAATTTCAGATCACAAAGTCAAGGTCAAAGGTCATTTCAGGTCAACAGACTTGGACTATGTTGTAGCATCATCATCGAAAACTTAACCTAAGGTTAAGATTTTGAATTTTTGATATAATTTTGAAAGTATAAGTTCTTAGTCAATGAAACTTGGACTATAGGGTTATCAAGTCTCCCCAATCATGTGAGTAGAATTTCAGGTCATTAAGTTAAGGTCAAAGGTCATTTAAGGTCAATAAACTTAGACTTTGTTGTGGCATCAACATCAAGATTTTCAAAATGCTTCTTCTTCGTTATTTTTCAACCGATTTTGATTCTGATTGTTTCATATGATAGGGCTAGGAGGGGGATTTAAAACTTCTACACAGAATCGTGAAATTCATTATCTATGCTAATTTATGCTAATTTATTCGAAATCACAAAAAATGCTTCTTCTCCTTCATTTCTCGACCGATTTTGATTTGGTTTGCTTTATCTGGTTGAGCTAACTTTGGTACACTAAACTTCTACACAGAATTTTGAAATTGTTCTCCATTAATTAATTATGGTAATTTATGCAAATTTATTCCAAAAATAACAAAAGTTGCTTCTTCTCCCTCATTTCTTGACCGATTTTGATTTGGTTTGCCTTATCTGGTAGAGCTAAATTTGGAACACTAAACTTCTACACAGAATTTTGAGATTTTGCTCCATTGATTATTTATGGTACTTTATGCAAATGAAATGAAATTATGTCCCTTCCAGAGCATCAAATTTTTATTTTTTGACCAGTTCAAAAGTGTACCACATAAAACTTACGATATTTGTTGTTGCGAGATGCGGATGAGCGCTGCGTCATTGACGTTCTGGTTTATCATATTGAATTGCGTTATGCAGGCGAGACCGCCAAGAGCGTTTCCCTTGTTTCTTAATATGCAAATTTTTGTCGTTATAGCCTAATTAATTATGCAAAATGCTAATTTTATGCATTTTCCAGAAAACTCTACCTTTTTGTCTGTAGACTTGTGAAGAATTTTGAAAATGTATTGAATAAATGTTTCCTTCATCTCAAATTCATGAGGTTACATTATTTTTGTGATATTTGAAAATGCATAGGTTAATTTGCATAAATTTTTTGATGACATGCACATACTAATTGTTGTGTAACACCTTACAGGTATATCCGATTTCAACGAAAATGGTATCAAAATGTGCGTAAGACTTGAGGGAAAAAATTCATGAAACGACAATTCAAAATTCCAAGTGGTTGCGGCGCAATCTCCGAAAATGTCGAGGGGGGGCGGCCCCCCCCCCCCCCAGTACAGTAAGGGTTAAAAAAAAAATAAACCATTTATTGAAAACCAACCCCTTCTCACATATAAAATGGGTCTTGAGAATATCATTTTTGAGAAAAAAGAAAAAAAGTGAATGGCGTTAATATTCTAAAAAAAGAATGAAACACCGATAATACCAAACATCAACAACATCAGGCAAAAAATTAGGTTTTTCATTTCGGGGGCTCCATTTCAAATTTTGGGGAAATTTTCGGGGGCTACTTTTTCAACTTTCGGGGGCTCTTTTTTCCATTTCGGGGGCTACTTTTTCATTAATTCATAAAAGGATAGGCCTACAGTTTGTTGAGATTTGTTTAGTAGGCTAAGGTTTCGGGCTTCCTGCTTCATAATTGCCTATTAAAAAAGAAACCCCTTTTTCTAGTTCAATAACTAAGTTTTCATGTATTGATTTGATGCAAGAACTGTAACATAATAGACCCTAGATTGTGACTATTTCTGGCCATGAATTTCGATAATCATTTTTCAAAGTAAAATTTTCACAAGAAAATCAGACAGTCGTTTAAAAACGTAGACATTAGTAATACTTTTACTAATTCTAAGCTCAGGTTTCGTAAATCTATTCACGAAACTATATTGAAATCGCGCCAATAATGATGCAAACCAACAGATAACAATTTCAAAGTGTCAAATCTCTTCGACTCGAGCTCAGCCCAACTCACACACACACTGCAGTTGCAGGAAACTTCAACACCGGCGCCACAGGCGTCGGACGCCTGCGCTGCCGGACGCCTGCGCTGCCGGTGTTGGAGCTTTAGCCCATCTTCACTCACACACACTGCACAGCGGCAATGCACTGTATTGTAGTTAGTACAAATGCGTGTCAGTCACGGTGATTTTGTCTGATTTTCTTTACTTTTAAGAAATGATTATCAAAATTACGTAAACATGGCGAGAATATCACAAAATAGGCTTTAATTTCATACCTCTATTTATGGAAACTTTATAAAATTGCGGCAATCGTGAATTCGTGATGGAAATTGATTGCAGTTTCGCGATCATTTAGTGGTTCATGGTCTAGATTCAGCTTCTACCAAAACAAAATCGACCGCCAAAAACTCGACCCCTACGCTCCGTCTCGATCTCTCGCAACTGCGAAAATGTACGTGTTTTGGCGTACTTGCGTGCGACATGGTAAGCCAGGTAAGGTATGGAATATGGTTCGAGTTTTTTTACGACCGATTTTTGTTTATACAATTTTACACGGAGATTCAGCGCGCGGACCAAGAAATGCACGCAATGAATACGAAGCTAGAAGAGAGCGCGCGACCGCTCGTAATCGTTACGGGGGCGATTTGAGATCATTTCACTTTTTGATGTCGCCCCCGAAATCGGATTTTGAGCCTATTTCGGGGGATGTTTATGGTCTTTCCGGGGCGAATCCGCCCTCCGCCCCCGTGTATTTTTTTGGCTGAACAACATCATGTCCCATTGTCCTAATAGGACGTACATACAGTATAGGACAATTGCTATGTTTATGTAGAAATACAGAGGTGCCTCTTGGAGTGATACCCTGAGAGAGGGAGAAAAGGAAGGAGGGAGAGGGAGAAAGAGAGAAAGAAAGAAAGAAAGAGAGAGAGAGAGAGAGAGATAGGGAGGGGGAGACAAAGAGAGATGAAGGTTTGTCTTGGCTATTAGAGATAGTTATGGACTGATCCTTTGATGTAGGCTCATACTGCTAATGTAAGCTATGCCTCGGTCTCTACAGTTTTCTTGTAAACCAGGTCCTGGTGTCGTGAGGAGAGAAAGTTGACCGGGGCTCTGAGAGTCCGGGTCGTTTACACACATGTCTCGGGCCTACTGTATACTCCTTCAGATTTTCCATTGATTGTATTGGTATTAGGTTTGGTTTATTGAGATAGAAATTGACATCCAGCTGATAACCTTTCAATTTACAGAGTAAAAAGTGGAATAAAAGTACATTGATATCACATTACATTTTGAAATATATAAAAAACTAAACAAGTATTGTGTATATTTTGATGTATATATTTTTCTGAATGATTTTCATTTTCATATTGTTATTTTTTGTGTGTAAATTTTACTCACAGCAAACATATGAAGGCATAGCACCGGCAACGAAGGTCCAATTTCTGGTACAGACGATAGGAAGTCAAGGCCTACCCGAGGTAAGTGCTTCCTTCCCTTTTCCCTCTAAAAATAGTTCTTTTTTCTCTTCTTTTTTCTGTTCCTTTTAAAGAAACAAAATTGCTGTATTTCTCTCTGTAAAATAACAAATTTCAAGAATCAAAGGTTCTATCTTTCTGACTCCAGTTAGAAATTCAGCAGGAAAAAGGAGTATCGAATTCTCCAAATGAACTATTGAGGAAATATCATGATGGTTTTTTAATCTATCTTCTGAAGAGTATTCATATTTGCTTTATTTCAAGCTTGAATTCTTCTTTTCATGTATTTTCCTTTTGGGGACTAAAGAAAAAATTTGCAGCACATTTTTATTTTTATTTTTTTAAATTTACAACTTTGCAGAAGGTAAAGTGAGCTTTACAGATATCTCTGTGATGGAATTGATAATAAACCCTTTGCTTCTGGGAGCCAGGTGGCTTCAGTATTAGGCCTTTAGGACTGACAGAATTTTGTAGTCAAGGGCTTAAGATCTTGAGATTTAATTTTCTCACTCACTCACTTCCTTACCATGTAGAGGACGCAGCTTGCAGCTGTACTGCTCCGACGTCTCTTCAACACAAACTTTGACCAGGTCTGGCCTGATTCGCCCCAGGATGTTCAAGAGGGGATCAAAGCGCAGCTGGTCCAGATCCTGCATCACATCAACGATGGCATGTTGAGGCGGAGGGTGTGCGACGCCATCGCAGAACTCGCCCGCAATCTCATTGGTAAATTCAAGATAATGATAGTCTAGAGTGCATGCTCTATGCACCAATTACGTAATAAGAACATCGACAGATGATTTTCCAACACATGCTCCCCTGACAGCTGTATCCTATACTAAACAAATTCTTAACTTTGTCCCATGGTCAAAACTAACCCTAAACCTAAACTAACCTACAACCCAATTGCAACCTGATTCCTGTATCTCTGAAGGAATGAATTCGCTGAAACCACTCACCTTGAAATTCTCCAACACAGATATGTACATGTGGGAAACCATTGCTATTAGAGAATGTACATTGACCTGACACAATCCTGACTTTCAGTAGAATGCCTTGTTCATTTCATTTGTTACACGTCAGTTTCACATTTTATTTACTGCATTATTTGGCAGATGCTACAAAAAGGTAGTGACAGTTCTATTGGCTTCTGTTGGATTCTATTTTCTTATTGTTTCCGAACCTTATTCAGGACTTGGCCTTGCACAGAAAGTTTTCTTTTGGAGATCTGCAGGCATTTATTGATGATTTCTTTTCTGTTATTGTTGTATTTGTCAATGTTCTTTGTTACCCATATACTCCTTTGTGTTCCTGACAGTGCAATAAAACAAACTAAAACTTAAATGTGAACTCCAGATTATCTTTTGAATTTTACATTGTTTGCAGACGATGAAGGGAATCAGCTGTGGCCGGACATCTTGCAGTTCTTATTCCAATGTAGCACCTCAACCAGCCCGGAGCTCAAGGAAAGCGCACTCCATATTTTCAAGTATGTATATGTGAAACATTTATATCTAAAGGCATCGTTTAACAATGTTAAATCTGAGATGCATGGCCCTACATGTTATCAGTGTCTGTGATATGGTGTAATATTGAATTTGAAGCCCTAAAAAAAAATTGCGCTTCAAAATAATCATGAAATGCCTCAAAAAAGTAAAAAATCTTTGAGTGACCGGTTTTACCATAATTATTTTTCCCAATAGACTATAGTGTTATAAAAACCGTTAGGAAAACAAAAAATGAAATTGATTTCCAAACATTATTATCTTGATAATCAGACAGGCGATCAGATTGTAAAAGTCATGGGATTCCTGACTGACCTAAAGGTTTATAATTATGATTGCAGCATGAGCTAAATCCAGAATTTTGTTTCAGAATATGAGGTAATGTTATCGAGTCACTTTAAGGATGGTGCATGGGAGACAAATGGAGTCGTTATGGACAGGTTATTTTGATACAGGCTCCAGTATGGAAAGGCCTCTGTTCAAGTATCGCAACTGGTGTCACTGATAATTTATGTAATCACTCAATCTGTCCAAAGATTCTCAAACTATAAGAGAAGACTCACGTTGGTAGTAATATTCCAGGGGCAGGGAGGAGGAGGTGGTTGTTACCTTGTAGACTTATCTTAATTTTTAATTTCTGAGAGTTACATGAGGATGATGTATTCATATGATTGAGTACCAAATATTGCAGAATGGTCACTATTCATTTAAATTCCCATTAAATCCTCACCACAAAAAGGTTAAGAGCACTGTATTTTGTTTTCGTGTAAATTATTATTTTAGAAATGAGAATAAAAGAATAAAAGAAATGATATCCTGTTTCAGTCACGAGGTCAGTTAAAATTTTAATAAATACTTTCAATTTTGCATTTACTTCCTGTATGGCCTTCCTGCCACATGTATGCGAAGGACGTTTAGATGCACAATTTGTAAGCAATCTATTCGTTTCTCTGGGCATGGGGTTCATATTACCAAGTGTTAATCCCATACAATGATATTTTGAATGCAAATTGCACAGTTTGTCAATGAGCCTGCATGTCCAAATGCGCCTTTCAAACTAGGTTATGATTGATCGATTTGCTGTGAGGAAGGTGTACTCTGCAAAGTGGCTTTGATAGCTTCAGAAGTGGGCGTGGCATTTGAATCAGCTGTTGATGTTGTGTCCTTAAAATTAGGCATTTTAACAATTACGTATTACAATTGCAAATCTCCTCATAGGAGGGAGGGTGGAGAAAAAAAACATTACAATCAATGAAATTCAACAAATGTATTATGCCAGTTTAACACTTCATAAATCAGATTGAATTCAATTAATGTCTTGAAACACCACTGACATTTAATAAAGAAACAATCATTTAAACAAGCCTCCATGAGCGACTCGAAGCGAGAATGTGAAGGCGATCGTTTTCGGTCGAAGGGCTGATGACAATGTCTGGCTTTCATTCTTACTTTATTTCATTTATAAGACTCTCTTCTTTATACACATGCACAATTTATCCAAATCTGATTGCATTTCCAACCCTTTCCATCCTTCTTGAATGAATTAACATTTGAAGCCGACATTTTGAATATATTGAAGTGACAAAAAAATATAAACATACAGAGTAAAATATTATTTTTGTGAATGGTACACTTTAACTAAGGCTGCTTTCAAGGCTTATGACTGATGTCTTTACTCTCTTCCTTCACAGTAATTTTCCTGGTATTTTTGGCAACAAGCAAGAGTATTATCTGGTTGTCATCAAAGGCATGTTGGCACAGTGTCTTGAAAAGCAGGAACAACCCCAGGTTCGAATCGTTGCTGCCAAGGCTACGATATCATTCATCGTGACCAACGGGAAAGAGAAGGCCATACAGAAACATTTTATGGATCTTATGCCTGGTGTTTTGGATGTAAGTAGATGAAATTGTTGTCATACTAGGTTGTTAGAAAGCAGACTGTGCTGACAAAATTTTGCCACTATGTTACACTACCACTACAAACCCTTATTTTATTTCTATCCTGGCATTTGGTAAATGATTTTTAAAACATTTTTTTTTTTTTAATTGATATGTTTCTGGGAAAATAGCTGTGTTTTTGTGAGGTTTCCTCTGGAGTGACTTGTATCTTTTTGCTCTCTTAACCTCACATGGGTTGAGAGTGGCAAATGCAGATTAATGCCTTGCTACAGAAAATTAGTGTTGTAGCAGGGAATTGAACCCTGCACCTTGTGATCTATGGTCCATTCACTTATCTACGAGACTACACCCCTTTAAGAACATTGCCAATATGTTGCCAATTTGATTCTTTGTTTCCTCCAGATCGTCACAGAGAGTATCAGTGGTCAAGAGGATGATACCCTTCTCAAAGCTTTCTTAGAGTTAGAAGAGAGTACACCGAAGCTCCTCAGACCGTACATGGAAAACGTCCTCAACCTTGCCATAGGTGTAAGTATAACATCCAGGGATGCTAGTTTTCAGGCAAAAGCCTGAATTCAGGTCCTAGCGATTTATTTTCAGGCCATAGTTTAGGTCTTTTTGTGTTCAAAATAGCTCATTCTAGGTGATTTTCAGGCCCTCTGATCACTGACATCCCTTAACATCATGTTGTTAAGCCTCCGGAGGAAATATTTTTTTGAGTGTCATAGCTGTCAATTTCCATGAAATTCCAGGGTTTTAGTCCTGCCATGTACAGAGGAACCTCATTATAAAGAGCTCTAACTTTAATATAACAAGATATCTGCAAAATCACCTTTTTATAACGAGGATGTTGCTGGTCCTAGCTCTTTATATTCTTTTGTGTTTTTACCCTGATATAACAAGGTAATTTCCTTGGTTCCAAAGACCTTGTTATGTAGAGTTTCCACTGTAACAAGAACGATTTGTTTTTTATTGCAGATTATTCTAGAAAGTTAACTTATTTTTGTTTTTGTCATTGCAGAATATTCTGGAAAGTAACATGTATTGTTTGTTTATTGCAGATTGTTCAAAAAAGTAAATGATAATGATAGTAATAGTGGAGTCTTGTTAAGCGCTCATGTCTGACACGTTGCAACTCCTGGCGCTCCACCGTTATTAGCATGGCTGCCATTACAGCGCTCAAGCATTTTAGGAATTTCTTTCTTGCCCAAGGACATTAGCGCTAACTTGTTTGTGTTTTTTATTGCAGATTATTCGGGAAAGTAATCTCCCTGATAGTTGGCGACAGCTCGGTCTGGAGATGGTGGTAACGTTGTCAGAAGCAGCAGCAGCAACGTTGCGGAGATTTCCCAAATACATCGAGACTGTCGGTGAGTGTCTAGTAGTACTAGTGTTGCCAGCATATGGCTCTGGCGACAGTTATTCTGTAGTTAATTTGTTACGCCAGCTGAAGTTCTGACTTCATCCCTGGATCAAGTACTGCCACGTTTCCTAAACTCTTCTAGATAACCAAAACTCAATTTCAACCTTGACTTTATAATTGTGACAAAATAAATAATTGTGACCAAAGCAATTGATGCTAGGGCAACTGGTAGGTCATGTCTAGATTGTGCTAGTCTGGATAAATTGGTCTTACTACAGGACTTAATTTCTATTTATTTTGCCCCTGTAAACAAGTTTGCAAATGTATTGATTTCAAAACTTCTCTGTTTTTTCCTTTGTTAATTCCTGTTCTCAAAATTAATGTAATTTCAAATAGTGAAACCAAATAGTGATTGCCTTTTTTACTCATGTATCTGGTATAACAAAATTATTTACACAAACCGCAAAATGTAGGCAATTGTCAAGAGTTGATTTTCTGTAATCTCTTCATCTCTATCGTCTTTTAGTTCCTTTGATGCTGAACATGATGATGGATCTGGAGGAGGAGAACGACTGGGCTAGTTCTGACGAGATCGAGGACGAGGACAATGACAGTAATGCCGTGGCAGGAGAGAGCGCCCTCGATAGGTTCGCCTGTGGCATTGGAGGAAAGACAATGCTCCCACACATCACAGCTGCCATCCCTAAAATGTTACAGAATGGTAATTTATGAACAATTTTTTTATCCTTTCAATAATAATTTATTTTTCAAGATTAAGAGGGTCAGGATCTGAGCAATTCAATTTTCAATTCACTTTTCAATTCAGTTTAAGTTTATTTTGACAATCTGATAAAAATACAAAACAATCAAAAGACAAACAAGAATGCATCATAAGTATAATATAACAGAAAATGGTGGGATCGACAATAGGCAGGCCTTTCTATGATCAATCCTTGGAGTATATATATATATAAATGTACATGAAAGTAAAATTTAACAAAACATTGACTAAGTAGATGAACTAAGCAGATGAAAGAATTTTGTTTTAGCACTAGTTTGAATAAGTCTTGAATTTTAGTTTATACGGTGCCAAAATGTCTACTCTTAATTGTAATTTTGGTTAACAGAAATCATACTCCTTTGACCTCAAGTACCCTAAATGTTGGGTTTGAATCAGGGAGATCTGTGTTTATCCTAGCCCTACAATCAAATCTTCGAAATGTTCATCAACTTAATTTCAAATGCAAATGCAGGGTGGGATTTCATGATTAAGTTTACCTTTCCCAATTTTAATATATCTAACATAGGGAACTGATGGAATCAAACCTTTGTTTGACCCTTAAAACAGGAAAATGTTGTTAAAACTGTTTGAATTCAGAAATTTAACAGCCGAAGTAGCTGTAAATTTTCATCATCCTTTGAATCTCAATTTTTTTTTCCATGTGAAGTCATCTGTTACATGTTGGGAAATGTGTTGATTAAAAATCTCAAGTGGTGTCGTGGCTGTTCTTTACCTGAATTTATGTCACTCTGCGAAAATTAAGTCTTTATTTCTTTCAAATGTTCACTATTCCTACCAATTTGCTCCGTCCTTAGCCGACTGGAAGTCGCGGCATGCTGCTCTGATGGCAATATCCGCTGTAGGTGAAGGGTGTCATAAAGAGATGGAAGCAGTGTTAGACAAGGTGTTAGACTCAGTACTGCCATACCTGATTGATGAGGTAAGAAGTGTTAACAAATGTGTAAAGCAAGGTGTAAGGTATAAGGGTCCATTCACTTATGCCATGGTAAAATGCAGTGTTTTTAGTGCTGAGAGAAGACATGACATTAAAGTTTAATGAGCGAAGATACAATACAACTCTGCTTTTTAAAGCTATTGGCAGGAACACAAGTTTTCTTTGCCCAGCAGTTATATGATTGTCCCCATGTGTGCATTCTCGCACCTGTCACCCATCCTAATCTGTTTGTCTCCCTCTTTTGACAGCATCCGCGAGTCCGTTATGCAGCTTGCAACGCTCTAGGTCAGATGGCAACAGACTTTGCTCCAACATTTGAGCTCAAATATCATGCAAAGGTATGTTTTTTTGCATATTATTTTATTGGTTTGTTGTTTGTTTGTTTGTTTTTCAAGCTGTAACAAGCCAACTTGGTTGGTCTATTTGGGGTTTTTCTTGTAGGAAATACTGGCATGATCAGTTTTCAGGAATTATATGTTACGTGAAGTAGTTCTTGTTCAAAATTGCGAGGAATGAAAAGAATAATAATGCTAATACTGCAAGTAAAAGTTGGCTTTGCTAGTCAGCCTCTGTGTTCAGATTTAATTTGATTTGATTTGATTTGATTTCCACTCAAATATCCACAAATTGAATGACATATATAAACCATACAGTAGTACAATATATAATTGAACAAATGAATTATACAAGTTACGAAATACTGACAAGTATGTTCGTAATCAAATAAGTTTACAGAGTACATTTAAGTTTGAGAATTGGACAAAATATTTTATATTGCTTGATTTAACTGAGAGGGGAAAAAAGGGAATCTCAGAAAAGCTAGGCTTGTTGAGCGAGATTCCCATTTGCTGGACTCTAGCTTAGATGACCATGGCCAATCACTATGTTTTTCTTAAGTACATGTGAATTTCCTTCATTTTCCAAAATTATTTTTATACATTTTCCAGGTTATCACTGGACTCCTCCAAGCGCTGGACGACTACGGCCACCCTCGAGTCCAAGCCCACGCCGGTGCAGCCCTGGTCAACTTCAGTGAAGACTGTCCGAAATCCATCCTTCAACAATATCTTGGGTCCATTCTAGAGAAGCTGGAAGCTATCATTGCCATGAAGATGCAAGAGGTAATACAGGCAGGGTCCCCACTGTCATGGAAAACCAGGGAGGTGTTTCACAAAGACTAAGATTGACTTTAAGTTGGACTTAACTATGGCAGGCTGTTCATGCCACTGGTTTCTCTTACCATTTACTGGCATTGGTCTCTGAAGGGACGTATAAATCATGGTCTAAGATCTACAGAATTAACATTTTTTGATAGTTCATTATTTAATGAAAATATATGATCTAAAGATCATAATTGAGAGGCCAGTAGTGAGAGGAACCAGCGGCATGAAGGGCCTGTCATAGTTAAGTCCATCTTAAAGTCGGTCTTAGTCTTTGTGAAACACCCCCTTGGAAAAAAGTGGACAAAAAAAATTCTTCTGGAAAGTTATTGAAAATAACAAAAAATAAAAATCTTTCCAAAGTCAGGGAAAGTCATAGAAATTGTGTGAAGGAAGGTGAAGGCCATCACAAACATGACATGATATATATCACTGTGTGGTATGCATATGCCGCTTCGATGCTGCAACACATACCAACATGATACTTATGGCCCTGTATTCTAAAGAGTTGCGATTGATTCAAATCAATCGCAACTGTGTTTTTGAGAGATGGGAGTCGGATGGATGACGGTTAGGTTAGGGTCGCAACTGGGTTTTATGTTGGATTTAGACCAGGGTTAAGTTTAAGGTAAGGTCGAGGCTGATTTTTAATTGCAAGAAACCTTCTAGAAATGAAAAAATAACCACTGTTGCAATTCAATCATATCACTTCATGAAATGTTCCCAAGTCTGCACCAGTCTCATAGTTTATGAAAGTTTTGTGCAAATTTACTTTTTTCTTTTCAGTAACATACAATAGACTTCAACATTGACATTCCATTTCAATTGTTCCTTTTTCTATCTTTCAGCTTCTCCAAAAGGGAACTAAATTAGTCCTGGAACAAATGGTGACCACACTAGCTGCCGTTGCCGACACAACGGAAGAGAATTTCACACCGTTCTACGATAAGTTCATGCCAAGTCTCAAATACATCATCCAGAACGCTAACACAAAGGAGTACAGGCTGCTGAGAGGAAAGACCATAGAATGTGTCAGTTTGATTGGTCTGGCAGTGGGAACACAGAAGGTAAAGCTTTCTCAAAAGTGGGGATGATAACAATGAGGGTGAAGATGGTGGTGGTGGTGGTGATGATGATGGTGACGGTATTGGGGTTAGTCTTGGTAGTGGTGATGGAGAGGAAAGACCATAGAATGTGTCAGCTTGATCGGTCTAGCTGTGGGAACACAGAAGGTAAAGCTTTCTCAAAAGTGGCAATGATATTGATGATGGTGGTAGTGATGATGATGAGAGATTGGTGATGAGAATGATGGTGGTGGTGATGAGGATGAGAATGATGGTGAAGATGATGGTGGTGGTGATGATGATGATGATGGTGGTGGTGATGATGGTGAAGGTGGTCGTGATGGTGATGATGAGAATGGTGATGATGATGACGATGATGACGACGATGATGATGATGATGATGATGATGATGATGATGATGATGATGATGATGATGATGATGATGATGATGATGATGATGATGATGATGATGATGATGATGATGATGATGATGATGATGATGATGATGATGATGATGATGAAGAAGATGATGGTGATTGTGATTGATGGTGATGGTGGTGAGGAAAAACCATATAATGTGTCAGGTTGATTGGTCTAGCAGTAGGAACACGGAAGGTAAACTTGCTTAAAGATGATTTTGATGGTGCTGGACGTGATGAATATGATGATAGTGATGTTAAAGGGATCCGGTAACTTTGTCTCAGATTCTGAAACAAAATTCTGGATTTAGCTCATGATGCAATGATAATTGTAAACCTTTAGGTCAGTCAGGAACCCCATGACTTTTACAAGCCGATCACCTGTCTGATTATCAAGATATTTATGATTGGAATTATAAATCTTGAAAACCATTCGCCTGACGGTTTTCATAACACTACAGTCTATTGGGGAAAACGAGTATGGTGAAACCGGTCACTCAATGATTTTTACTTTTTTGAGGCACTTCTTGATCATTTTGAAGCGCAATTTTTTAAGGGCTTCAATATTACACCATATCACAGACACTGATAACACGTAGGGCCATGTATATCAGATTTAACATTATTAAAGGTGAAATTCAAAGAAAATCACAAATATGTCAACTAATGTATCACTAGAAACTGGTAAGCTAATAGATGGCCATCGTACAAGTTTGAGGTCAGCTACATATCGGGTGATTTATAAAAATAAAAATACAACCACTTCCATAGCAGCTGGGATATACGAGAGATTCGCCAGAAAAATAACGATGTTTTAATGACGTCACAACAGGGATTAATACTGCCCAAGCAGACGACATCCCATAAAGAATGAACATAATTGCAAAGCTATTATTCGTCAAATTATAATGAGTTTAGTATATATAAATGTACTGGCACGTCAAACCGATCAAAAGGGGACATGACCCGATTCTGATAACTAAAATCTTTTGCTTGTAAATACACAGGATAGGGGTTAATTAACAATCAAAGAAATCAGACTTTCAAATTGAAAAGCCCCCGGATTGATATTAGGGACGGCATTTGTTCCCTCTTAAAACGCCGAACATACCGCGGTGTCTGCAGCTGAATATACAATGGCGTCTTATTTTGTTTACAAGCGACAGATTCCTTTATTTTTGTATCGCTGCATTTGTCATCAAAATAAAACCATGCGCGGGGTTTAGAGTGAGGCAATAGATTATACATTTAGCCTGACGGTAGTGAAGTAAGAGAAAGAACTCAAGAGAAGATGAAAACACAGGCACTAAAAATGTGTGAGATGTCATGGGACATCGTCTGCTTGTGCAAATCATGTCCCTGCTGTGATCTCACACATCTCAGCAGCGTTCGGAGAGCTAGTCAGGTGCTATACCGGGGCTGTATTTAAGCGTTTTGTAATTTATAATAATCATTACTTCGAATGTTTCCAAGCATTGAATTTTGATAATCTTGTCGAATCAAAGTTTCAAATTTGCAATAATGAAAATAAAGCTAGATTTAAAATCAATGAATATCTACTTTAAACGATCCCTTTTTAGTAGTTGTTTAGGTCACATTTAGTAGTGGTTTAGGTGGTGGTGGTGGTGGAAGCAGGGGGGTGAAATGAGAATGACAAAGATCATGGTGACAATGCTGCTGATGATTATGAGGATAATGGTTGTGATAATGATCATGAGGATTATAATGTTCGGGATGATGATTGCCATCATGATGGGGATAATGATTGCCATTACGATTATGAGGATTATTATGACAGGGATGATGATTATGATTATAATTTCCAAGCTTCCATGTTCTCTCCATAATCCATAACAGTTCATGCAAGATGCCAACGACGTGATGGACCTCCTCTTAAGAACACAGACGGACTCCAGCGAGCTAGAGGACGATGATCCCCAGACCTCATACATGATATCTGCCTGGGCGAGGATGTGCAAGCTTCTTGGACCTAGCTTTGCAAACTATCTGCCGGTCGTCATGAAACCCCTCCTAAAGACTGCATCCCTCAAGCCAGAAGTTGCCCTCCTTGATTGTAAGTTAGAGATGATATTAATTATAGTTATTGAATGTATTATTATTATCTAAGTACAACTTTGTAAAGCGCTTAGAAGCATTGTAATAAGCGCTATATAAATATAATGTATTATTATTATTATTATTATTATTATTATAATCCCGAGTTCTGGTAACTATCAAGAGTAAATTTGAACAGAATCTATCACAATCAACACCAAAAAGTTATATGTGGATATGAATAAATAAATGAACATAGGAATAGCATCAGCCAAATGACTGTAAGAAAAGTGAAATTGCTGAGTTATAAGTTAAATGAATTAAAATGACTGATAAAGAAAAGTTGGAAGTGCTCAAGTGCATGAGGAGAGTATATGTAAAGCATTAAGTTACATGAATATGAAGAAGAAAAAAACAATAACAAAATATAAAAAATTAAAATGTTAAAAGCTGAGTGAGTATAATTAACATTCTTTTGATGGAGACTGTAAAGAGACAGTATAAGATGGCTCAATCCAGAATGATTATTTGCATTTTGCAATTCTATTTAATTTTTTATTTCAGCTGAAGATGCTAAGAATATCAGCGAAGAAGAAGGATGGCAGTTTGTAAATCTTGGTGATCAAGTGAGTGTGGTCATGAAATAATTCACACAACAGTCTAACTCTTGAAGAAAAAAGTTGATTTGTGGTATTGAAGAGAGCACACTTTTTACATAAATCCAGATAAGTATCAACAAAGTTATTTCCAAAAGAATTCCCATTCTGTGAGTAGATGACAAGAGTTGAAGTGTACGAATTACAAAAAAAAAATTGTTTCTTTATGTTAGTAATTCTCGATTTTGTGATACTAAATTCAAAATATGAGCTTCAAATATTACTATGTATAAAGATTTTGCAAGTTTAAATACTTTCTCGATTAACACTCTAGCTGTGCACACATTTGTTAGGTGATTGGTACACTCAAAATTCTGATGTGCAATCATTTTTGTCTCTTGTAATGTTAAAGTTTGCATTAACATACATTCTCATGTGAATTCATCTGTTCTATCATTAACATTTTGATTACAGCAAAGTTTTGGGATCAAGACGGCCGGGTTGGAAGATAAGAGTACCGCCTGTCAGATGTTGGTTTGTTATGCCAGAGAGCTCAAGGAAGCCTTTGCAGACTACACCGACCAAGTGGTCGACATCATGGTCCCTCTGCTGAAATTCTACTTCCATGATGATATCCTTTACATACGATATTCATTGAATTGGGGGAGGGTGGGGGGGGGGGGCTACTACTACAAGTGTGTGTAAAAATTTTTTAAAAAGTCATTTTCCTTTTTAATGGTGAACCCACCCCTATCTGGATTTACGATGGTCTATAATTTGGTCACACTACCAATCCGACTCTAAAACAGTCTTGCAGGTCAATGAAATACAATTATTTGTTGCATTCAATTCATGGTCTTGGAGCAGCGGGACGTGGGTGTAAGGTCCAAGAATGATAATAATAGGTCCATTTATATAGCGCAGCTACTACATGAATTTACTCTACTGCGCTTGATACAAAGTGTTATAGTATTACTTCGGCTTTAGCTGAGCTACCATAATAAGGCGCTAAAGCATTCAAGGATGATTGTTACTGAGTTGCTTCCTTGACGGTCCCGATTCACTAGTGAGGTACACTGCCTCCGAGTCCCTCCCCCTCCTACTGGAATGCGCCAAGATCAAGGGAGAGAAGTATGTCGAGGCCAAGTGGGGGTACATCTATCCAGAGCTACTCAAAGCCATTCAGACAGAGCCAGAGGTGGACATCCTGCAACAGCATATGGAGTCGTTCGGCAAGGTGAGTGTGAAGTCGTCAAGGAAACCATTTCAAGAGGAAGTCCACCCTTACAGAGCGAATTGGAGAAGAGCTTGCCAGATATGTCACAGTGTTACCAACTTCTGTTTCACTGATGTCAACTTCAAAAATTCATAAGTTTTTTAATTTTTATAATCAGATATTGCTCAAACTTTCACTAAATTGTTTCTCTCATTTTTCTGCTTTTTATTAAAAGAAACTTAATTTCAGGATTCATTTATCCCTTTTGTGACGATTGGGTAAATTTTGGGGAATGGTTCAATATTTTGTGGTTTAGTGCCTTTAAGTGTATACCAGATGCAAAGCACAAGTAAAAAGAGCAAAGATTTTGCACATACCATGCAATTTGTTCTGTTCTAACATTGCGTTTGATGCTAGAAATGTTATAAACTAAAATATTAGCTGTAGAATCTTCTCATTGGTTAAATCGTGAGAGGTTCAAAATCGTCATTCAAGATTTGCAATTTTTAAACTGATATTTTCATGAAATCTATCAAAAAGTTGACATTGTTAGCAGTGTGCATTGAAGGGATAGTTGACCTTGTCCGCAACAAAGGTGAAAGTTTGTCTTTGATGTGTTGAAAATTTCAATGACAGTGAGCAAACTGAATTGATATGAGCGAAAACAGGTGATGGTCAAGGTTTTCTGTATCCTTCAACGTATTGATGGTCTTTGGAAATGTCGGCAATGAAATTTCACCAGCGCAACCTATAATGACTTTGAATACTAGATGGAAAACACTTATATGCCACTGACCAGTATTTGAGATCTGGGCCCTGTTTCATAAAACTTTGTATCAATAACAAATGCTAAATTTCTACGACAAATTTGCTCTCAGCCAATCAAATGCCACAAATTCAGTAGCTTTTAACAGCTATTGTAACTTGTTACTGATAACCAGTTTTATGAAACAAGGCCCTGTAACATTGACTACATGTATTAGACCATCAGACTGATTCCCAGTCCCACATGTGTAAATTGTGGTTTGTGCCATTAGCTTTGTGATCGGTTTAATAACTTTACTTATACTTTCTGTCTCCACAGTGCATAGAATTCTTGGGACGTGGCTCATTGAATGCCAATCAGATGCAGGAGGTCGGCACAACGTTGAATGACATGTTTGAACAGCACTACAAGAGACAACAAGAAAGACAAGGTAAACATGATAAAACACCGTTCACACTTGATGTTTAGCGGCCAACCATTCCACTTTTAGGGAATCATTCCTTTTTTTGGGGGGGGGGGCCTTCAAACTAATGCCATGAAGCCCAGATTCTTCAATTTTCCTGAAAACTTAAGTGGTTGCTAATTTTTGCAACCTTGACTAACCCTATATCTGACAAACAAATTCTTTAGCAGTTGTTGGGGTAGCATAGATAAGAAAACATTCTTTTTCACTCAAGAACTGTTATTTTGATTATCTTCATTCAGTTCGAATTGATTCAATAGTAGTTTCATGTCATTTTTTGAATTGCATGCTTCCAATGATTTCTCAGTGAATATTTTGAATTGCATCTTATCATTTCACACTTTATTTTGACGACAGAACAAAGAAAAGATGAAGACTATGATGACATCGTGGAAGAAGGCCTTCAGGATGAGGTAAGATAAGCAGGCCTGATAAAAAAACAGATTTTCTTTATTTTTCCAGATTTTTTTTCTTCATCCCGATTTAGAAAAAAAAAAAAAAAAAATCCAGATTTTTTTTTTAATTTTTTTTTTTACCAGAATTTTTTACTTCCCTATTTTATCCTGATTTTCCCATTTCCCCCCTTATTTTCTCTATTCTTCCCTATTTTTGCCCTATTTTTCCCCAATTTTCTTACTCGAAAGGGGGGAATTGTTAGATGCCATTTTTTCCCCGCGAATCCTCTTCTTTTTTTTTACTTAAGGGGGGCGTGGTTGAGGGGAAAACAAAAAAAATTTTTTTTTTTTAGTGCTCACTATCACCCCTGGATAAGATTTCATCAACCAATTTTCCTCATGACCAATTCTGGTTATATTGCTGTCAATTTTCATGCAGAAATCTGTAGTAATTGAAATTGACCATGATACTAATAATGAGACTGATAATAACCTGTGATGAAAACTACTATATCAATACAAATATTACTGTTACCAATCAAGTTTGATAATGAAAATAATTTTAAAAATAAACAGTGTAAGGGATACATGAAAAATAAGATATCTTTGCATTTTAATTGTATGTATGATATCCGATGCATGATATGTCTCTGTTTTTCGACTTGAAATGTGCGGATTGAATTTATTTATCTTTTGTGTGAATGAATATTTGTCTCTATATGTAAGCTTACCATTTCAATATCCAAAAACAGCATGAACGAGCGCCACATGCAAAGATGGTTGGACTTCATCCCTGTTTCTATAATTTTTTCCATCTATACAGGACGATGATGATGTTTACCTTCTCAGTAAGATCTCGGACATCTTGCATGCCGTATTAGGAACGCACGCAGACATCGCCCTACCACTCTTTGAAATGCTGTTGCGAAACATTGTCAGACTACTGGTAAGATGTCCTGTAAATTTCCTGCATGGGAGTGGAAATAGATTTGGTTCTGGTATTAGAAATAAGAAATTGCAACTAGTGATGTTTAATTTCTGTAAAGTAAAAAGTGATGTACATTTAAGTACAATTAAATATTAATACAATGCAAATAGTTGTGAATTTGTAAGGAAATTTTTCTATCCCTGGTGCCAATTTAAAACTATATCTTGTAGTTACAGAACCTACTTGATCTTTATGCTCAGTATAATGATGTTTAAATTTTCAAGCATTCTAAGTAAAGCAAGTGAAAACATACTAAAAAATTGTTTTCTTTCTTTTTTGAACTGATGTATTTAAAAAATACTGAGTTTAATCTTTTACTTTACTTACAGCCAAATGACAAACCATGGACGGACAGACAGTGGGGCATTTGCATGTTTGATGATCTCATAGAATTCTGTGGACCCGTAAGTCAAATTTTGCTTTTATTTTTTTTCCCCATGAAACTAGAATAGATACGAGGATGTTCTAAAGCTCTAATACTATTTTCACACTGGCAAAATGTTGCTTAACCCCGTACTATAGGTGGGGTTAAGGGGGGGTCTTAGCCCCACCTATAGTCCGGGGTTAAGCTTATTCCACTTTCTGTTCAGACTCGTATTTACCAAAGTGGGCTAGCCCCACCTATAGTACGGGGTTAGCTGGCCCTGCAAAATAGCAGGGCTAACTCCGCAATTGTGGTGCTAACTCCTGCTAACACCGCAATTGCGGTGCCAAGCAAATGAATGAGAACAGAAACAAAAAATACAAAAAAGTACATGTATACACATGTACATGTTTCAATTAGTTCATTACACGGGTAATACAAATTTCCATACTGTACCCAGAAACATTTTACAGTTATAGAAAAACTCCCAAAACATTTTAAAGTTTTAAAGTATTGTGATATCATTTGTATCGATATAAAAAAATGTGAGAAAGCCCAGAATGCTTATTTTTATAGCAATTTTCTCGAGTTTCAAGCACTAAAGTTGGGTCTTGATACGCATGCAACTTTACTTAGTTGGATCTTCAGATTTACAGGTCATCGACGAAAGTAAATACACAGTCACCATAAAAATTGTTATTTATCTAATTTTATTCTACGTTGTGATGTCATTTTCTTTTAACAGATTGCCTGGCAGTACAAGGATTATTTCCTTGGTCCCATGCTACAGAATCTGTGTGATAGGAGTGCGGAGGTCAGGCAGGCTTCCGCCTACGGGTTTGGGGTCATGGGCAAGTGTGGAGGTCCGCAATTCGCTCCTGCATGTCTTGGTAAGTTATTCTCTATGTTGGAAGGTGTAGGTGGCGGGGATAGAAACAGTTGGTTAAAGGGATTGGGTATCTTTGCCTCAGATTCTAAACAAAATCCTGGATTTAGCTCATGCTGCAATCATAAATATAACCTTTTAGGTCAGTCAGGAATCCCCATGACTTTTTCAAGCCGATGTTTGATTATCAAGATATTTATGATTGGAATTTGAAATTTCAAAACCATTTTCCCAACGGTTTTAATAACACCACAGTCCATTGGGAAAAATGAGTATGGTAAAACTGGTCACTCAGAGATTGTTACAAGCGCATTTTAGGGCTTCAATATTACACCATATCACAGACACTGATAACACGAACGACCATGCATCTCAGATTTGTAAAACTTGAAACATTGTTAAATGATGCCTTTAAAGTAGGACCACAAATTTGGCAAACATGTGATTGGTCCAGATTTTGTGAAAGCTTCATGCCATAAAGATGGCCATTAGCAAGTCTGAAGTTCTGGGGGGTGTTTCACAAAGACTATGATCGACTTTAAGTTGGACTTAACTATGGCAGGCCATTCATGCCACTGATTGCTGTCACTATTAGTTGGTCTCTCAATTATGATCTTTAGATGACACTTTTCCTTCAATAATGAACTATCAAAAAAAAGGAAAATTCTGTAGATTTGTGACCATGATTTATACGTCCCTTGAGAAACCAATGCCAGGAATGGTTAGAGGAACTAGTGGCATGAATGGCCTGCCATAATTAAGTCCAACTTGAAGTCCAATGCACTCTATATGATAGAACTATGATCTGATTCTAGTCAAATTGACTTTATCATTGGACATAAACATTCAAGCAAGTTTAATTGATATCATTAAGATTCTGAATAGTCGCATGAATATGGACATGTGAATGCTGGGATTGCAAGGTTCCTTGAGGGAAACTCCTCAGTATCATTATTAAGCAAATAATTACCGTTGGTGAAGGTGATGGGATAAACTATCACTTCCGAGGCAATCTGGATGTAGCTATCTTTCTGTAGCGAAGATAGTAGTACCATCTACACAGTGCAACATACTTTTCTTCTCCCATCAATGATGGGCGAACTATCTTTCATCACGTGATTTACTTTTGACCAATCGTTGAGCAAGATTTTTAGTTTGTGGAATATATGATATCAAATAGCTCACTTCAAAGTCGATCCATTTTGTTTTCTCCTCTCATCCACACAGAGGCTGTCCCCGTCCTGACCAAAGTCATCATGCAGCCGGGAGCGAGGGAAAAAGAGAACCTCAACGCCACCGAGAATGCCATCGCCGCAGTAACCAAGATCATGAAACATCACCAAGCCAGCTTGAACATGGCAGAGATCGTCCCTGTCTGGTTCTCATGGTTACCAGTCACAGAAGACAAGGAGGAGGCAGGCCACATCTACGACTTCCTCTGCGATCTTGTCGCGACGTAAGTGCCTTTCATCCTTTCAAATTGGCAATACCTATACTTAAAAATTTGATTATGCTTTCTATTGGTTTAAAGGGGCTACCTTTTTTTATATTTATGCCTCCGTTACGAAGTAGCCGGAGGCATTATGTTTTCGGGTTGTCCGTCCGTCCGTACGTCCGTACGTACGTACGTCCCGTTCTTGTGATCGCGTTATCTTAAGAACTGGTTGATGGATTCCTGCCAAACTTTGGTCATGTATGTATGTTGTAGAGCCGATGAACTGATTAGATTTTGGGGTTACGAGGTCAAAGGTCAAAGGTCACAGGGCTGATTATGTATGCAAAACGAGCTCGTGATCACGTTATCTGAAGAACTGGTTGATGGATTCCTGCCAAACTTTGGTCATGTATGTATCTTGTAGAGCCGATGAACTGATTAGATTTTGGGGTCACGAGGTCAAAGGTCAAAGGCCACAGGGCTCATTATGTATGCAAAACGAGCTTGTGATCGCGTTATCTGAAGAACCGATTGATGGATTGCTGCCAAACTTATGTCATGTATGTTACTTGCAGAGCCGATGAACTGATTAGATGTAGGGGTCACAAGGTCAAAGGTCAAAGGCCACAGGGCACATTATGTATGCAAAAACAGCTCGTGATCGCGTTATCTCAAGAACCGATTGATGGATTCCTGCCAACTTAGGTCATGTATGTTTCTTGCAGAGCCAATGAACTGAGTAGATTCTTGGTTCATAAGGTCAAAGGTCATGGGCTCATTATGTATGCAAAAATAGCTTGTAATCACAATATTCTGAGAACCTGTTAATGGATTACAATTGAATTCGAAAAATTTCTTCTGTTTTGTTTTGTAAAATTGCTCTATGACGGAGGCATCATTTTCGACTGCGCGCAGTCGAAGTTCCATCTAGTTTCATTTAGCAGTTACATTCGTACAAGAAATAATTTTTTTTTTTTTTTTTCCTTCAGGAATAACGCTGTCATCTTGGGAGCAAACAATGAGAATTTACCGAACATCCTGTCGGTCATCGCAGAAGCCTTCGCTAGAGAAGCTCTCACGGATAACGAGGAGGTTTTCAGAAAGTGTAGCAACATCGTTAGGGAAGTGCAAGTGAGTTGAAACAATTTATTTGTAATCTTAAAGCCCCTCCTAAGTGTTGGGAGCCCCACAAATTTAATGGTAAAATTTCACTTAAATTGTATCATAATGTGAGTAGGATGTCATTTAAGACACACTGCTGCAAAGATTTCGCCCCCTCCTCCCCCCCCCCCCCAAAAAAAAAAATGTGTTGAAGACAAACATTGATAAGCGAATACATCATTTGGGTTTTCTGTTGAATGTAGAAAACCTAAATTTTGTATTCTGTCAATATTTGTCTTCAAACACATTTGTTTTGAAAATTTATGCATAAGTGTCAATGTGTGTCTTAATTGACATCCTCTGTCCCATTATGATACAATTTTAAGTAAAATTCTGCCATCAAATTTTTAGCAAATTTGGGGCTCCCAACACTTTATAGGGGTTTTAGGGATTGGACCAATTGAAAAATACAAAGAGGTATATATATTAAATCAATTGAAATAAAAATCCTTGTATGAGCTGAGAGTGGTTCAAAAAGGTATCTTGGATGAATTAAACCCCCCCCCCCCCCATCCCTAGAGCATAAAAGGGGTTTGTGCAGGTGCGCTGATTTGTAGTCATGTTCGGGGGGGGGGGGGGGGGGTTCAACATTGAGGAAGTAGGGAAGGATCTGTAAGACATCCTAACCCCCTCCCATGTAGTAATTTTATATTTTGCAGGGGGGTGGGGGGAATCCCCCTGGAATTGCCGCTCCTGATTTTGAGGGTTGTAAATTGTAAATTAAGCATATTCTTGGGAAGCTCATCGTTTTAATCGTGCACCATTGCCATGTTGTATTGTTTACCGGTAATTGATTTGTTTAAAAAAACTTTTATTACTAGTCCTTTGGCAAGACATGAATCTACATTTGCCACTCTCCACCCAGGTGTAGTAAATGGGTACCCAGTAGGGGAAAAAAGATCCTTGAATGCTGAAGTGTCTTATCAGTTAGTGACAGAGTAATAATATGATTCTGTGCATTGAGCACATAGACTGTATTTGTATAGTAGCAGCACTGTATAAATGGACATATTATTAATGATCATTTTCACTTACTCTTGTCTTACTTTCACAGAATAACAATGAGCTATGGGCTCTATGCCTGACTCAACTAAACGAGGAGCACCAACATGCCCTCGTCACAGCTCTTCAGATGACGGCTTCATAGAGGGCGACAAACAGCATCCTTGTCTTCTCTCAGGCGCTGTGCGTCTCTCATCAAATCACGGCTTTGTAGAGGGCGACAAACACAATCCTTGTCTTCTCTCAGATGCTGTACATCTTTCATCTCAAAATCTTATCATCGATCAAAAGTCTGTCTTTGCTTTTTATTCCAAGTGTGGCACAAAAGAATTTTTAGTCCGTCTTTTGCAACGCATCAATATTTTTCGCATTTTCTCTCCCATGTCTATCATGAATTCTAAAATGTACATAACATAAAACGGAGAATGCTTTCGCTAAGTAACACTACATAAGATATATAGTAACATCGTTAATACAAAAAACAACTATTATTAGTGAAGAGGAATAAAATAGAAATAATATTCTTATTTCAAAACATTAAATTGCGTGGTCTTATACCGTTTCAACTAAATTTGTTAGTTGTTTCTAGTTACCCTAATGCAGCATCTCAGTTTATCATCTAAATACAGATTGCGTTGCTAACATGAGGGTGATGTATAGATCTACATTCTGACATGTACACGCCCATTGCATCAAGCTCTCCCTATCGAGAAAGAAAAAGAAGAAAAGTATGAAGTTATCGTCTATTCATCACTCTCTTTAACAAGTAATTCCAAATATTTTTTCCTTTTCAATGCCTGAGGTTTGGTAGAATACATTCATAGACTACCAGTAGATTATATGCTGATGAAAGATAGATTTCTGTAATAATCTATAAATAGATTTCTGTCATGATCTATAAATAGAAATGCATGCAGGGTGTGTGATATGCAGTGAAACGATATTAAAAGATAACATTTTATATTCCGGTATGAATTTTGGAAACTTTAAAATGTAGCGTATCCCTTTTGCAGACAAGAGGAATGGAATTGTATGAATACATCTGTACACTGAGGAAAATACTTTTTAAGAACTCGCCTCAAAATGTAGGAATTAGGAACTAACTTTTCTAATATAAGTGATAACATTTTAGTGAAGTTTTTGGCAGGTTGCCAGATATTGTTTGGCTATGAGGGGCCAAGTGTAACACTGTAAGTGTATGGCTACTTTGATGTCAAAATAGAATCAATGTTATCACATAAAGCAAATCTTAATGTTTGAAAGCATTTGCAAAAGGGATAAACTACCTTTACTTCTTTCTTTCTAAAGTCTGTGAAAATATTTCACACAATATAGCATGGAGTGTTTTTTCTTAGTGTAGTTGAATATTCGAAAAGCATGCCATCTTTGATTTTTCCCTCTCATTTTCACATCATTGACCAAGTCAGTACTATTCATATCCTTTTTCTTTCCCCCTTGCGAGATGAGTTTTGTAGTTTCGTATAAAATAGCTGCCATGTTAGTACAAGATTACAAGATTTCATCGATGATTTTGGTGTGTGCATGACATGAATATAACGACATATGAATGCATGGTGTACTTCTATTCTGTGTTCAGATTGTTCAATAGGTTGATATGACTTTATTATTTCAATCCATTTTCATTTTAGCGTCAAGGACCATTTATAAACGATTCCATATTACCTTTATTTGCTTGATAAGTTATCTAGGATTTCAAAGAGCTGTGTTATTTGTTTTCGGTTTTATGTTGTTGGTTTTTCTGTGTGGTTTGGGTAATCCATGATCTCAGTATGTCATAAATAAATGGAGAACCAAGGGAAGATTCTGCCGTAAAATGTGATAATAGACATACTGGTTAAATTAGTCTCTAATTATACAAATAATGGTCTGAATAGAATTTGACAAACTGCAAACAAACAATTAAGTAATTTGTTGAAATTTGAAATCACTTTTAAGTTACATCATGATGCAATATTACCTAATGGTTGTTTGCTTACCGTTGATCTTGTCACAAATTCAAGTTTCAAAGTTACAGGCAGAAACGATTGCATCATGAATGCAACAATTTGGGTCTTTGAATAGAACTTAACAAAACATGAAGCTTTAACTACAAACATATCTTGAACACGACCATGATATAACCCCCATCGAAAAGAAACAAGTGTTTCACCTGTGTATTTGTCAGCCATACCATATCTTTCTCTTTGTATAAATGTAGACAAGTTTGTACAATGTACATTCATTTGCTATAGTACTAGCAGTATGTCATGGTTTATATGTATTTGTCTATTGTTTACTTGTTTTAATACTTGGTCATTTTTGTTATGCAGGGTGTGTGATCGACGTCCCCTTCCCTTTTCTTTCAGATACCATCTCATAGTATAAAATGCGTTTAGAAATATTTAGAAAATTTATATCTCTTGTATTGCATCAAAATATTATTTCCTAAAGCTTCATCAAAGCCTATGTCTCTAGCGCATCATAATGTAGCCTTCCCATGTAATGCTCATAACCGACATGTAATTAGGCTCTTTAAAGTTAGTATCATGATTATAATACTAGACCCTTCCTACTTTTAGTTTAATAACATCCAAGTTAATTGCCCTTTTCTTTTCATTTCAATAGAATGACCAAAGCCCCTTACCCGAGTTTGGCAAAGTCAGAAGGGTTTCTTTTTCCTTAACTCTTTTGGAAAATAGATTAAGCCACCAGCATCTGTACAAAACAATTAAATTTTTCTCTTTAACCCATTCCCACCGGTTAATGAAATTCTAATGTGGACTTGTGTTTTTGGTAGGATTGTGTACTTCAAAAATATTAACCTTTAAAGGAGAGATTGCAAATGCTTTTTGTGAATAATAAAAGACGTGTGTGTACATTGTGTAAGTATAGGTATTCAAATGGTATTTTGAGGGTTGTAAAAAGTTTACAATTTTGTCACTTAGAGACCTTTAGCAGCATATACAATCAGAAATATGTTAAATGTAAATAAACAAATGGTTGAACTTGAAGCAAACGAAGGAATGTGCAACATATGAAAGCGAGCAGGAGATGCAAAAGTTGCTTTGAAATGCGATTTATTTTTGTATATTGTACATGGCAAATACATATCGAAAGAGAGAATTTGGGGTTGAATTTTACGGCTATAGATAGCTTAGAATTAAGGCTGCTCTCATTTTTCATAATTTAAATACAGTCAAACCTGTCTACAGCGACTGCCCAAGGGAAACTTAAAAGGTGGTCTTTGTAGACGGGTTCCTTTAGTACATGTTTCAATGAGAAACCATTTCCAAGGGAAACAACAAATGTGGTCTTTGTAGACAGGTGGTCACTAAAGCAGGTTCGACTGTACATGTACTGGTACTGCAGATATTAATGGACAACATTTTCCGCATGTACGGTTATTTTAGATAGTTTGCTCAGTTTCGATTAATATTCATTGCACTCCTATTTTTGGACATACTGTGTGGTGTATCATATACAGACCTGTTATTTACAGGGTCAAATCTCAACTTCTAATCCCCTGAACTTTTAATGGACCTTTGAAAATGGGGCACTTGTACAGAGTAAAGTCTTATTTTGGATTCATTAATGAATACAAGCCATAGGTAAATTGGACTAGATATTTTAAAAGATTGATTTCTGTTTGTTCAAGTTATCTTGGAATATATATTCTGCACAGATACATGTATTATAGCTGTCGAAAAGAAGTTGCAGTTGAGGCTACACGTGTATAACACTTACATGCATATTATCAAATCAATTTTAATTGACATAATCTCAAAGATATTAACAAGTCTTTCATGTTCAGTTGATATATTCTGTTCATTCTTTCAACAGATCGCACACAAATTCACCTTTAAAGATCTTATATGGCTGTACAAATATGTCTATTTTGAAGCCTGCAGATTTATGCTTATTTTGTACATGGCATTAAAGAAGGAAAAAAAAGCCATCATTTTCATTATGTATTGTGTGCATACTTTGATAATCATAGCCTAATTGTAAATCATTAATCATTAATCTTGTGTTTATTGGAAATGTTTGCAAAACCTAAAACTCGCCAGTCTCAAGCATCAAATAATTTAGTTGAAAAACTAGGAATTTAAATTTTAATCAATTGATTCAATTTAATTGAATACATGTATACTCGATTTTAGCGAACAGATTTTTGGTTTCCAATTATTTAACGTCTCATCTGCTGAAAATGTCAATTCACTTGTCAAATGTCGCTGCTTAGAGTTTAACTTTGTGATTTTTATTTCTGCTATCCATCTACTGTTTTGAAGTCGCCTAAATGCTCTTCCTCTTACTACATAGCTGTGCCTTTATTATTTCATCTGTAAATTCATGTACATTTTCTTTTGCATATATTTAATTGTTTCTTCAAGAATCCTCTTTTGTTTCTGACATATTTTTTTGCATTTGATAGAAATTTGTTGAGGATTACTTAAATAGTTATGCTATTTCCATGAACCTGTGTATGTATTTGACATTGACAGTTAATCATCCTTTCTTTTATGGGTTATCCATGTCATTTGCATATTTTAATGATATAAATTTTGGTATTATTTTGTTTCTCTGATTATTTTCATTCTTGAGAATTTTGAACTTTCTGCATCTAAGCTTTTTCATGGATTAGGTAGTGGATATGCCTAAACATTCGGAATACTTTTGTATGTATGATTCAATAAAGTGCATTTTACCCAAACTTGTACAATTGTTTAATTCCCTTATTTCTCCAGTGCACATAGGTATGAACACTTGACTTGTAATATAAGACAGGAAGTGATGACAAAGTTTGTGTACCGTAACATTGAATGAATAAGGACAATAATGGAACGATTATTACCATTTGTTTATTTTTATTGCTAACATTTCTTCCATAAGGAATGATATATAAAACCCCAGTAATACCATAACATGATATTTTTCAACTCGAAATGATCAAAATGATTATCCATAAATATCAGTACCATAATACAAGGAGTACATTTTGGCATTTATAGCAATGTATCACTTTTGGTCAATCCAAATATTAATTAGATGGAATTCATAAGTTTTCCTGAGAGTCGAGATAATAACATCATTGAGGGAGTGTCATTAGCATAAATCATTGAGGTCTGACCTGCAACAACAATTTCCAATTCGTGTTCAACATGAACAGAAGAACTGGCGAGTGATTTGAAACAATTTATTGTCAGACCAGCTTTTAAAATGTGCAATCACCTACAAAAAATTGTTTGTTTGTTTAAAGTAGTCACCTGAAGAAAAAAAAGTGTTTTGAATTTGATGCAAAAGTCATATCATTGCGAAGGGGAAGCCTTTACTGATCAAATATAACTACCCTCTAAATAATATGTTTTGGGCCTGCAGTAATCATCTCTCACTTTTCTAGAATTTCATTTGATTTTAAAACTCAATAAATAGGCTGAGTAATGCATTGAGACTTACAACTGGTAAAAGCAAACTAGGTTTATAGGTTGTCACAATATGATAAATGTCGATGAATACCCAACCCCAAAGACACTCTTATTGCACTGTGATAGTATAGAGAGAAATGACCAACGCAGCAAGCTAGTAGGTCTTGAAATGTTCTTGACCACATCTTATTGATATTCCTCCAGAGTTCTGCATTCTGTGCTAGCTTGAATGGCTGTCGATGAGATGTGTCTGCAGTTCCTTCACGTTATTGAATGGTTTGTCACACAGCATGCAAGACATTGGGCTACCGCATCTTTCCGCTTCCTCAGTCACGTCTGCTTCAGCTTCTGCCGTTGCGCCTATGGATCCAGGGTTGACCCGATGTGTTCCTGGAGTCATGAAAGGTTGGCTGTGTCCGACATTGGCATGTTCAGGTGCCACTTTGAATTCAGAGAGGAACGGATGCGTGACCTTGATCACAGTATGCTTGCCAAGCTCGACACCGTGCTGATGGGCGGGTAACGCTTTGACATCTGCCGTTACCTTTTTTATTTTGAAAGACAGATTCCCTATGCTAACAGATCCACCAGCAACTTGATATTTATCTTTGGTCCCTGTAGGTTGGCTAACCCTGTCACCAGTTGGTACAGGAACTTCTTTGATCCTCTCCGAAATTACATTTTTAGAATCTAGCTTCACTAAGCTTACAGAACCAGGAGCCTTCTGTTGGCTTGTGGTCACCTCAGGTTTGCTCTGGGCAACTTTGGCTTGTGCGGATACTGTCATGACATCTGCTTGTCCATTTCCTTTGCTGGGAGCCAGACCCAACATGCCTAGGGGTCCACAAGTAGTCCGAAATTGGTCTTTCATCACCATAGGCTGGTTCTGACCTACACTGGAAGTTACAGGTACTTTGCTGGGATCCAGACCCAATACGCCTAAGGATCCATGAGTAGCCAGAAATTGGTCTTTCATCACCATAGGCTGGCTATGCCCTACACTGGAAGCTTCAGGCACTTTGCTGGGATCCAGACCCAATACGCCTAAGGATCCATGAGTAGCCAGAAATTGGTCTTTCATCACCATAGGCTGGTTCTGACCTACACTGGAAGTTACAGGTACTTTGCTGTGATCCAAACCCAATACGCCTAAGGAACCATGAGCAGCCAGAAATTGGTCTTTTGTCATCGTAGGATGGCTATGCCCTACACTGTAAGTTACAGGCACTTTGCTGGGTTCCAGACCCAATACGCCTAAGGATCCATGGGCAGCCAGAAATGGGTCTTTTTTCACCGTAGGCTGGCTATGCCCTACACTGGAAGTTACAGGCACTTTGCTGGGTTCCAGACCCAATACGCCCGGGTATCCATGAGCAGCCCGAAATTGGTCTTTCGTCACCCTAGGCTGGCTATGCCCTACACTGGAAGCTACAGGATCCAGACCCAATGCGTTTATCGATCCACGAGCACCCTTCGGTTTGGCTTTCATCACCTTAGACTGGCTATGCCCTACACTGGAAGCTACAGGTACTTTGCTGGGATCCAGACCCGATGCGTTTATTGATCCAAGAGCACCCTGCGGTTTGGCTTTCATCACCGTAGGATGACTTAGCCTGGCACTTGGAGATGCAGGTACCAATTTGAAACTCACTTGTCCATTTCCCGTGCTGGGATCAACATCTGTAGTTTCTAAGGAGTCAGGAACAACCAGTGGTTGGACATTGGTCACCGGAGCCTGAGCACTGGTAGATCCAGGTACCAATACCAAATTCACTTGGGAATGAGAACTTGGAACAACAACCTTTTGCGTCTCTCCCTGCATATTCCAAAGATCAATCACTATCAATTTTGTATTGGAAAGTGACGGGTCCACTGAGTCATGTTTACTTAGCTTTCCATTCGCACCACCAAATAAATTTGACCCGTCCGCACTGAAACTATTGCCAGTGTCCTTAGTCACAATAAACTTTGGATCTACAGGAACTTTGGGAAGTATGTAGACTCCTTTGACCTTTTTCTTGGCACCAGATCCTTTCTTGCGTTTACTACGCTTTTCACTTTTCTTCTCCTTTCCAGCTGGAAAGTCATTTGTTTTTCTTTTTGGCGCTGTCCTTGATTTGTCCGGAGTAACAGAATGCTTCCCTAAGCAGTTGCGAGACGAAAGAAGAGAAAAAAAGAGGGCAATACAATGTCATAAACATATTGATTTTGTTCATTGCAACGATAACATTTTATTCCACTAAATAATTCAAGGAAACTATATTCTTCTAAGACTTCCCAGAGGTAAGAATTTTTCTGTATTTCTGATAGAAAAATAAATGTGCAAATATTTTTCATGAATGATTTCAGAGGTGAAGATTGTTACCAATAAAGTCTTTTCAACAAATGATTGCTGTAAATCTTTTAGAGCAGTAGTGCTATGGCAAGTTAGGACTATGTTAAATAGGCTGTGATCCACAACCTTTGAGTAAAAAGACATACACTTAATGTAGTCAAAGTTGCAAAATTTGTTAGAGTACTTTGAAACGTATTGACATAGTTTGCTCCACCAACTTGATTAACTGACCACCTAAGTAGAAGTATGTTCAATATTCTTTTTTTAACTGTAGAATAACCTATCACACATGTACCTCTACCCCTAACCCTAATGCAAATCTAAACCCGACCCTAACCCTAGGGCCTTACCCTAACCGTAATACTAAAGTAAACGTGACCCTGATCTGAACTCTACGGCCTAACCCTGACACTAACTCTAATGCTAATCTAAACCTGACCCTGATATTAAATCTAATTCTATCCCTAATGAAAGTCTTCAAAAATATTTCTTTACCTGGATGCTTGTTGTGATCCAGCTCTGTCTTGGACGTGTCCTCCAGCCATCCTCCTTCCTCATATCTGTCTTCTTCCTCCAGGCTCAGAGGAGGTGTCCGCAATGAGACACTGCCCTCCAGCGAGGCTTCATGATGGATCTTATGAGGAGCCGCCGCACAAACCCAACTCGTGCACCACCTTCCAATCTCCATCTTGCCTCGGACCGCATCATCCAGGCTCTTGTACTCTTCGTGCAGCTGCATCTTCTGTTTCCGTACATCCTCAAGACAATGCTCAAAGTACTTCTCACGTTCATATACATCCATCTGGTGATTACTCTTAACATCTGTGACCTCGTCCCATTGGGCACAATGGAGGTGCTCAATCGTCAGCCCATCCTCCCACAACCTGGGTATGGAGTGGATCCCGCAGCCATCTCGAAGAACCTGGAGGCGCTCCGACAGCTCTCTGTTCTCCAGTATGAGCCAGTACCTCTCTGCCAGCAGCATGCTGCTGTCAAACTTCAAGCTCTGTAACAACAAGCAGAGCAATTAATCATTTCTAGGGGCAGCTACCATTGATTTGCCGCTTTCAGAAGAATTTTGCATTGTTTGCATACACTTACGAGTATTATGCAAATGGGATATGTGCTACTGTGTAAGGAAATGTTTTGTGAGGCTTACATTTTGCAGATTAATCCTTCAGTTGCTTTCTTTGCCTCTCTGCACAGTCATTCATTTCCAACACATGCAGTTTTTCACAAAACATAGACACCAATTGATGGCAGGTTTGCTTTGTGTAACATAACGACTTTGTAAAATTACCCACTTCTGGTCTTGATATCGATAAGCTCCAATACCGTAACAAACCTTTTAACACCGGATGAATTTAATCTTGGACCCTGTTCTCACTTCCTAGACCAATCTAGGCTAGACCGATCGACTCGACCGCTCCAGAGGTATGCTTCGTTTATGTTCACACACTTTTTCTGTCTTTCCTTATGCTATTTTTAGTTCTTCCTTTATCACCTTCTGTCATGTTATTCTATGTTTCTTCCTTCTCATATCACCTTCTCTTATGTTATTCTTTGTTTTTTCATTCTTTCACTATCTTTTTCTGTCTTGCCTTATGGTATTCTTTGTTTCTTCGTTCTATCACCTTATCATTCTAGCTGTTATGTTATTTTTTGTTTTTATCATTCTATCATGTTCTCTTTATCTTTCCTTACATCATTCTCTGTTTTGATATTCTCGTACTGTAATCTCTTTCTCTCTTTCATTGCTTTCCCACCAAAACACACTCACTTCCGGTTGAAGATCGCTTCCTGGCACGGTTTATGTTCACACTGCGCGCTAGATCAGTGTGGGGCGATCTAGGAAGCGTACCAGTCCAGAAAACCACATCGCAAGGTGATCTTCAGGAACGGTCCAGAAGATCGCTTCCTGGACCGTTTGTCTGTTCACACTCACAGTAAGGTCGATCTAACCTGAATCGGTCTAGGAAGTGAGTGGGAAAGGGTCTTGAACTAGAAACAGTCGAATAATCTAGAAGTCCTTCATACAACTATAACTATCACATGATAAATACAATGTGGCACTTGGAGGTTATTTGTGTGGCATATAAAGAGTTATTGCCTTGCCTTGATGCAGTTGAGAGCTGATCCGAGGCGCTTTTTCAGGGATGCCTTCGAGGTGTCTGGTTCCACAATCGCACCACTCAACTTGTTAGCTAGTTTCCTCAATGTATTCCGTCTGTCATGAAAGTAAAAACGTGTCAAATGTAAACCAACAACATACAAATATATATGAAATGCTCCAAAAAGTAGTGAAGGCAATACAATACAATAAACATGATCAAAAATACAAATGAGAGAAAGAAAGAAGTCATTCTTTATTGTTTACAATGTTCATATACATCGTCAATAAAATATTAATACTCTACAACCGAAGGAAATCAAGGTAGTACTAGCCCCGACACCATGTGTGTTGTCCCATATATAGCTTTCTGTGTACATTGCTTGTTACTTTACCAAGACTCGGTCAAATTTATTGTGATTTTGATGACTCCAGAACCTTGCAGTGCACACCAATACTTTAATGCTACATGATCAACTGTTTCTGATCCTTTCCACATCTTTTCTTTCACAATGCAATCATTACCAGTACTAAAGTTTATCTTTAATATCAGGGTGGACTTCCCCCTTAAGAATGAACTACAGTAAGCAAAAATATAGGTTAGGAAAGATTGTCCTTCTCACCTCGCATGTTCAGCTTTTCTAAGTTCATTTTTCCGTCTATATCTGCCTCTGAAAAACAATGAGGGAGATATATTCAATTTGGTTTGGTTTGATGGTTCGTTTTTCCTGACTGCTATTAAGCATGTGTATGCTTGTAAGCAAGCAACCAGGGGACCAACGGCTTTAGGTCCTCTCCGAGGAACTTGGAAATGAGGATTAATGCCTTCCCAAAGGCATTAGCGCATCGACTTGGTTTCGAACCCGGAACCTCCTGGTTACGAGACCACTGCTCTACCACTAAGCCATCGGGTCTCTTCCTCTTACCAATCTGAACAAGCTTGAAATGACTCCTTTTTAAATCGAATAACAATGACCTAGGAGCTTTGTTTAGGTGAAACAAATATGCATGTTTTCATTTGTCTTGATTTAAAACGGAGTCATTTTAAGATTGTTCAGTTTAGAAGGTCTACTCTGGTGCACTCAGAATATAAATGTATAATTGACCTCTACACACATACATATGCTGTCCTATACCTGTATTAAAGGTACAATGTACTACGTCCCATTTTCAGCCAACATCAAATTCTGTAGAACTTTGCAGGAATTATGAATATGTCATGTATGTCCTATCTGTGAAATTTAAACGTTAGCAAATTATGCAAGGAAACCTGTTTACTCTCTAGACTTCCTGAATTCAAGGGGCTTTAAGCTACGTTTTGCTTCCAGCAGCTACGTGGCCCCTACACAGGATTTTCAGGGGCCATGATAAAAAAGGGGGGAGGGGGAACAGGTAGACTATCATAGCCATAGAAATTTTAAACCAACCAACCATTTAATATATCTTGTAGATCTTGTAGATCTATTTTGATTACTAACCTTTCTCCTGGAATATGATGATTGTTGGTTTCTCCTGGAATATGATGCTTGTGGCTTTTTTTTTCTCGTCGCAGAGGAAGGGGAATTTCCAGAATCTTCTTCAACCTGTTTTTTAAAAAATCAAATATATATTAAAATGCTCTTGGTGCTTTCAAGAGGCACGTTTCATCAAACTTGTTATCTAAAATTATATGATGAATTTGCTCTCAGCCAATCAAATACCACAATTTCAGTAGCTTATAACAGTTATTTTAACTTGTTATTGATAACAAGTTTTATGAAACAGGGCCCAGGACTTATCACCTGCGGCCTGCTGTGGGGTCTATGTATATAGTAGTGCCAAGTAGCACTACAAGATTCTTACATTGCCGTACATGAATGTGATCCGAAATATTTGTGACGCTATATTTTAGTCCAAACCCTAAGTTGGCCGTTATCTTACAAATGGCATTACTTGGCAAGTGCGGCCACTTAAGCTATGTTTTGCTTATACAGCAGTTTTGTGACCCCTACAGGGCTTTTATGGGGCTGTGATAAAAAAAAAAAGGAGGGAGGGGAGAATTGCAGAAAAGCAATATAGCATGCTGTCGCTTTTTGTCATACACTTATCAGAGTGAAATGGATTCAAAAGAATGAAAAATAACTGAAAATGAAAAGTTACAGTATCACACAATTCTTACTGTTCTCTCTTTGAGTTCTTTTCTAGATTGTCCAACTCCATCTTAGCACCATCATTGAGACTTAAGTGGCAAAGAGAAGGAGAAAAAAGACATTCAAATTTACAAGCATAACATGACTTAATAATTAAATGATAATATTGGTAGAGCCCTAAAAGAATATGCATAGTAACAAAAGGCAAACATTCCAGCACATACTGACACTGCATCCATTTTTGTTGCATAACCATACCGGTATTGCCTTAAAAGTTTGGAATTTTAAAATGAAAAAAAAGCTTCAAAATAGAAAATCGGCTTTAAATTCCTCAAATTGGCAACATGCTGAGGGGTGCAAAATCATTGTTTTTACATTCAAAAGTGTTTATTTTATTCTCTTCCATGTTCTCATCCATGTATGAGTTTCAGCGACATTACATTTTATTAGAAAACTGTAGTAATACAAGAAAAAAAAAATTGTTGCCAATTTAAAGAACAGCATATTATGATCAATTCCATTCTGTATTGGGCCAATAGGAGTTTTACCTTGATATTTTCTTCGTAGATTTATCGATTCTTTCCTGCAGGGTAGTCGACATCTTGTATCCAAGCATATCCAGAACATCGCTAACAGTAGCGGAACCACCAGGAATGAAGCTCTGCGCCGTCTAGAAAGAAAACGAGGATAAAGTTTATACACATGTACAATCATGATTCCCACTAGAAATATTTACACTATTCTTCTTCTTCTTCATCTTTTTCCAATGCAAATACAGACCTCTGGGTAGAGTATTTCCATACTTTTGTGCAGTGCTGTGAACTAGTACCACGTTGCAATGTGTTGTAGATCTAAGCTCACGTTAATCCGTCACGTTAATCAATAAAGGCACATAGACCTATTCAAAGTTAGGCGTAGATAACTTCACACATGCGCCCCCCCCCCCCCCCCCCCCCCCCCCCCCCCCACAACCCACCATCTGTATGCACTTGTAATATTGTGCAGTGGTTTGATGTGAAACCTGTGATAAAGTGTATACTAATAAGTAATAAGCTAGTAGGCTAGATCTAAATATCAATGTTTATCCGAAAAATACTCCAAAAATAACATACAAGAAAATTGACACGAAACAGGTAATAACTAACGACTTTTAACTCATGATCTTTGTTTGGACATTTATTGAATATTTCCTTCATTTTGGGTATGTTTTAATACGTTAGCGTGGATGTGTCTGGAAAGGACATTTTGCTGACCAAATCATACAGATACAGATACAGGGTATCTTCACGCCGGAGTTACAGGTCAAATTTTGGATAGGCTTCTGAACAAGCGCCGATTTTTGCCCTTGCCCCGAGTCCTGACCTTGTGCGCGCTTCGCTGCCTTGCCTCGCCGTAGTCTCGGCTGGCATTCTTTGCGAATTTACCTGTCTTGCCTGTGGCTGTGACTGTGACTGTGTCTGTTGAAATTCTGCATTATAACTAGCATTAGACATGCTGGTAAGATTTATTCCCCGCAGAAACTGAACCAGTCGAAAAAAAGCAGCTGCATACACGATCAGATCCGTGGGAAAAGTGATTTTTACATTGAAAATCTACCCTTTCTGAGCGACAGAAATCTCTCATATTGCAGAAGATGTGAAGAGAGTCTACGGTGTTTTCAAATAGTAAATCTAATAAGAAAAAATAGGAAGGAGGCATGTACGCCCAGTTCACTTTGATCAAACGGACGAGGTATTCGTGGAAGAACCTATAGTACACAAGGGCGTATCTATGGGGGTGTTTTTATTTTAGAATTTTAAAGACTCCCTTTATCTGAGCGAGAAAAAAAGGAGTATTCATTCCCCAGCCCCCCCACCACCCCCCCCCCCCCCCTCCTTGAGCCAAAACAAAGTGCTCCCGGCCGCGCATATTTTTTTTACACAACTGTTTAGCCATTTTGGCGAAAAAATTCCAAGAAGTGCTCTGGTGAAAGAGTCTAAGTCGTCAGCAAGCACGTACACTCAGGGAAGGGAAAATAATAGAAAGGGGAAAACAAGGATATAGTGGAGAGGATATGCAGAAGGAAAAACAAGGGAAATACATAAGGAAAGAGAAGAGGATAAGTCAAAGGAAGAACATAGAAATACATAATTGAAGAGCTATAGAGGATCATAGATCTAGACTAAGGAAAAACAGGGAAATTAATATAAAGGAGAAAGGGAATCTATCACATTAAAACAAAGAAATAGATGACGAAGGAGAAAAGGATAGATTGAAGGAGAAACAAATAAATACATAAAACAAAAGAGAAGAGGTTAGAATAAAGTAGAACAAAAGACGAAGGAGAACGGTGGGATATAGGCCTAGATTGAAGGAAAAACAAAGAAATATGAGGAGAAAAGGGATAGATTGAAGGAAAAAAAGAAATACATGACAAAAGAGAAGAGGATAGATTGAAGGAGAACACAGAAATACATAATGAAAGAGAAGAGGAATGTACGTACATACGTACATGTGTGTACACATGCATGTAGGCCTATACAGCTCCAGCAATCCAACAAAACTGCTAAGGGTAATGCTAGACTCTGTCAGGCGCGGATCCAGGATTTCTTAGGGGAGGGGGCCCAACTTTTTTTTTTTTGCTCCCGAAAATTTGAAAATCGCGCCGGCCGAAAATTCGCTCAGGGGGGGGGGGGGGGGGGGGGGGGGGGGGGTAGTGAGCACATTTTTTTTTTTTGATCCTCAAAAAAATTTCAATTTGCACCCCCCCCCCCCCCCCCCCCCCCCCCCCCCCCCTTGAGCGCCAGGGGGGGGGGCCCAACCCCCAAAAATGATTTTTTTTTTTTTTCTCCCTGGATCCGCCACTGGACTCTGTCTCTAGTCGTTTGCACAGTATATTTGACTGAAGTGGCTAAACAGTTGTGTAAAAAAAAATATGCGTCTCCCGGCCAGCCCCCTGCTTATTCGCTGGCTGGCGGATTCGACGCTAATATTTTCTCACAAAAATAGCGTTCCTTACATTAAAAAGTTTGAACATATAATTATTGCACTTTCCAAAGATATCAATCAATTCATGGATAGGTAAATGTTTTCATTTTTGTAATTAGAGGTTTACTCGAGGATTTGTAACATTGAAACGAGATAAATAGGGCTTAATAGGCTTATCATAGGTACCACTTAAACCGATTTGGATTTTTGAAAATTCGTACAGACAAAGGAAATCATCAGGCATGGCGGGAGACAAATTTTCTTCTGTAAAGGGGCCGGCAGATGACGACACCCCCAAAAAAGACGGGCCCAAAAATAATGAAATAAATAATATGGTTATTTATATAGCGCCGGTATCCGTCAGGTACTGACGCTCATGGCGCAAACATAATTATATACAAAAGATCAATACCAAATGAAAAAGTACATTCCACACTAGGAGAAGTAAAACCCTGTTCATCATTGTTTTCATGATGCGAAGTTTGCCTATCCACTAGACTAATGTGTCACACTGGTAATCTCCATGTATTTTTTTCATATTGATACTTATTGTTGTAGATGTAGCAATTAAAAGACGTAATCTAACTAATTCAGAGAGTCGCTTGTTAAAGAAAGAGTATCAAATGTTATTTTCTCCTTTGTTGAGGAGATGGGGAGGTGTCCCCCTTAAAAAAAAGAGATGGACAAGTCAATATCATGGGGTGAAGAAAAAAAATGATAAAAATAACATGGGGTATAAAGGGGAAGCTGGGAGTCGAACCGAGTACATTGCATTGTGAAGCGATCAGTATTATTCACAAGACCACTTTGCCTCACTGCTATTAACTGGTTCGCTTCTTGGTGTTATAACACTTTCTGCATGTTAATGACTTTGCAAAATATGCTGATTTACTGATTTAACGATTTTGGGATGCATTATTATTATTATTTTTGTAGTCCGATGTTGTCAAGATTGCCCCCAAATGTTTTCTTTCAGTTACTGATAATACTGATATACCGGTAATAGTGAGGTTTTATGTTATTTTCATTTATTTTGCAAACTGCTGACTTAAACTTCAAGTGATATGACAATAGGTCACTGCCCTGACATAATAAATAGAACACGGATCTATTCAATTCAGTATATGCTACGAATTCTATAACAAGGCACCAATTATTGAATAGGGATGCTTGGCTATTCGATTCCGCGTCCAATAGCTTGCACCTGCAATGTTTGAATAGTTACATAACAAATTATTCAGCCATTTCTGACATGGCATCAATAATATGAATTGAAGAAAAAAAAAACCCGACCCTCCCTTCATTCATCGAGCGAATATTTTTTGTCAATTGCGAGGATTTTTAAAGAGGTAATAATAGCATTCCTGACATTGCAACAATGATCGCATTATGTTGATGCATAATGTCCCTAAAGGTACTGAGGAGGTCTTTCTCCTTGTCTGGGAGGACACGCACTTTCAAGCAATTTCGGGACAGTTCAAAATAATGCTGGGAAATGGACATAACTCCTTGTTAATCAAATGAATGAATCCTCGGTAGTCACTGAAATTCCAGTATAAATCTGTGCTGACAAATTGATATGGCTATTAGTTGTTGAGATTCTATTAAAGAGATCATGGCTGACTACCTCGTGGGTGCATGAATTCAAAGAAGAGCATCGTATTGGAAGAGAAGTTCCAATTGCAAAAAAATGGTGGAGGAGTATAGGCGGCAGAAGGCAGAATACGACAGACACATCTCCGACGTCATGATGTATACATGCTCTTTGTAGATGTTACCTATGTGGACCCCACGACATGTCCGGAGAGGAAGAGGAACTACAAGATCCAGAAGTAACTTCAACCACCATCACTGAACCAACGAGCGAACTAGGACAACAAGCTTCAAATTCCAATGAAGCCCATAGCCTCTGAGATTAATCTTAAGCTGTACCCCAAAGGTTCTTTTAAGAACCACCAAAATACCACGAAAGATAATATTACATAAGTGTGCGATTAAACATGAAAATCAAATTTTACTTATAAAAAAAAAAGGAAATCGCGATTTACTCATTTAAAAATCGAAATTAATGTTTTTGTTTAATAATGATGATAGAAAAACAAGTTACATCATTCAAGTACATGATCAGGCTTTGGAGCATTATTATTCCATATTATAATGTTCCGTCGCAATATTAATGAAGAACATGATTATTTTCAGACATGTTACATTTAATATTTCATTTTTTTTGTACCGACTTCTCATTTTATTTAAAGACAAATGTTTGTAATATAATTATGACCCTCTCGACTATCACTTGAGGCCAAATACCAGCGAAACAATATTCCTCCCCTCCCTTCAATAACGCGTTGGCACGTTGGCATGTTAGATTAAAGCCTGCCTAACTTATCATGCCATGTTAATACGTTGGCGCGTTAAGAAGTACTGTTGGCAAAGTATATTAAAGTCTGCCTAACTCATAGCATTTTGGCACGTTGGCAAATTATAATCAAGTTTGCCTTAATTTTCTTGGCACCTCGGCACGTTGGCGCGTTGGACAGTGGAGAATTTGACTTCAAGTCTCACTTACATCGTCGGACCATATAGGGTTAAAAAATATTGTTGACCTTTTGAGCGTTGGGTGATTAGAAAAATATTTTAAAAATTCGCGTGGGGGAGGGGGGCATATTTTAAAGTTGTTCCACACCACTAGCCCCTAGTAATCCAGGCTACATGAATATGCCATCCCTCTACTCACCACCCTTAAACAATCCTGTCTAGTGTTCATAATTAATAAAACCCCTAAAACGAAATAGGTAATATACACTCCTTTTTATCCCATTAAGTAAATGATTTTGTTCTATCATCATTATTATGTTTGTATGAGGTAATAGGCACCCCTTTATATCCCATTAACGCCACTTCCCACCCCCCCCCCCAACCACTAGCCCCTAATAATCCAATCTACATGATTATGCCTTCCTTGTTCTCATCACCCTCAAACAATCCTGCCCACTGTACCCCTTCAAACAAAGTAGGTATTATACACTCCTTTATATCCCATTAACGACCCCCCCCCCCCCACCCCCAGCGACCCCACCACTAGCCCTATAATAATCCAGGCTATTATGCCGTCCCTGTACTCATCACCGTCAGACAATCCTGTTCACTGTTGAAAACCCCTTCAAACGAAGTAGGTATTATACACTCCTTTATAACCCATTAACGACCCCCCCCCCACCCCCAGCGACCCCACCACTAGCCCCTAATAATCCAGGCTACATGAATATGCTGTCCATGTACTCATCACCGTCAGACAATCCTGTTCACTGTTGAAAACCCCTTCAAACGAAGTAGGTAATATGTACTCCTTTTTATCCCGTTTACGCCCCTTCCCGCCCCCCTCCCACCCACCGCCCCACCACTAGCCCACATTGATCCAGGCTACATGAATATGCTGTTCCTATACTCATCACCCTCAGACAATCCTGCTCACTGTTCATAATTAATAAATCCCTTTTAAACGAAGTAGGTAATATGCACTTCTGTATATCCAATTAACGTCCCTCCCCCAGCGCCCCCCACCACTAGCCCATATAAACCAGACTACGTGAATATGCTGTCCCTGTACTCATCACCCTCAGACAATCCTGCCCACTGTTCATAATTAATTTTTTTTTAAAACACCAAAAAAATAGTTAATAACGAAGTAGGTAATATGCATTCCTTTATATCCCATTAACGACCCTTCCCTGCCCCTCCCTCCCCCCCCCCCCCCCCCCCCCCCCCCCCCCCCCCCCCCCCAGCGCCCCCACCACTAGCCCCTAATAATCCAGGCTACATGAATATGTCATCCCACTCATCACGCTCAGACAATCTTGTTCACTTTTCATATTTAAATAAAACACCTTAAAACGAAGTAGGTAGTTTCCTTTTTCATTACATTATGTGAAATTTTCTTTATGAGAACGAGAGAAGAGAATAAAAACCTATGGAAAAAAAAAAATCTCTAGCTCTTCTCGTAGATGGCGCAAATCATACTTACTTACTATTGACAATCGACGAGTCCGACTTGTCTAAAATTAATGCTGCAAAAACTACAACTTTTAACTCAATAAAAAGCAGAGTAAGTTATTTATTTCACATTATTTTCATAGCTTAGATATTTAATTATGTGTAGAGTGATTTGGGGTGGAAATGAGTTGATTATTTAAAGACATTCGGGGATTTTATTTGATCTGTAATCTACCGGTGTGTGTAAACAATACACCAATTGTAGTATATGGTACCAGTACTAGTCTGAGGCCTGCTGCACTTCATCAATGCGTCATGACATGATTTGACACAGATCAGATTTAGATTATATATGATTTATGATATTTATATCACATGAAGAGAAATGTGAAGAGAAATGTAAAAAAAAATAAAATGCGTTAGTTAAATCACCCATTCCCTGACGAACTTTGACCTTGCAAATAGGCCTGAGTCGAACCGGGTCCCCGCCCGGGCCCCGACCGTCGAGCTGAAACCCGGTTTTGGGTTTTCGGGTTTCGGGTTTTTCAAAATTAAATTTCACACTGATATTTTGAAATATAGAACTAAAAATATGGAATTCACAAACTTATATTTCAATATAATCAAATAAATATGCTTTAGAAATAAATGGATATTGTTTCAGTTGACGGTAGGTGTTTTTATCGCTCTAAAAATTGAGGCTGCAAGAAAGGAATCACGCTTCGTGGTACCGATCGAGTGCGTTCAGAAACGGAAGTGGAAATAGATCTATGACCCACTGAAGACAGAGCAAGAAAATGCCACACACAAGACTAAAATATTGATCAGACTATTGCAATTAAATCGTAATACTAAAGGCATTAATTTAATTGTCAAAATATATCCACAACATAATGGTTTATCCTTGATAGTTTGATGAAGGAAAATAAATTAGAGCTCTTGAAATAACATCGAAGTGCCTTTCGTTCGTTCTAAAAAATGCGTGTATAACGGCAAGCAGAAGTTACGAGTCAAGCTTGATATGCACGTTTACATCCCTACACCGTCATCCGACCTGATCGGAACAATAAGCATTAAACCCAATTAAAAAACATCACGTAAGACTTTAAGGGACTCCAATTCAACAAAATTACCGTAAAATAATTATTTGCTTTGACAAATAATACTATAGATATTCATAATATCTTACAGAAATAATGATATTTCATGAGCTACGTACTCGACATCGAGTTCAGCTAGCCATCATTTTGAAATGAGACGTAGTTGTCATGCATGCAGCGCAGAATGCGGCAGCTCGCAGCTAGAGAGGGGGAAAAAAAAATCACGTAATAGTCACGTGAATATCACGTGATCTCAGGCCCGCGCTTTTTCCTCTCTCTTCTGCATACTGCCCTCTACAGTCTACTGCATGACAACTACGTCTCATTTCAAAATGATGGCTAGCTGAACTCGATGTCGAGTACGTAGCTCATGAAATATCATTATTTCTGTAAGATATTATGAATATCTATAGTATTATTTGTCAAAGCAAATAATTATTTTACGGTAATTTTGTTGAATTGGAGTCCCTTAAAGTCTTACGTGATGTTTTTTAATTGGTTTAATGCTTATTGTTCCGATCAGGTCGGATGACGGTGTAGGGATGTAAACGTGCATATCAAGCTTGACTCGTAACTTCTGCTTGCCGTTATACACGCATTTTTAGAACGAACGAAAGGCACTTCGATGTTATTTCAAGAGCTTTAATTTATTTTCCTTCATCAAACTATCAAGGGTAAACCATTATGTTGTGGATATATTTTGACAATTAAATTAATGCCTTTAGTATTACGATTTAATTGCAATAGTCTGATCAACATTTTAGTCTTGTGTGTGGCATTTTCTTGCTCTGTCTTCAGTGGGTCATAGATCTATTTCCACTTCCGTTTCCGAACGCACCCGATCGGTACCACGAAGCGTGATTCCTTTCTTGCAGCCTCAATTTTAGAGCGATAAAAACACCTACCGTCAACTGAAACGATATCCATTTATTTTTTAAAGCATCTTAATTTAATTCCATTGATTATTTTATTGTTTTGAAAGCAGTAACTGTCTTTTCCGTCGCATTATTAGAACAGCAACTTAGTCTAACTCCCGCCGCTGCTTGCACACGATTTTTAGTGTCAGTGCAGTGGTGAAAATTTCGGGTACCCGGTCCCCGCCCGAAATTTTCAAGTCAAACCCGGGTTCGGCAAAACCCGTGATGACTCAGGCCTACTTGCAAACTAGCTTCGGGAGCTGAGTTTGCCAGTCGCACTGCACTGCACAACGGTTTGCTTCACATGCCCTGTGTACAAAGTTTAACAGCTCCGCATTGATGCCACTACTAGCAGCTACACTGCATGCGCACAATCCATAATTTATAGGCCTAGATCTATGCATAATTCATCTAGAGTCTAGACTACATTTGATTTCATAAGCAATATACAACACGTCAACAGCTCATCGCATGTGCATAAATCTCTTCTCGCACATACGTTACACACGCTCGCACTTTGAAAAACTAACATCAACCGATAGATGAACATGTCAAGAATCCATACAAATATTTTCTTGGTATCCATGTATGGGAAATGAGGTAAATAACGCAATGATGTCATTTCTAAACTGCATTGCGAGACGGGCTTTCAGAGTTTCAGTAAATTGGGTAAAAATAACTCGATAATGAGTTTAACCACCAAATTTGATTCTGGAGTGATTGTAATTTGCTAACCGTTCAATCGTGTTTCTGATGATAGTGAGCTAAAATGAGATTAACATTACAAAACCATTGAACTCTCGCGGGAGTTTGCCATGTTGGTTCTGTCTGATACGCGAACACACAAACACACAAACACACACGGTGTACACAAAAAAAGAATAACAGTTTTTGCGTTGCCAATTGATGTACTTTACGGTAATTGCGATTAATTTAGTGTACTAAGGCGCACGCACGTGTGCGTTTTTACAGTTACACTTATTATATCGTTGTTAATGGGAGACAAATTCCTGCACAGTACATCTCTAGTCTAGGCCTAATCTGGTCAAAAATTGTTAGTGTAACTTTGTAATTTTCTGCAGACCCAAATTTGAAAGTATTTAATTAGCAGTTGGGCCTTCGAGCTTGGATCATTGATGCAGTGAGTGATCTACTCATATCAAATATTCAGAGTTATAAAATGGCTCTAGTATTTTAAGCATCGTGATTGGTCAATACGCGTCACATGACATTGAAAAAATTTTGATGCAAGCACGATTTTGCAGAAATGAGTGCAGAAAAAGTGCAGTAAAAAGTTATATTGCACGGTGCGTACGCGTGACCATGGAGATCCAGTGCGCGCGCGTACGTGTAGTACGCGCTCCCTCGAGTTGCATTGCAATTATTGTAGGCTACGCGTAGCTAATATTGTACGCTCCACCATGATCCCCAGCGCAACGTACGCGTAGCTAGCTCTAGCTAGCTAGCTAGAGCGGCCAGTGGGGTATTATTAAAAAGCAAATTTTTATTTTACTTTTGCCTTGGATTTAGGCCTGTTTTGACTTTTGGATTTTATAATGAAGCCAGGAATTTCAGCTGTCTGATGTAGACTCGTCTCTAGACCCACTGTATGGATTTTATTTTTAATCAAGGCAATGAATCCCATTGACTTTTTGGTAAGCCTGCAAGGTCTTAGTCTAATTAGAAGTAAGTTAGGCCTAGGTCTAGTCTAGAACCAACATAACTCTAGATCTAGATCTAGATCGAACTCTCGTAGACTCTAACTTATTAGATCTAAAGTTTCGTTTTTGCTATTTGTGTCGCTATTTTATAAAACAAATAACGCACTTGACCCTGTTGTGCAAAACGTAAATGCAGTAAACGCTCGGTTTCTTCAGATGGTTCGCACTGTCAACTCGCCGCAAGCGGCTCGTTGCACAGAGCGGCACCAATCTAAAGAAACCTCGCGCGTACTGCATTCACCGCTATTGCACTCTGGGACGTGCGTTATTTGTATAATATTCTTGCCTGAAACATTTTCATGCTCATTCCAATCAAAGCTTGATATTATTTGGGTATGCAAAGTAAATATTATTTGCATAAGATTGAAATTGATATTTCTTAATTATTTTGTGATCGGGTGCTTCAGTAGCGATGAAATGTTCCGAAAGGGGCTGAGCCAGATACGCTTGGACCGAGGAGTGACGCTGCAGCTTATATGCAAATGAGGCAATCCAAAATGTTATTCTATAGGTCTGCTATCTACCTGTTGTCTAACTGAATTGAGTTTTCCTTGTAATATCTTCACAGCTAATAGACAAATAGAGAGGAAGGGTAAATAGTCCAAGATGACAACAGCCGCAAGACCAACGTTCAACCCAGCAAAAGGAGGGAGTGGCAAAGGAGAAGGGGATTTGAGTGCCTTATCTAAGCAGTATTCCAGCCGTGATCTACCAGCACACACCAAGTTAAAATACAGGTAAGACAAAGATTGTGTTTTGGTCTTTGACAGAAGAAGGAGCTGTCATTTGAATAGATCAGTGAATAGCAGAATTACAGCAGTAAAAATGTTGTTCATGAAATGAATACTTCTGATATCATGCACAGACAGAATGTCAAATGAGGAAGAGCTCTGATAAGGCGTTTGACCCAGAGAATATTACCAACTCCATCAGATAGATGAAGTGTCATTGGTATACTTAGAGATTAGTAGTTGATTTTTAAAAAAATCAATGCACAAAGATAGAGTCTAGAGCATTACTGGATTGTCTTATAAATGTCTCCCTTTATTGACTTTCTTTCTCCCAGGCAACCTGGTCAGGACACCGGCGATGAGATCCGTGGACGTGACTTTCGCAAGGATCTAGAGGATAGAGAACGTGCAGCAAGGGAGAAGAGGAGCGACAGGGGAAGGGGTGAGTCAAATCGACTTTAGGGCTATAGAGCCCAAAAGTAATAGTCTTGATTTTCAGACCATTGTACCGCATGGTCATGCGTTTTATGCTGCGCAAAGATTCAATCAGTTTAATTTTGATCATTTCAAGAAGTGGGTTATTGATGTAGACAATTCCTTTACAGCTCATTTTATGTATGTTATTACCAAAGAAGAAAAAAAGCCAGTCAGTCACTCTATACTGGCAATAGTGTCTGACAGTAAAGTCTAGCAAGTAAACAGGTTTCCTTGCATAATTTGAATATTAGGACACTGCTAACGTTTGAATTTCACAGATAGGACATACATGACATATAATTCCTGCAAAGTTCTACAGAATTTGAGTTTGGCTGCAAAAGGGACATAGTACTTGAACCCTGACATTAGCCGAGCTACCTTGAATGCGCTCAGGTATTCAAGGGATTTCTTCTCCCCAGGTACCATTTACTTCACATGGGTTGATAATAGTTTGCCAAAGAACATTTTTTGCAGGGATTAAAAATTCAACAGGGGAAGATGGAGGATTCCTAGTAGAATCTATGTTTAGAATAGGTGATGAATATTCTCTGCCTGTAAAGTAGTGAAAAAATACTACTGGTAGTTGAGAGCAATTTTGCTTGCAAAAGCTACTAAAGAGCACTTGAAACCCTAAGAAGAAGTCTTTGTAAAAATGCAAGGGGGTTCTCGAGAAGCTTTTTTGTTAGAGTAATATTTATGCAACTGGGAGGTCCTGATTCCCAAGTAAGTTGACAAGTGAGGCATTAGTTTTCAAGTTATTGGTCCTCTAAATACATGCCTAGAAACATGGCCCTGCCTTTTCAAATTTCATGCGAGAAGTGACTGAAGCATTAACTATTTTTTTCCTTTCAGAGTCGTCGAGTAGCAGTAGTACTAAGAGACCGAGGTTAGAACAGATACCAGCTGCTAATCTAGATGCTGATGATCCCCTTGATAATGAGGATGAAGATGATGTGAGTATTGGCTCAAATGCTTTTTGTTTTATTCTCTTCTGATGGTGATTGATAGTTGATGATTGTTCTACCCGACTACTAAGGAAGCATGTATATGCTCGTAAGTAAGCAACCAGGGGACAGACGGCTGCAAATCCTCTCTGAGGGACTTGGTAATGAGGATTAATGCCGTACCAAAGGACAGAAGCCTATAAATCAAACCTGGGACCTCTCAGTTACGAGACTACTGCTCTTACCACGGAGCCATCACTCCTTTTGCAAAATAATTTGTTCATCCTTATTATTCTTCACTTTCCTTTCAACTAGTTGGTCTCAATTTCCCCTCTTTTCCCTCCTCTTCCTCTTCTATTTATTGTCCTCCTTCACCTTATTCCCTTTCTTCATTTTTATATCTATCACTATCGTCTCCTCCTTCTCTTGTTTTGTTCTTGTTATTCCTCTACATCTAGATTCTCCTATCCCTTCTTCTTTCTCATTTTCTTTCTATTTTCATTTCTTCTCAAAAATTTCCTCCTCTCTAGCTGTCCACAAATAAAACCATGTTGACATAATTCAAATTTTCTTCTGTCAACAAATCACATGATGACTGATTCTTGTTAAAAATGTCTTTGGAGAAATCCTCTAATTTACAAATTTTCTTTCTGTTCTTATTTTTTCTCAAAAATGTCCTCCTCTCTCTCTGTCCACAAATAAAACCCTACTGACAAAGATGTTCATGCATGGGTATATATGGGTATATAGTCATTCATGAAATAGGCAACTTGGCAAACACTGAGCCAATGTATTACACTCCTGTACAGACGTACGGATAAAGGGACGCTAGTACGCAGGGGAGCGTAATGCCAATTGGCTCAGTGTGCTGCCCTCTATGTACCCATGCATGAGCAACTTTAACATTTACTGTATTATCTTACATATAATATGATGTTTTGCTGTGTTTTTATTGTTCCGTATAGGATGCATCTGATGACAGTGATGATGAGACAGCTGAACTTCTTGCTGAACTCAACAAAATCAAGAAAGAGAGAGCTCAGGAAAGCTCTAGGAAGGTCAGAAATAAACTCCTGGGGGGTGTTTTACAAAGATCCTAAGTCGAACTTAACTCTAAGTTGGACTTAAAAATTATGGAGAGCCATTTGTAGCCTAAAAATAAAATATTTCCAAAAGCAAAAATTGAAGTATTTTAGACTTTTCATAAATTCCACATCAAGAACATGAAATCTCCCTGATAATAGAAAGTATGGATCATTTGAATCAACATTTTATGCCTTATGAAATAACTTTTACAAAATATTTTCAATGATGCTAATGGCTTTCCATAATTTTTAAGTCCAACTTAGAAATAAGTTCAACTTAAGATCTTTGTGAAACACCCCCTGTTCAGTTAATCCTTGTTTTAAAGCCCCACTGCACTACTTATAGCTACTTGCACCCTCTATACAGCAAACAATGTCTAAGTGGTACCCGTTGATCCCCAATGATCCCCTTTTTCTTATGTTAATTGAGAGCTGATTTGATGAGATAAGCACTTACCAGTGACCATGCAGGGAGGTCTAATCCCTCCATGCCAAACTAGTGCAGAGGGACTTTAAGGCCTCTACACAAATTGCAATCAGCTATAAATGGATTTTTAAAAATGATGATAATAATGATCATAATACATGTGTAACACATGTTTTTTCTAGAGTGCTTAGTGCAAGATTTCTATGCAAGTGCTTCACAAGATAATTTGTCGAAAATATACAAAGAGCATATATTGATAAAAGTGGTGACACCAATATTCACAATTAATGAAATTTATGATTTGATATTCTTAGAATGCATTTAAAAAGTATGTTAGAAAGTAGGTAAGACAGAAAAATTATGACTAGAGAATGAGTAATTATACCGTAATAGAAAACAAAGCGATGAAACCCTACATTCAATGGAAAACTTGTTCTATTTCTTATGATCTTTCTCTCCATCTTAATCTTTCTTTTACTTTCAGGAGCAAGAGAAGAAAGTAGAAGAGGAGAGGATAAGAACAGAAAACATTCTGAGTGGTAATCCTCTCATGTCGGCATCGCAAAAAGCTGACTTCAAGGTCAAAAGAAGGTCAGAAAACTTGATGTGTTTCTTTACCTTACGCAATGACATGGCTTGTTCAGAGATAGAGGGGCGTTAACTCTGTGTCAGAGGATAGGAGTTAATGTCCCTCTTGCTCCAAACAGATGATATGTGATATATTTGATGGTGATGTGTGAGATAGTAAAACTATTTTCTGAGGTGACAGATGCAACTGCTCTAAAAAAAGGCTCAGCCAAGTTCTTCTTCCATTTTGAGTACATACCTCTTAACAGAGTATTATCGTACTATACTTGGGGTGTGTGCAGGTGGACCACTACACCGAGGTTTCCCCTACTCTTATACGAATAGTGCAGTGGGTTCTTAACGTCCTATCCGAAGTTGAATGGAATGCTGCTTTCTTTTACTGCACTAAGTAGGTCTTTTTCCATTTTATGAAAAACTTCCAAACATGAAATATTTTGTCATGATCAATACCAATAATCATCTTCACCTTTAAAAAAAAAGAATTTAGGTGAAGAATTTTGGACTTGATGCCGTCGCACATTGATCAAGAGTGTACCCAGTTATTACTATGGTCATCTTAATATTTGATTCACTCAAGATTTTTATTACAAATCTGCATATGGTGGCTAAAGACACTCAATTTTTGTGTACACAGTGAGGATAAAAATCAGTTTCAAACGTTTAATATCCACAGATAATTTTACATGCAATTGAAGGGAGAAATCATGTTTGAGCAATCAATATTCTGTGATTGATCATGCATTATCATTTGTGTTACCGTAGACAAAAATTGAGAGGTGGAGAAGTGTGTGCGAATGATAATAGATGTTTTAGGCCAGGTGGTCCGCAAGTGGCCAATCAAATGTATGGATTCTTTCTGTGTGTTATTTAACATAAAATGAAATGTTAGTGTCGTCGTCGGAGGCAAACATGATGTCCATTTTTTCATTTCTTTATTAATGAAGACTTTTAAAGGCCCACTGCACTACTTGTAGCTACTTGCGCCCTCTATATAACAAACAATGCCTAATCGGTGACCATTGGTCGCCCATGATCCTCTTTTTCTTATGTGAATTGAGAGCTGAGTTGATGAGATAACCACCTGTCCAGTGACCTTGCAGGGCGTAATAATCCCTCCTGTAAACTAGTACAGATAAGCTTTAAATAATGTGATATTTGTTGTACTTTGTTTCTTCTTAGGTGGGATGATGATGTGGTCTTCAAGAATTGTGCCAGGGGGGAGGACGATAAGAAGGAGAAGAAGTTCATCAATGATACTCTACGGTCAGAATTCCATAAAAGATTCCTGGAGAAATACATTCATTAACCAAGAAACACAAGGTTGAACTTACATGCAATGAACTGGAAAGTGCATTGAACTTATTCCCATGAGACACCTGTTGTATGGTGCCCAACCACTGTACTCAAGAGAGAACATGTCTGATGCTGGAGAACAAAGGAGGTATGCCACCCAAGATTTGGTCACCATTCTCCACTTGGCTGATGTCCTGGGTCTATAATGTGAACATTGCGAATGTGCTGCACCTTCGTTGTCTTGGTTGTACATGTATACGTTGCTGTGTTGGGTACAGAGCAGTTGCCGACTTGCGAACAACTTGAGGAATAGACACTCGCGTCTACTGAAGAAGCACAGTTTGGTGTTGCCGAGGGCGATGAACTTGGGTTGAAGGCTGCTCATAATGCCACAATAAATCGCTTGTTTTCTATTTTATTTAAATTTTTACCTTTTTTTTATTTTTTAAGTTGAATAGCAAGTGGGAACATGAAAATGTAGCTGCGTGCAACAATGTTTCTATAAGTACTCACTTCTCTTTGTGCTGGAGCATTCCATAGAAAAAGCCCTGCATGAGCAAAGGTTCTTTCCGCCTCATTTGAGCTTAGGAAGAACAAGAAAAAGAGTTCTTAGAGCGTCAAGATCTGGATGGATTGTAATGATTTATCAAAGTAATATTGTATTGTGGAGCAGAGCCATGAGTAGCTGGCCAGTTCAGACCTCAAACTTTACATTTTTTTAGAGGCACCCTTCTGATATCATAAACTTCAGACTTTACTCTTATTATTGTAAGATAACTAACTATTCCAGTCAGATTTTGATACATTGTGAAATGGTTTTGTGCATCGAGTGTACCATACATGCACAGTGTGGTGAAAAAATTTAACCATGTCAGTTCCTTGTCTGTTTACATTTGGTCGACCAAACAGTTAAAATAATTATTTTAATGATTTAATTCAAATATTGGATAACAAGAGTGGATTTAATTCATAGGAAGTTACAGTACATGCCCACCTGTATGACATGCAAGGTGCATCATTACATTCAGATGGATCATGATAAAGGTAGAATGGGCATTAACAAACTCAGACATTACTGAATTAAGAGGATTGGATAACTTTGTCTCAGATTCTGAAACAAAATCCTGGATTTAGCTCATGCTGCAATGATAATTATATGGTAAACCTTTGGGTAACTCAGGGACTCCATGAATTTTACAAGCCGATCACCTGTCTGATTATATGATTGGAAAACAAAATCTAAAAATTTGTTTTCCTATTGGTTTTCATAACACTACAGTCTATTGGGAAAAATGAGTATGGTAAAACCGGTCACTCAAAGTTTTAAAAAAACGGCACTTCATGATCATTTTGAAGCAAGATTTTGTTTAGGGCTTCAATATTATACCACAACACACCAACACTGATAACACCTAGAGCCATGCATCTCAGGTTTAACATTGTTAAACGATGCCTTTAAATTTGATAAATACAATGGACATTAATTTTAGGCAGTCCCCTCTCCTATTTTGTTTGCATCCAACTGTCTCAATGTACATAACTTTAAAAAATGCATTAAATATTTTTTATTATGTGCATCATGTAAATAGTACACTTTGTAATGTAGGTATTTGTAAGTTACTATTGTAAAAGCCCACTTCTGTCTTATTTTATTAGAATTATCCAACAGACTCGTGTTTCAAAGTAATTTTCACAAGTAGTAAATGGTGTACATGAATTGTTTGTGGTAAGGAAAATAAATGGAGAAAAAAACTGAGCGATATGTATTATGTTTGTTTTTATGTGTATTTTTAAATGTTTTAGAGCTTGTCTTTAGCTTTTACAGAGCTTGTCTTTAGCTTTTACAGCAAAGGGTCCTTTAAAAAAAATTAAATTTAAAAAAAATAGTTTTCATGATGTATAGATGGACAAGTATGTCTCAATTGAAGAATTTCGTTTTTTTTGGTGGTAAATATAAAGGGTCATTTGCCAAAGGAGCAGTGTCAGTGTTGAGCTGTGACTGTAATGTGCTACAGTATGATCTGCATAGCTAGAGAGGGTGGGAAAGAGAGCGAGGGAGAGAGAGAAAGAGAGGGAGGGAGGATGGAAGAGAAAGATGAATTTGATAGCATTTCACAGATGCTCCCCCTCTCTCTCCTCTCCCCTCTCTCTCTTTCCTCTCCCCTCTCTCTTTCCTCTCTCCCCTCTCTTTCCTCTCCCCTCTCTCTCTTTCCTCTCCCTCTCTCTCTCTTTCCTCTCCCCTCTCTCTCTCTTTCCTCTCCCCTCTCTCTCTCTCTCTACATCCCTCTCTCTCTCTCTTTGCTCTCCCCCTCTCTCTCTCTCTCTCTTTCCTCTCCCCTCTCTCTCTCTTTCCTCTCCTCTTTCCTCTCCCCTCCCTCTCTCTCTTTCCTCTCCCCTCTCTCTCTTTCCTCTCCTCTTTCCTCTCCCCTCCCTCTCTCTCTTTCCCTTTTATTCATCCTTTCTCCTTCCATCCCTCTCCTATCTGTACATGTTCACCAGTATCAAAAGAATACACACAAAAGACTTCACTTAGTCTAATAACGTTAAAGCTTTATAAGTATACAATAACCTTTTTCATACACTCTAATCTAAAAAAATATATATAATTACTGGTACATAACACAGTCAAACCTGTCTAAGTGGCCACCTCTATACTTCTAACCCATTATTGGCTTCCTTGAAGAAGAAAATGTGTTGTATAACCTGTCTATAAAGGTCATCTGTGTACAGTGGCCAACTTTGGTGTTTTCCTTCGTAGGTTTGACTGTAATTGATTTTATATGATAAAGCATGATATACAGATAAACCTGTATCTGAGGAACATTTTAGAGAAAATTTACATCACTGTTATTCAAAGCTAATAATTACAAAGCTGACATAATTAGGTGAACCAAACGTTGAACTTGTCAAATACAGTAATTCTACTTCCATATATTTAACATTAAGATGCTAATAATTTTAAGGCAGACTTGATTTGCAGGAAGCTACGAAGTACTCAAAGTCTTGATCAGACACGGGGACATTAACGAGACAATTAACCACCTTAAAAAAAGAAAATCTTTTTACAAGTACATTAATGGCAAGAGGAATCTAATGGGGGAGGGGGGGGGGGTGGAATGAAAATGGCAACTAAACTCCCCTTGGACATGTACTCCCTGGTCAGTGTGTTACAATAAACCAATTTGTATGTTGCCTTCTTTTTTGGCGGGGGAGGGGGGGCTCTTTAAAAACCTCGTGTCTGAAAGGGCATTGATAAAATTTAAAAAAAATCAAAACAAGCTCACAGACATGAGTGCCATGCCGGGGATCGACCTTCGACCTCTGCATTCTCAGTTGAGTGATTAAACCTGCTCAACTACGACTCCTCTACAATTCTACAAACAAAGCAGTTTGTACAAGAACTACTAAAAATGTACATTTATGTCATTTTATGTGTTATATTAACAGTAAGTCTTATTTTCATGGATTTATTGTTGTACTTTGCTCTTTCCATACATAACATCAGCAGACTCGCATTATGTACATTTATGTTATTTCATGTGTCAAGTCATATTTTCATGGATTTATTGTTGTACTCTGCCCTTTTCATACATAACATCAGCAGACTCATATTCACATAGCTTTACTACCATTTAAATACACTGTCTAAGAATCATTGGAAATAGATCATACAAGTATTGACTCTCGTTTAACTACAGTTCAACAGCAGCTGACGATAAAATCAGATGCTACACGTCAACAAAATCACTGGAACCCTTTCAGGGACCCGTTTCACAAAGCCTTTTTTCAATGACAAATGACAAAAATCAGTGACAAATCTATTGATAACCAATCAGAAGCAAGTATTTCAGTAGCTTATAACAAAAACTGTCATTTGTCGCTGATGACGAGTTTTGTGAAAAGCCCCCCAGGACAATCATTCCAGATTTTGTGGTTTGACTCAATAACTTTTGATTGAGAGCCTTACAAAAAAATGCTTGATCATATTGCGTTTGATGCCAGGAGTATAAAAAAAGGAATATAAGCTTTAAAATCCTTAAATTGGCAGCCCATTGTGAGGTTTTCTGAATCATTATTTTCATGATCAAATTTTGCAATTTTTTCAACTTTTTGGACAGTCTGTAATGATAATAATAATAATAATAGTGAACATTTATAATGTGCCATGTTTGTCAAAAAAAATTACACTCCTGGCACAGTTAGAGACATTACATTTTGTTGGAACAATGTAGCAATATAAGAAACAAAAAACATTATTGTTGCCAATTTGAAGAACAACATGTAATCATTTTAGCTTTTAAAACAAATCCTGTCTTAAAATGGTTAAATTTTGAAATATGTATAATAATTCACATTCACCAGTCATACATGCAAAATTGTTCAAATTACATGAAAAACACACACAATATACATAATAAAGGTGAAATAATTTCTTCAAGAGTAATTTATCAATCACACATCAATCTTCTGAAAAAGGCACAATTAAAAAAGTTTTAGAATTTTAATAAAGATATAAAGATTGGGAGAAATGGAATGTCAATCTCTTACACAGAAAAGTAGTATATTGAAATTAATTAAGAATACAGAAGATATGTACACGAATTCATCATTATCATCATCATTATTATTACTTAAATGTAAAAGGATACAATAATTTCTCAATATTGTTTCAAATACGATTTTCTTGCCTCTTGCATGACAAACATAAATTGTACATAAATTTCACCAACTTTCATTGATTCAGTTTAATAGTCTCATGCAAGTCATAATGTATTCAAATGCATTTACACAAACACGCCACAACAATATATACATTCGTTAGTAATCTGGAGTAAAGTACTAAAATAATATCAGGATGTTTAGCTGCAATTCTATTTGGTGAAGGACAAATTTCGTGCTTATTCTCATTTTGGGTCACAAATTTCCAGTGACTCTCATTCATACATCCTGACATAAAATGATGGGCTTGAATGCAGAGAGAAATTTGAGTGGTGCATTTCTGTGTTTGTCTTTGCTTTATACTTAACAAGAATGAAGAGCAATGGGAGAGCGGGGCAAGTCACGCTGGGCAACAAACTCAGCTTGTGGTAGCTTTATTATCCACACCTCTTTCCTGATCATTGATGACGAAGATGATCTGTAAATTGGACACACCAGCATGTATGAGAGAGAGAGAGAGAGAGAAAGAGAGAGAGATAGAGAGAGAGAGAGAGAGAGAGAGAAAGAACAAGGTAGGAGACTATGAACCAATATCAACTGCATAATTTTCAAATATAAAAGTCAACATTATTTCGAAAGAAATAAAAGAAGTTACAGTTGAATTACATCTAGGTCCTCTGGCAGAAGAAGAGAAAAAACTTCCTCATCAACTGGCAAGGGGCAGGACCACACATACAATAATAGGGCACTTAATACAAGACTATTGACTGGTAGGGGGTATGAGTACTGCGATCCCCTCTTTAGGTGTTAATTGACTTAGTTTGTGCGGAGCACGACTACCGTAGATTTCTTTGTGCGATTAATTTGGTTGCTACAAACATAGCGCAGACGAACAAACTTGATTACCACGATTGGTAAGTCGCACATGTATTCTATGACCCTTTGCGGTTTATAAAAGTTATGACTGCTTTAATATTCGAGGCATAGTATTTTTTATAGGCTCTCAGGGAGGTTACATCGTGCTATCACCCCTCGGCACGCCTTGGGGCGATAGCACGATGTAACCTCCCCCGCCCTTGAGCGTATAAAACAACTATGTCTCTCATAGCAGTCATTATTACTATACTATCAATAACAAATGCTTATTTCTATGACAAACTTGCTCTCAGCCAATCAAATGCCATGATTGCAGTAGCTTATAACAGTAATTGTAACTTGTTATTGATAATGAGTTATATGAAACAGGACCAAGATCATTTATTGTTACTTTAAAACCGATGACAGACTTTGGGTATAACAATCAAAATCAAATCATATCAAATGACAAAGAATCCACAAATTTGGTATTATCTACCATATACAACGTTCAGGGGAACCAAACAGGATACATTTTCAGTTTCAGTTTTATTTATTCCTCCTAAACAAACAAATGTATGACAATACATGAGATGAATTATAAAAAGTGAGGAAGGCAGGAGCCAAAAAGGAAATAGCCTTGTAAGAGGCCAACCCTTTACAATTAACACATTAAAAATTGAAACTCATCTAGTATTTAAGTAATTAATGACACCCACAATTAGGTATTATTAAGAATAAATTAGTATTTACCACAACAAAACCACAAATAAGCAAATAACTGTGACTCACCATAGTGAATGATGTGAAGCAAACCTTAGTAGTATCTGGTCTGATACACTTGGGTGGTGGCTGTTAAAAAACAGGATATGATAAATGAATTTGAGCATAAAAATTAGGTATAGATATATGAAAAATCTACAAAAATGATATGCTAACATCTATAAGCATTCATTGATCATTATGTAATTCACTTGGAGACTTAGGACTTAAAGCCCCACTGTCCTACTGGTAGTTACTTGCTCCCTCTATATAGAAAACTTCCCCAATCAGTGCCTGTTGGTCCCCCATGATCCTCTTTTCTTATGTTAATTGAGAGCTGAGTTAATGAGATAGCCACCTGTCACAGTGACCTAGCTGGCTTGCTGGGTGGTCTTATCCCTTCTGGCTGAACTTAAGTTGTTTTTTATTGGAGTTCTTATTCAATGGCCATTTTTACAATGTTAAAATTGTACAATCTAGTTCTCGGACTACTGCTACTTTCTATGCTGCTATACAACCGAGCTCAACTGAACCGAATGAAAAGGGCAACCGTGACCAATAAGCTACGGACGGGGAATAAGCTAACACTATCTAAACACTATCCAACTTACTCTGGTTCGGGATGTTGTATGTGGTCACATGTCCATTGCCGCTTGGGATGATTGTCTGACCAGGGTAGGTATAGGCCGTCTGCTGTACAGGGTAGCAAGTCCCTAGACCACCTCTTTGGATGTAAGTGACCGATTGACCAGGGTAACATGTCCCCAGACCACCTCCTTGGACGTAAGTGACCGATTGACCAGGGTAGCAGGTCCTCAGACCACCTCTTTGGACAACACTGACCGATTGACCATTGGGGTGGTAGGTTGTGGAGGTCACCCTGGACGTACCAATAGAACCGGGGGTGATCACGGTCACTGGGGAGGGGTTGACAGAATACACCGGGGGAGGGTTGACCGTTACGACTTGGGGAGGGACTGGGCCTGGTCCAGCTGCGTAGTATGGTGGGGGTACACTGCCGTTGATGACCGGGGGAGGTTGACCCTGTTGGGCATTGGGGGCAGCTCTCTGAAAGATACGATAGAAATTTCAAATGGACTATCATCTCCTCAATATATAATCAAACACATGTATGTCTGAAGTTTAACAGTTACATCAAGTTTTTTTCTTCTTCATGGAATAGAACAGTTGCATGCCATGTGAAAGTTTATTTAATGCAAGATATGCATGATCTACATGATCTAGCAAAGACCACGTATGTTAAAGACATAGAAATGTTAAGCCCACTATTCTCATATCAATTTACTGCTGCAGAGGCAGGTTTTATTTTAGGTGATCTGTATGAAAGAGGTACAAAGCTTATACAGCAATAATCAGGAATCGCTCAAAGTAAAGTTAGCGATACCGTCTATTTTAGTGTAATTTTTACACAGAATTGTTTCAGAAAAGAGGAATGGCTGGCATTAGCCTGGCTTAACTTAGTCCATACTTTTATGGAGTGCCCGGTGTCAACTCATTTACCCTGTACAAATTATTTTAATCCTGCAATGAAAAGGGAAGAAAAAGATAATATCAGTATGAACTGAATATCAACGAAGTCTTTGGTAGATTATCTTTGTCATGAATATTGAAGGAGGAAGATGAAACCTAGCATTCCATAGAAGTTTGAACTAAACTTCTTGTTTAGTCTGGACTTAGTCCCGGCTTAACTTGTGAGAATACCACCCTATGGGTTTACAGGATTAGATACAGCGCTCTTACGTTCGCTCTGATGACATCATCAAAGACGAGTTTCCACATCTGCGCATCATCGTACGACTCGGCACAGAAGATGGTAGCAGAATTACTACTACGGATCTCAATCAGACCCATAACATCGTGGCTGCTTGGAGGGGTCACTCCACTTACATCACGCGCGACCTGTATGCAGCAGAAGGAAACAAATGAACATAACGTCAGGGATCAGTCCTTGGCAATTTCACAGATGATAGAGAGAAGAAAATGAATTCTCACAGAATCAAACGAAACTTACACCGAATGTTCAAGATTACAAATATATGTCATTTGCCCAGGAATTTTGCTAGAAAATGTATACTGGCTGAGTAATGAGCAAAGAAAGGAAAACAAGGTATAAAGTAGGCCTGACACCATGTGTGTTGTCCCATATATAGCTTTCTGTGTACAGTGCTTGTTACTTTACCAAGACTCGGCCAAATTTATTATGATTTTGATGACTCCAGAACCTTGCAGTGCACACCAATACTTACATGCTACAGTATATGATCAACTTTTTCTGATCCATTCCACACCTTCTTTTACCAGAACTCAACTTTACCTTTAAACTAGATACCAATGTATGTATTTAACAAATAGAGATTTAGCGCTAGTAAGTTTACCTAAGTTGGAGCAAAAATACAGAACAAAAAAAAGTAACCCCTTGAAATCTCTTTGATTCCTAAAATTGAGTTTTGAGAGAGTTCCTGTATCAAGAGTGCAACATTTCTTACACTACCTACATTAAATCAAAAGAACAGGTTTAAAAATAAGATAATCATTGTCTTCATCCCTTTATCATTTAAATCTGCTTTAAAATTGTGTAAAATACCATTTCAAAGACGCAACACTCTCCGCAAATTTAGTGAGGAGGAACACAGAGGCAGAAAGTTATTTGGCTCCAGTAAGTTCTAGAAAGTAGTTTGCCGAAGGGTAAAACTAAAAAAGTTACCCCCACAATATTTGTTCCCCTTTAAAAAAAAAAAGAAGAGCTCCTGTACATGAACTTGTTTTCCTTCAAAGTTCACGAACCTACATAGGTTGAAACTACGGTGGTCTCTTTTCTCTGCTTTAACTTGAACGGCATCCTCTAAAATATAATTTCATACATCAAATACATGCAGTATCATAACACTGCTCGATTACGATAGGCGCCCTGAACACAGGGACATGCAAAATCTAAGTCTGGACTGCATACAAACTCTAAAAACTTAAATCCCCCACCCTTTCAAAATAGGGGTGCGGAGCCCTGCTTGAAATAGAATGGTGAAGTGTGACGTCATCAAAAATCTATTTTTTGTAATTTCTCAATTTTTTCTTCATTTTTCAAAAGAGCATCAAATATAATGTCCAAATGTCGAAAACCAATTGATTATGTTAAGTATTGGCTGAGATATGACCATCTGAATAAATAGATAGAACTCAGTGTTATTTGCTCTGGCTTGTAATGGTTATGAACCAGAGCAAATAACACTGAGTTCCTACAGCTTTGGTACTCTATGGGTACCGGTAGATAACATATCATTAATTATTAAGCATACCTTCAGGACAAAGCAATCTCTTGGGAGGTTGATATGACCTTGAAGATCTTTTTGTTTCTCATCGCTGTAGTAAGACAGTATACCATCTGTCTTCAGAATACAGAAACAGTGCTTCCATCTTTTCAATACATCGGCTGAATATGACATATTGTATAGAGAGGAATATTGGTGAGATAAATAAATTAAAAAACAAATTGATTAAGAGACAACAAAGAGAGGAAAATCAAAAGAAACAGGGTATAGAAAATGGGGATCGAACATATGGTGACAGAAAGAGAAACAGGGAAAAATAGAGGAATTAGGGAAAAATAGAAAATAGAAATAGAAAATAGAAAATAGAAAAAGAAAGAACAGATAGAAAATAGAAACAGAAAGAACAGAACGCACAGAAGAAGGGAAAGGAAGAGGAGGAGCAGAATCACAATTAAAGAGAGTTGAGAATCATATATTATTCATTAATGATGCAAAAACAAGGGCTACCGACAATTACCTCACTAGAGAAAATACAATTTGATGACCATTTCTGGACAATTTAAAAAAAAATTCTTGAATTTAACATTGTCTGGTGGGTGACTGCCCTCTCTACACTACTCTCAGAGACAACTTCATAGCTCACTGGCCAAGACGCTGGGATAGCCATTATTCCAACTCGAAAACGAAGGGTGAATGCTTCACAAAGCTATCGCTACTTGGCTCCTGCTCTCACACCCAAAGACGTTTAAATATAATTACTAGACGGAAAGCAGCACGCGCGGAAACCATGCAGACGAATGGGATTAGGCTCCGCCTCTTTTGGATCATTTGAAGACAAAATAAGCACCCGAGGCGGATTTTTGATTGGATATGAGCCTCATGAATATGTATTTTATCGATAGTATCGTTTTAAGAAACCGGATAATATATTTGACCTCATTGCGTCACTTTAATTATGCAGATTTATGCACGACGCTACTACACTCGCACAAACTGAGAAGAGTTAGTTTATTGAGAATGGGTGAGTAATTGATTGAAATATGAGTAGATTAAGTGAATTTAGTCATCAATTTTGAAAAAGCTGCAATAGTCTTCGTAATGTACGGTAATTTCGTTACATTTGGAGACAGTTCTCAACAGATTTTTGGGGAAAAGACTAGTAAAATATTGCTCTTGAAATTGCACTTTGATTTCCATCGTCATAAAGTAGTTTGACTGCGGTTTGCCGTCATTTCATCCTAGTACTCCAGTTAGGGCCCCGGGGTTCCGGCAGACCCACCCCGGGGAATTTCGGTCCTCATTTGCATCGAGATCAAACTTTCTAATCAAGTTTTATTTGAGATTTGATCGTCATCATGAATCTAATTCACCAATCACCGATTTAATTTGAATCTAGATTTAACGTTACACCATGAAATATTCTACGAAGCATGATTTTTGTTGATAATCCAAGTGGATTAATTCTTGTTAAAATCTTTAGTAGATGTGGACTCTGAGGCTATAGACTCTACTTAATATCAATATCGGTGCCATCTGTTCGCTCAGTTGCATACGCGGTGCGTGTCAACTTTATTTAGACCAAAATTATCTGTGACCATTGATAATCAAACAACTCAAAATCCTATTCATTTAGATGTAAACCTGAAACTTATTAATAAAATATATTTAAAAAACATCAACACTAGGATTTGTTTATTTAATATTGAGATTTTGTGTGGGTCCAGCGTGCTCGTCAAGTTGTCATTACTAGATTCTAGACCTAGGCCTAGACTCTACTACTAGATCTAGACCCTAGCTAACAGTGGCGTATGCAGGATTTTTTCAAGGGGGGGGGGGGGTGGGATTTAACATTTTGAAATCGGGCCAAAAACTTCGCAACGAATCAGCCAGCCGCTGAATAAGCGGAGGGGGGGGGGGGGGGTAAGAGGATTTTTTTTTTTTTGGGGGGGGGGGGGAATCAACTTTTTTAGGTCATCCACTAGGATTTTTAAAAAAAAATTTTACTTCAAAAAAAAATCAACACTAAAAAAGGGGGGGGGGGGGGGGTTTCCAGAAAAACATACACATAAAAAAAGCTCAAGGGGGGGGGGTTAACCCCAACCCCCCCCCCCCCCTGCATACGCGCCTGACCCCTATTAATTCTTTTAATATATTACAGATTTTTTTTCTTCTCCAAATTGTGCAGTTCATGTTGATAAATCTATTTGTTTGTGTAAGAGAAGACCCCTAGTCTACAATTACGTTTACTTATGTAGTCCACTTCTTCTTGTCTTAATAAACCAATTCTACTTAAGACTGCTTTATATGTATAGGCCATATAAAGCACTTTTTGAAGCACAAGTTAAATCTTCCATTTAATTTTAATTTGTACTGTGGTCCATTAAATTGGAATGTTGATTTCCACACCATATTAAAATTAAGGCCAACCATGACATGAAAAATAGCTTTTATGCTTGATCTATTTTTATTTTGTTAAAGGTAAAGACCAGTATTGGTAACACCCCAATTTCAAAAAATGAAATGGAAGCTCTCATTACCAATCATGTGAAAGAATATGTTTTGACTAATACATGATGATAACAAATTTGCCGGGAAACCGCCTACTAATTCATATATTTGGTAAATTTATTTCTCTCATGGTCGTGTGAGAGAGATAGGGTAGTCCCATATACATCTTTCTGTGTATAGTGCTTGTAACTTTACGAAGAATGGGCCAAATTTCTTATCATTTTGATGATTCCAGAACCTTGCAGATGCTAGATGCTAGATGATCAACCTTTTCTGATTGATTCCACAACGTTTCTTTCACAATGCAATCGCATGACCATTACTGGTCTTTACCTTTAAGGAGAAAGGGACGCCTTGATTGTCATATTGGTTTTTGTTTTCTTTTTGTTCCAACAGATTGAAACTGATGAAGATCAAGCTGGAAGGAGTTAACTGATGAGTAGACATTACAGCATTTCTTATACATGCAAGATGAAGCTGAAAGTGCCATGCAGGTAAAATTTTCAGGATATTTAGCACACAAATATTAAACGACCACGTATTAATTCACTAAAAAAGGAAATGGAACTAAGTTTATGTTGCAAGCGACTAAAGTGGAGGGTATATTTTATTCTAGTTCTGCACTTAGCACACAAATATTGATATCTTTCCTTTCTTTGTTTACAAAAGGAATTTGTCCTTATTTACAGGAGGTCCTGTGTGTAGAAGAACAATGTCTAATGCACATTCAAGGCACTCCATGATCATACATGTAGGGTATACACAGAACCCCTCATTACCTTTTTTTTGTTGTAAGTGGTCCTTTCACTTATTGAGCAATGAAGATGAAGAAGAACACAAAATAAGATTAATGAAAGTCTCTTTATAGGATGTATTATGGTTGATATGTATCTATTATTATCACTTTTTAATTGAAGTACCTACATTGTTTTCTCTTATGTAGGATGATGCTTCTCTACAGTGGATGATGAAGGCATGCTGGTTACAAACCCAGGAGAGGAACAAAGAACAGATATTGACAGAATCATATCTAGAGATGCGGGCCTACTACACTTTATACGAGCAAGTGTGCTAATATACAATGTAGGTACCCCCAATAAACTATTGTAGAACACATATCATGCAGAAAGTTATAGATCTGACAAAGATATTTTTCATTGTCCGTTACTTGTAAAAGAATACTTGACTGAATATCAAAATTGTGATTTAGATTTAAAATAAAATGTCAATATACATGAAATATAAGTCTACAGGACGTATGTTTCAATAGCATTATTTCCAGTACATTCTTTGTTCCAAGTTGTTTGGTCATTTTATGTCCCATTCTTAACCGAGTATTATTCAATTATGACCACGAGTTTACATTACAAGTACATTGTACATGTACCGGTATTACTTATTTCATACTTGTCTGATCCAAGCTCCATCAGGCCTATTGTCTTAATGGGATCATCAGAAATAATCTAACATGTGGTCAGTAACAAGTCTTATAGGAAATATAGTTACGGTTTGCCCACTAGAATCCCAAGTGAATATTAGTCCTTCCTCTTTTTGTCAGAGCAGGTATCAGGGTGTATGTTATTAGTTGTTGTTTATTTTCTTATACACTGTATCTTATTTCATTTTTCCATTCAACAGACTTGGGTTATCATCACAGCCCTTTCTTCTGAAAACTAGCCTACAACTTCATTGATGAATGCAGAAGACATCTACATGGGACTACATCTTAAAGATGCCACCCTCATATAATGAAAGAGGACAGTAGAGATGGGTTTAAACTTGAATATTTACATACTATTTATTTATTATTTGTATTATATGTTTGTAGAGTACCACATTTAAAAAAGCTAATGAATTTATCATCTTGTCAACTTTCAAATAATTAAAGATAACTAATCATCAATGAATAAACATTAACATTTTAACAATGTCAACTACCATTTTATAGGCTGAAACTGAGGGCTGGGCAGAAAGAAATTTCCTTGAAATTTGAGTGATAAAGATCTATCAGTCTATATCAAATATTGAATTAATCAATGATATTTTAATTATAGTTATACATGTTGAAATTCATTTACCTTAGTCTATGGACTTCTGTATTTGAAGTTGTGTAGATTATTACATTATTGCTGCTTCAAGTATTGTATGTAAGAAGGTTTGAAAGACAACCCTCTAAATGCACTTAATATGGAAACTGCTAATCATCATTGCCTTTTGTATCCAAACTGCTAATTTTAATAGAATCATATTTTGATACTTCCTAGCTTAAGAAAACAGGGGGGGGGGGGCTAATTGTTATCCTCTTCCTGGTGCTGTTTCTACATGGACCATGTAACAGGTTGCAAAAGTGTAAACAATATTATATTTGTTATATGTTTATAATAGAAGGATTTAGAAAATGAAAACGTTTTGAATTATAGAATTACTGTTGCTAGAAGTAATGGCAGTATTGATGTGTAAGGGAAGGGGGTGGTTTTCCCAGTGAAATTAACGGTATACAAATGTAAAATTAATACAAAAAGAGAAAACTATTCTTAAAAATAAAATTATAAAGGACATGGGCCTCCTAACTAACTAACCCTGGTACCACTTCTGGGTTTTTGTTGTTGTTGTTGTTTTTTGTTGTTTTTTTTTTTGGGGGGGGGGGGCAACCCAATTCAAAATTTCCAGTGTTAAATTCCATTGTCTTTAAAAAAAAAATTATGTCAAGATGTTGAAAAACAATGTTTCACTTTCCGTTTTCAAGTTAGAAAATTTGAATAAAATGATTAACATATTTTCCGATCTCTCTGGTCTCTACATTAAAAATGTTCAAAGCTCCTGCAAAGGCTGCAAAAAGGAAAAGCGAAGATAATCCAAGTGAAATGTGGACAGTAATGGAGTGAATATGGAATGGTTGATCGTAGTTGATAACGAGTAAATGTAAATGAGTGGTAATAACAACTACGACTGAAAGAGAGACAGAAAGGAACTGCAACAGGTTGTTCAGTCAAGACAACAAACCGTTAGTTGCAGAAGATAATTTACGAAAGACAGAGAAAGAGAGAGAAAGGGAATCATTAAGGTACGATGAGAGTGGGTGGAGAAAAACCGTCCACTTTGCCACATAATTTGTTTGTCTATAATAAGGAAACTATATACATTAGCATATTTAAAATGTATAATCATAGCCAGAGAATGTGTTGTTATATGTCTTATAGCATGTTTGATTTAATAAAACAAAAACAGACCCAGCTATTGATAGACTAAAAAGGGAATAAGATCGAGACATTAAGAATATCAGTATTTCTTATTCAATGAAGTTAAGGCCACTCCCCCATATTAAAAAACAACAACAACACAACAACGAGAGGAACTTTTAAGGTCCACTTCCCGATGCATCCTGGGTACACCAGCTGGTGATCGATAATACAAGTTCGAGCGCGTATTTCACCTAACGGTGATCGCATCAGAATAATCCACGCTGATTCGCAGAATCACTTGCGTTGCTAGCGCGCAGCGTGATGAATAAATTACCCATAATTCCGTACAGTAGATTATTTGACCTCTCTAATTACGCTGATACGCGTATTGTCTTTTACCATGTAGTGAACATCATTCCAGTACACTTTTCGTGGGGAGCATCCTACAGAATGCATAATTCATAAGGCTCATGAATTATGCAAGGGGCTTATTTTGGCTTCTAATGGATCCGGACAAAATGGCGGAGCTTGGGGGGCCTGCTCACACCTCTCTTTCCGACTAGATTGACCCCTCACTCTTTCACAATCTCTCTCTCAGCTTCATACTTGACCTCCATGTTAAACGTTCCACTACATGTATGTGATGCCAATGCTGTAAACCTGCCTATCCTTTTTATATGTGTACTACCGACACCTGCACCAACTGCAGTTCTCCAAAATGGAGGAAGCCAAGCCAAGAAGAAGAAGGTGGCTTCAATTCAAACTTACTTTCCCTCTGCATCCATCCAGCTTTCACAACATGGTGATGTGCTGCAACTGCGCTTGTTGCCATATTGTAAGACTAAGAAATGTCACACTTCGATTCTGAAATAAAAAGCAAGAAGAAAGAATTCAAAAATTATAGAAAGTGAATAAATTATTAATTAGTAATAGACGAACTCTGCACTTTCAATCAAATCAAATTTTTATCTACCAGGGCTGCGTCTCACGAAACCGTCATAAATACAAGTTGAGCGACATTTCGTTGAAATGCGTGTTAAACTTAATACACGCGTTTCAACGGGATGTCGCTCAACTTGTACTTATGACGGTTTCATGAGACGCAGCCCTGGGCATCGTTTCATGAAACAAGTACAAGTTCACCGACAAGACAACAACCCAATGAAACGAGTGTATTGTTATTTCCGCACATTCCAATGATTACCGGTATAGTTGTCGGTGAACCTGCACTTATGATGGTTTCATGAATCGATGCCCAGAGCAATGCATTTGCTTTTGAAATAAATCGGAAAAGAATGATTGTTGAAGAACTAAGTAGTATGATTAAATAAAAAGATCCAATTGAAAGATAATATAATCTCGAATCTATGGTAGATCGACATGTAGGTCTACATTTCTAAAAATACAGACATACACTGTAGGTCTAGATCTAGTAATTAGTGTAGGGTTGCGGTTCTAACAAATTCCTAGCACTCTTAAGTACACAGAGGCAGCCCAGCAGACATGTTGTACGATTGATAACTCCTGGCTAACTGACCAGGTTTTAATGTAGCAAAGCATTACAGCATTTTATGTAGCATTCCACATACATTCAATGCAAAGTAGAAGAAATCAATAAATATTCATTTAGTCCCATACAAGTATAAATCAGTATCACAAAGTATTCTTGAATATTCAAACATAAAGAAAAGGGTATATATTGAATATTCATGGATATGTAAATTATACTATAAGCTTGACTGCACCAGGTGAACATTGAAACCAATGAGAGAGAGAGATAGACAGATGAAAGGATGGTGGATGAAAAGGGTGAATGTGAATGAGGGATGACCTATTAATATGAAAGGGATGAATCATGGATATGAGGGGGAGTTTCAGAAGTTCAAAATAAATCCCTACATTAGTATGGATCGAGGCGTACAAATTAAATATCTTCATTGCCATGTCAACTGACGACACCATAAGTTCATAACAATCACATCATTTAATAATTAAATCATTGTAAACTTTGGGCTTTTAAAGACCTTATCCAATGAAATACAACTTTATATCAAAGGAAAGCTGAGTGAACGTCCAATACAGAATTTTCACAGATATATAATTGATATAGAAAAAATATTTTCTAAATTCCCTGAAGTATTGTACAAGAGCTAATCAAATTAAACCTCATTTTCCTCACCCCTCAACATGACGGGTCAACAGGGGTCAAATTTGCTGCTGTTACAGCAACGACATAACACATGGACCCAATATAGCTCGCCTATATAGCCGTGGTGATGAGCAAAGTCATTGTGAATACCGGTATGCGTACTTCACATGATTTCATCAAATCCATAACATTTCAGAATACCCCTTTTCCCATCGAAGACTTCTTCAAATTATAATTTCAAGTAGTCGAAAAACATTGTAAGTCAAAACTGTAATTAGATCTAGGGTCTACTACCTCTTTACATTGTGAAAAAATGTGACCCAATCTGCTGTTTGAATCATTTTCATAAACAGGCTCTGGAGTTTAAGTTTGACAGGATAGTCAGTAGACTGATGATTTGAATTTACAAAATATTTTTCTAACATCTATATCTGTAAGTTGAAAATATTGTATTTTACTGCTATTTAGGTGTCATCAATTGTCACTAAAGTACCGATTTTGAGTGAACTCAACTGAGTTTTGTACAGTGGTGTTTGAAATGTTGAGAATCAATGGCTGTTTTTAATACACAGCCAGGATAATGGAGCTGGATCTATGTGTGGCTACAGCTACAGTACGTATAGCCAAGGAGTTACTACACTAGGAGTGGGGACTGGATTAGGGTCAAACGACCCATCCTGTATGCCGCGCTCCCCAAGCGACCATTCCACTAAATTGGATTAATGCCGCCTGGTCGCACCGGTCGTAAATAACATCACATAGCGCATGCGCAAGGTCGGTTAATCAGCCGGAACCGCTGGCATGTGCGGTGCATTGTAGGATATGTTTACAGCTTTCTCGCGTGACGATTACTATTTGGAAGACGACTGATGACTATTCAGCGGCTGACTGAGTCGTTGCGAAATTTTTCCTCAAAAACTGGACAAAATAAAATATGTGCTCTTACCCCCACCCCCCCCCACCTTTAAATTGTAAACATAAATGTAAACATCTAGGCATTACCATCGATAATATGCAGGGAGGTGCTCCCTGACATTACCAGTAATAATAATATTAATTTAATAATAATAATATTTAATTTGTATAGGTATAGCGCTTAATACAGATGTCTCTAAGCGCTTTACAAATATATTATTACCCCGGCCATTGGATTAATTATCATTAGACTATTTATATACAAATAGACCTAGATCTAATTGCATATTTGACAACACAATCAACATCATTAATCACCACAAAAGTCAAAGACAATCAATAGACATCACTAGAGTCTAGACATCACAATGGATTTGTAATTGTATTAGAACAGTTGTTTAATAATCATTAAATATAATCCTAACTATCCGCCAAGCTTAGCGCTTATAATTATATGCATGTCATCTCATTCATGCCCTCCCGGCCCAGCTAGCAGCTATAGTTCCTCAACTCGTCCAACACGCACAATAATACCGCCAGGTGAACTGAAACCACACACCAATATATATTAGTGGGACAATAAAAAAATAGTGACACAGCAGATGTTAACAGGTTTCCAATAGGTCATCACATTAACAAGAACGGCCAAGATCGGTGGAGTCATACATCAAAATAAAGAAGAAAATCTCATTTGTCTGCCAAAAAAATGATTTTCATCTGGGGTAGTCTGGGTCTACCACTAATATTACATTGAAATATGAATATAAATGGAACAAAATAAGGACATTTTTCAACAATAATCAGGTCAAAACTCAGCTTGTCGTTTGCCGATTTTCGAGATCTTTGTACCAATCGAGAGCTGAATTCTTAGACTACCACGACATCAGAGTGTGTGTCGCATGTGATGAAGCTATCGACATGTGTATAGAGCTAGTCTAGATAAACCACCTATAATATATATTATGACTGGACTGTCGATGTTTCCTCCTAGAGAGGGCCAGTTCAGCACGGCATCGCGCATGGGACATAAAAGTCCGGAGATCGAGACCAGGGTGACCTCGTTGCGTAAGAGGTCGTTTTGTTTTTCGTTGGACCCCTAATCCCTCATAATCCCGCTCTGAGTGATAAGAAAAGCCCTAAGGGCAGAGTGTTCACTCCTAGTGTAGTAACTCCTTGGTAGATCTATAGCCTGTACGATTTTACACGCAAATCGCCAAGTGTACACTCCAGATGCAGCGACCGCGACCGCGACCGCTCTCGCGATATCATCAGTGAACATGGAGATGCAGTGGCTTAATTCACGAAAAGGCCGGACATTCAAGTGATATACTTACCAAACTTGAATACCGTTTGCCCAATTAACAAGATTTCCTCAGTTTACAAAGAAATTTGTATGCTCGACGGTTCCTGATCCGACGTATTCGATTACTACCAGTAGGCCGTTTTCGATCAATAGTTTATTTACGTCGTGAAAAATGACGTAATGTTTGTCTGCAGTTATTGTCATGTGACTTGGTCATGTGATATTATGATCTCATCGGAGTCGGGCTAACTACTCGGACCCAAGGACAACTCGGCCCCACTGCAAATATGCATCCTCTTTCACATTATGATACAATTTAAGCGAAATTTTGCCATGAAATTCGGGGCTCTCAACACTTTATATATATATATTCAATGGCCATTTGGGCGCTTGTTCAGTAAGGTATCCAAAATATGACCCGTAAATTTGAAGTAATATTTGTAGCTAAAAGATTTAATTTTCATTCAAATCATTTGAACTAGTCTAATTACTTTTTCTTTGAATATGTAATCCATCCTCCTAACTAAAGAAGAATTCACCATTGACAACAAATCGCATGTTGCAAACTTTCACTTTGGCCCCATATTCAGGTGAACTGCGCATTCCGTGATCATTACAAAATTGGGGAGTCATTCTACTAAATGGAAATAAACAGGCTTTTCAATGATACCCAACGTGGGAAGATTTCAATATTTGTTTCACTCTATACACCATACAAGATATTGCTTAAGCATTATGCTTTGCAGTTAATTGGGTTTGATTGTCTAACAAAATATTTGCGAGCGAGGACAATTTTTAAGATGTGTGAGGTCGCAGTGCGAAACTGATTACATCTTCTATAAAGAGGAAAAAAACGGATCCTAATGGGGTTATAAGCACATTCTCATAACGGAAGACTGAAAAGACCTTTGATAAGTAACTTATTAAGTATATCATCTATAGATGCGTGCGAGCGTAGCGAGCGAGCTTTGGGGAAAATTGCTCTTAGTCGCTTGAAATTAGCTAGGGCGCGTTTAATAATGAGAGGAAAAGGGGACACTTATCAGGAAAGACAAGAAGCATGTGCCAAAGTACAAAGAGTAATTTTCAGAGGTGAAAATGGGGCACTTCTTACACCTTCAAAAAGAGGAACTCACCGGGGATGCAAAAAGTCAGTCATGAGAATAGAAAATGGCATTTGTCGACAGAAAAGGGGCACTCATCAGATTTTTATAGGGGCATAATTTTTATTATCAGAGGTGAAAAGAGGCACTTATCGCATCTGAAAAGGGGCAATGACCAGATATCAAAAGGGGCACTTATGTGAATGAAACAGGGGCACTTTTAATAAAGGAAAATGTGCACTAGTAAAAAGAAAATGAGCACCAAAAGATTTTAAAGGGGCATTTTTTGGAGGTGAAGGGGGGGGGGGCACTTATCTGAAGTGAAAATGAGTAACTTCTCGTACCTGAAAAGGGTCATTTACCAGAGAAGGGGAACTAATGAGAAGGGGAGGGGCCTCTCTTTTAATGGGGCACTTATCATTAGAAAAAGGGGCACTTATTAGAAGGGGAAAAGGGCACATGTGAAAATATAAGGTGTGCTTATCCGAGTTAAAATGGGGGTAGTTATTAAAAGGGAAAGGGGCACTTCTAACCAAGGAAAAGGGCACTTGTCAAAGTAAAAGAGGCACGTATCTTTCAGACTTAAATAGGACAATTATCAGAGGTGAAGGGGCACTTATCAGAGTTGAAAAGGGGTAGTGGCACTTTTCAAAGTAAAAGGGGTAGTGGCACTTTTCAAAGTAAAAGGGGTAGTGGCACTTTTCAAAGTAAAAGGGGCACTATTCCTATGTAAAAGGGGGCACTTTTCGGGTGCTTGAAAGGAGGGCCGACTCTGGTTGCATATCAGCCGCCGACAAACGTGACGGAGAATCGATATGGCAGTACCCACCTCTGGAGTTGGGTTTTTTGTTTTAAACGCCCGTCCAAATTTCACCGATTCTTTGCAGTATAAAAGCAAGCTCGGGTGTTTTAGGCGTTTAATTACGGTCAGATGAGCATATTTTGATACCTTGTTGTGACACTGGCAGGACACTAATTGGCGTGGGGTCCAGGGGGCAGAGCCCCCAGAAGCTCAGGGATTTGGGGCATTTTATAACGGTCAGATAAGCATTCAGGGCCTGCCTTGGTGGGGTAGAGGAAGCAGAGCCCTCATAAACTCAGGGGTTTTGGGCACTAAATGACCGTCAGATTAGCATCCAGGGGTCCGCCTTAAGGCCCTAGGAAAATTATATTTCATATTCATATTCATATTCAAATTTATTGTCCAATGATTGGAAATTTGTTTCATTTGCATGTCAGTACAGGGTTACACATTATAAACATCAATAAGATACATATGGGTACAGAGTAGAACATATAACTTGGACATAGGTAACAACAAATGCGATAGTTCAACATGCAGACTAAAATTCGATTCATAAGTTCAGACTAAGTAGTTACATTCAGTTCAAGTTCGGATTAAATTCATTCGAAATTCAGATTAAATACAATTAAAAATTTAAACCAATTCAATTCGTAATTTAGATCAAATCCATTTCAAATCCCGATCACATTCAATTTATAATTCAAATTAAAATATAATTAACAAAATCACATCACATTCAATTTATAATTCAACTAAGTAATAAAATTAAATTCATAATTCGGGTTAAATTAAGTTCACAATTCAAATTCAATACAATTCATGATTCAGACAAATTCAATTCATATTTCAGAAAATAATTCAATTCAAATCCCGATCGCGTACAATTCATAATTCAGATTAAATTAAATTGACAATTCAGGTTAAATAAATTCATAATTGAGATTACTACAATTTATAATTCAAATCAATTCAATTCGTAGTTCAGATTAATATAAAATTAACAATTCAAATCAAATTCAATATATAATTCAAACTAAGTAATTCAATTAAATTCATATTTCGGGCTAAATTAAATTCACAATTCAAATTCAATACAATTTATTCTTCAGACCAATTCAGTTCATATTTCATGATATAATTCAACTCAAGTTCCGATCACCTACAAATCATAATTCAAATTAAATTAAATTTACAATTCAGATTAAATGCAAGTTATAATTCAAAATAGGTGATTACATTCAGTCATAATTCAGATTAAGTTAGGTTCACAGTTCAAATTAAATTCACAATTCAGATTAAATTCAGTTTATTATTCAGACTTAGATTAAACCCTCCTCGTTCATCAGCCTGATTGAGCTCGGCACAAATGAATTGAGAAACCTGCTCGTTCTGGACCTTAGAGATCTTAACCTGTTTCCTGACCTCAGGGCTACATAATTGTTATTTAAGGGGTGACGGCTGTTATGGTAGATTGATTTCGCCTTGTCAAGTACTCTATTTCTACATATATCTTAGAAGTCTATAGATTCTTCCCTACAATTTTTTCCGCTTGTTTAACAATTCTTTTTAGCATAGACAAGTCTACTTTTCGACATGCTGTGAACCACACAACGCAGTCGTTTACTATTATGCTCTCTATCACAGACTTGTAGAAAAGGTACATTATTCCAGCAACATAATTACCGGTATCGAATTAGAAATAAACCGCGTTTGAATTTTATGGGGGGGGGGGGAAGGGGCAACTGCGCAAGTAGGCCCCTCCCCCCCCCCATCAGTGCCCCCGATCTATTCTTTGCTTGCGGGAAAAATCGCAACTGATCTCCCCTACCTTTCTTCTTTTTCTCCTCTTTCCCTTCCCTTTTCTTCCTTTTCTCTCTTTTGGGTTTGCTGGGGGGAGGGTAACGGCCTTTTGGGACCCTGATACACGCGTTGTTGGCGGGATTAATCGCAAGTGATCTCCCCTTCTTATTACCCTTTTCTTTTCTTCTTCCTCATTTTTGCTTCCTTTTAGCTCTCCTCTTTCCCTTTCCCTTCTGTCTTTTTTTGTTGGGGGGGGGGGGAGGGGGAAAGGGCGGGGAGGGGGTTGGGAGACAAGGGCCTCCCCCTTGATCCACAACTTGTTGGTAGGGATATTGCAACTGATATCCCCCTTTTTTTCCCTCTTCATTTTCTTCCAAGTTCATCTCCTCTTTTCCTTTTTTCTTTCCCTTTCCTTCCTTCTCTCTTATTTTTTGATGGGGGGGGGGGGGGGGGTATTGATCACTAAATTTTGACCCTCTATTTTGATCCCGAAAAAATTGAAAATTACGACGGCCCATGGTGAGATATTAACCCCCCCCCCCCCCCCCCCCCCCCCCACTTGAGCAAAAAATAAAAGGTAATTTTTTGGTCACCAATTGGTTCTCCTTTTCTTGTTGGTCACCAATTGGTTCTCCTTTTCTTGGGGGGGGGGGGCAAGGCCCACTCGCCCCCGCCCCCCCCCCCCCCTCCCCTGGATCCGCGCCTGCTTGTACTTGTGTTTGAAAGTGACCCCCTGGGCGTATATGTGAGTCCCGATATGAGTTTGATGATAACGCCATCTTCGGCAATAATTACGGATTATAGATTCTGGACTACGCTAACACAATACATGCAGGGCACTTTTAGTCCAGAATCTGGTAGTTTCTTAATACTCTTGCAATTTATTGAATCAAGCCGCTGTTGAAAGAACTCGTACGCCCACCAGCCCAGCCCAGCCCTTTTTTCGCCGGGCGTCCTAAATTTTGGATCACGCCTCGGGATCACGCCATCATCGGCTGGCAGCAAGTGGGTAGGTGGAGCTGGCGCGGATCCAAGATTAGGGGGGGGGGGGGGGGGGGGGGGCAAATGTGAAATCAATTTGAAATTTAGTGTGCTGAAATTTGAAAATCGCGCCGGCCGATAATTCGCTCAGTGGGGGTGGGGGGGGGGGGGGGGGAAGTGAGCACTAATTTTTTTGGGGGGCCCCCGATAATTTGAAAAATCGCACCCCCCCCCCTTTGAGCGTCAGGGGGGAGGGGGGCCATCTAAAAAAAAAAAGTAAAATTAACGTGTTTTTACACCTTTCCCCCCCCCCCCCGGGGGGGGGGGGGGGGAGGGCCCGGCCATGTATTATGTCGGTCAGCCGGCAATTTTATTTCCTTACGAATTTGTGACTTTTTATCGGGCAAAGAAACATTCTCGAAATTTCATACAGTGATTAAGAGTCGGTACAACGAATCGTCTTCTTTCTCTAATAATTAAATGAAACGTCA